CTAAACTTCTATGTTCTTTTCTAACTTCTAACTTTTTCAAAATTTTTTTTTTCTGGAGTTCGAAAGTTTTCTCACAACGTAGGTCATTTCAGTCTACTGTCATGACTTTTTCCAAACTGAACAGAAAAGTTTTGGATGTATAAAGGTTATGAGAGTTCACAAATATCCCGTTTTTGTCAAAGTGTTAGAAATGCCCCCTTAAGAGGCTTTTTATTAATTCTTCGAGAAATCGATTCCACTTCTCACAAAATCTATGAAATTGTGTAGGTTAAAACTTTTTAATTCATCATCCAGCCCATCTGCGCAGGTTCGCAAATATTCCAAAGTGAAAAGTATAATTCCCTTCGTTTTTAAGCGAATTTCACCGGGTTTTGGCTCGATTGAAGCAAAAAATTCAGTCTTCTGAAGTTCACTGTTCAATAGGAAAATTTTGAGTATGAAACCAAAAATCGAGGTAAGCAGCATCGACCTTGAGAACCGTCGCGAATCGCAGTAAAAAGTTTGTTGAACGGGCGCCTGCGAGTGCATGAGACGCTGGCAACTGACCAGATGGGTAAACAACGATTACGCGTTCTCCGCCGTCATTTCGGGCTGTGTCCCATCCAACTTGGGCCATCTTCCGCATAATATTTTGCTGCCTTTTTGCTTACGCCTGTTATCGTCCACAATACAGTAACTACTGCTTGTCGTCGTGTTTTCGTATGTTTTGTTGAGTTTTTCCATGTTTTCATTAGTTATTCAAAGATGTATTCGGAGGAGATAACATCTAAGAAACCATTTGTCAAAACAAATCTTGACCCGAAAATTTTGGCCACTTACACTTGATTCACGACTACTTTCTGAAGTTTTCTGTAAGACCCCGGGCTGATGTTTATGAAAAATTTGGCAGCGGAAAACTTTTTTTGAAGAAGTTTTGAGCCGTTGGACCTTCTCCAACTCTATTAGAAGAATTTGAAATGTTGAACTTTTTTTCTCATATTGAAGTCAATATACAAGCCTTAATGATGAAAAAAATCCGATATTTTCCCATGACCTGGAGGCGTTTTACATTTGCAAAAATAACATCGAAAGACGCTGACCGTACTTTAAAGCTTATCAAAATCCGAGGTCTTTTGAGACGTCTGTGGGAAACCTGTAAGAGCAGTTTTTCTTCTCAAAACACGCTTTGCCAATCTCTTAGGAAAGCTTTCTGATCCAGATTCCGTGGCTCAAAAGCACTCAAACTTATGAAAATATTCATCAGAAGGTTCTGAGAAAAGGCATCTGCTAAAGTTCGGCCGAAAGCCTGAACATCTAACCCGGGGCATTTCCCAACGGATCCTTTATCTGCACAATTTGGAAAAGGCGTGGCGAACATGCCACGGGGATCGATCGCCTTTTTTGTCCGACTTCATCCGGCCTTGGAATCGCTTCTGAGTTATGGACTTGCGTGCAGATCGCCCCGTCCGCTACTCATGTTTCATCTGCCGGCGCGTTTATTTTATGGCCCTGCTCCAATGTTGACATTTGAAAATGATATCAAGCAATTTCCAAGACCCTCCGTTCTTTCCTTTCAACTTGGTCCGTAGTTCACGCCAAGTTTCGTGATTCTTCCACTTTGACATTTGATCTCGGTGATCTCAGTTGGTTTTTTTATTACGAACAAAATATTCCGCCCCGAAAACTTTATCTTAACTCTTGACTTTTCGTCCGAAAAATCTTGATTTTTGGCCTTGATGGGTAAACCTTTCTCTCTTTTCCTTCGACCTGAACATTTGGACTTCCCCTGGAAAGTCGTGACTTTTCCGGTTTGGCATGTGATCCAAGTGATTGCGAATGTTTCTAGTATGACTATGATACAATATGATGAAACTGAAGTTCAAGGTTGCGTAGGATGAACTCAAAGAAATTTCTGCCCATGACTTTTAGCTTCACAGCCTTCAACAAAATAAATATGAAGTATATTTTTTTCAACTTTTTTTGATATTCAATCGGAAAAATGAACATAACGAAATGTGGATTACTTGTATATAAATCATAATGCATGAAAACTTTTTCACTCTGTTAAAGAGAATTTCGAGCCAAAATCACTTAGTATTAACTATGTTTCGGCTGAAATGCGACGTTTTTGACTTCATATTAGCCTGAAAAAAAGGGTTACTTTCTCTAACGGAAATTATTAAAAATCAACTTTTCAGTAATTTGAAACCATGTTCAGTAGGACGGTAAATGGAAATCGCCAGGCTATAGCATTTTCCTTTCTTTCAAACGATTTTCCTGGTACAAAAGTCAACTTCTCCCTTTGCACAACTTTTTCGCTTTGCATGTGATCTGATTGATTGCCTTCCGATAAAAATTCAGTTTCCTTTCCCAGTTTTCAGATCAACTTTGCATGTTTTCAGGACACTGTACATTGCTGGCCTTGGATCGAACTTTGAGTTCCAAAATCCGGTTAATGGCTTGTTTTTTTTTTCTCAATTTTTTCTCGATCGGCATGTGACCTGTAAGATTGAGAGGAATGTGAGTCCACACTTCACTACATCTTTTTATAGACTTTTTTCTGCGAACTTTTGGACGTGAGAACAAAACTTTTGAGTTTTCTTGTTTCACATGATTAGAATCTGACTAATTCGGAGGAAAACTTCCGGGGCTGGTAGAAAATTTTTCTAAAATAGATTTTCTTAAGAAAATGAGAAAAAAGTCGAGTTTTTAATCAATCAAAAATTTCCCAAGGTTTTCATTGGAAATGTTGCTAGGTAACCATTTCTCTTGAAATGAAACTTACTGTATTTGTTTCTTATCTTTTGAGAACTTTTGAAAACGCCACATTTTAGCAAGCTCAACAGTAGCGGACGGCTATTTGAAACGCGATAATATTGCCGTTTATTGCCTCAAATTTTGCTGTCACTGCTGGGCTTCGTTTTCCGGAAAATGAAGTTTGAATTTCTTATTTTTTCATATCGACTTAAATTATTTAAAAGTTTTAGAGGAGCCGCTTTGAGACCAGACGCGTTTAGAAATCTATCAAAAAGTGGATACTCGACAGAAAAAATTTTCTTCTACCAAAATCTCGATCAAACGGAAGCTGAGCTTGAAACAAGACATTTTGATCCGAAAAGATGTTTTGTCTCATATCGATATAAAAAATTGATGCAAAAGATAAGAAGGTCGAAATAATGGGCGTTCTTTTTGTAATGTTTCGAAACCATCATATTCCCCGCCTTCTGCTTCCGACATCTTCCCCAAACTTCAATCTTTCTTCTTTCTACCTTCTACGGCGGCATCTTTTCAGAAACTGTATCATGGGCAAATAAATAAATTTTTCCTGGAAACCTGACTCGCGTGATCGAATAAAAACACGATTGATTTGGGTGGACGGAGCTCTTATCGGCCGGTACCCTACGCCGTTGCCTATCTTTTCCCAAAATTGTTCTTCTCAACATGAGAGAAAGTATTCTCAAGTTTTTTTCTCTCCTCAGACCGCCAATCATTCTTCGGCACCTATGTCACACACTGTTTTTCCGCTCCTCCATTCGTTCTTCTTTTGATTTGCAACGCCATGCCGATTGCGACCGAGCGACCGCTACAGAACCAGAAACGCGCTTTTCTACCTTTCCTAGGTCAATTATACCTCTTTTTGCTGTTTCAGATTGCTTTCGGATTGTTGACGATTTCCAGCCATCGATGTGGGGATCAGAAAGAAAGACTTCATTCTTTTTTACAGGCAAAACCAAAAAAAACCTAGTTCATTTCGAATGAATTTAATTTTGAGGGAGAAACTTTTTTCGGAGAACTATTGAAATTTCAATTATTCTCAAAAACTTTCATTCTTCATTATCGGCGGGCGAACTGAAACGAAATTCGGCTCTTAAGCTTCAAAAAACTAGGAAAAGAAAAGAGAAAAACAGTTCGAAAAATTCCTTCGAAGAGTTTTATCCAAACGGTCCTTCTCAAGCACTTTTGAAACAAAACAAAAAGATGTAGTTGTATTTTCCAACGCGGAACGTCAGAAATACAGGAGATGGCTCTCAAAACAAAAACATCAAAATTTAGAACTCAATAACATTGAATTTCCAGTTTTTTTAACAAAGTGAACAATATTCTTTGCCTTCACTTCTTTCAATAGTTCGGATTTCCTAGTCATTTTCAGCATTAGATTATAGAAATCTCCGAAAAATGACGTTATTTCGGCTTCGTAATAATTATAGACCTTTCTCTCGATTCGGTCTTTGATTATTATAATTTCTGTTCAGATGATACGAATCTAAAAAAGGAAAAAAAGTTGTTTTGTTTCGTTTCCTCATTCGCAAAGCTGGTGTCAACGATGTTGCAAAGAAGAACTTCAACATTTTTTGCAGATCGTTGATTTTTGGAATTCAAACTTTAGTTTTGTTTTTCTGATGTCACAGATTTTGAGTTCACTAAACTAAGAATGAAGATTGTCCCAAGGAACAAAACTCTTCAAAAAACTGAGTTTCGATATATCAGAATGAAACACGAAAAAAAGTACATTTTTAGTTTGAAATATTGTTTCGTTTTCATCTTCGAAAAACCAACAAACTTTGATCACAAAAAGTAAAAAACTCAGAAACCAACAATCCTCGAAGAAATTGAAGTTCTTCTTGACGTCTTCGCACCTGCTTTTGAGATAAGACTTCCCAAAATTTTTTGGTCGACTGCTCGCAAAAAGAAAATCCGAAAGCACTCTCTCCTAAACTCACACCAAAAAGAGCTGATATCTCGCGCTCCCAAAAAAAGGATAAATTCCCACTTGAACCTGCTAATTCCCACATCTGTTAGCTGTGACGCAGCCGATTCCTATAATGTTTGCGTGTTATGCGCAGGGAGGTAGATTAGAAAAAAAATAACTTAGAAAACGAGTTTTGTTCGCTTTCGTTGCGCTGTTCGGCGTCGCCTTCGCGTTTTCGTTTCGTTTCGCTCCGTTTTGGTTTCTTTTTATTTCGTTTCAAATGTCCCGAAGACCAATAATTCCATACAAATGAGCCTTTTTCAGTATTCCAATGTACTCATCCCAGCAGCCACCACCACAGCAGTACTACCAGCAGGGGTCCTACGGAGAAGGACCTCCAGCTCAGCCCCAACAGCATCTCCTGCAGCCTCCCATGCAGCAAAGCATGCACATCCAGCCTCAATCGTACGTCTTTTTATTCTTTTTTTTGTTTTTTTCGGGTGGCCGACGTTGTTTGGAGATTTCGTCGAGCTTGGGTTCTTATGAGTGAGGGTACGTCAACAAAAAATAAAGGATTTCAGTTTTCAGTGTAATCTTTTATAATAATATCGTTCCTTGTTCTCGGATCATCTTTCTCTTTTCACTTCGAAATTTTGAGGAGTTTTTCGAAGAGTCGGGTTTTCAGAAGTGGTTTTAAGCGAGGAAAAACGATGATATATCAAGGGTTATTCTGATTACTTTCTCAGCACTCTTTTGAACTTTTTGGGACTTTAATTGAAAATTCTTTAGCAAACGTCATGAGGAGTGACGTTTAAAACAGGAAGAAGTTGAAATTTCTACGTAATCGAAAAAAATGGCATCGGATTGGTCGTTCAATGGAACAGAGCAGCTGCGAAACTATCACTTATTAGAAAATTGTCTGTTTTTCAAAAGGAAAAAAAATAACTTCACCCACGCGTTTTTTCCTTCCTCCATTTCCATTCTTCCACTAATCCCATGGTAATGTTTTCGAACTACTCAAAAACGTCATTCGTCCGAAACCAACCTAGAAATTCTTGTTCTTCGAGCTCAGGCAGAAAAAAAAAGAAATAAAGAGTGGGCATTGGATATTTGCACAACCTCGCGTCATTCTCATTTCAGCGATTGTCTCTTTTTCCGTAGTTTGAACTCGGCTGTAAAACTACTTTTTGGCCTCTTTACTCTAAAATCAACAGTACAACGGGAAACTTCTCATATTATTTTGTGGGCGAAAAGTTGTCGACCGTCGATTAGTCACGCCGCGAAAAAACCGTGAATCAGAGATTCTGGGCGTCTTTTTGGTGGGATTACTTTTTGACTTGTCTCCAATGTTGTTCTTCATTGCTGACGAGGCTGTACGAATTTGAATTTTTCTCTCATTACTGTCAGAATATTATAACCTGAATTTCGATTCAAATTTCATTTTTATTTTCCTGATCAAAGAAACAATTCAAACGAAGCAGCTGCAGTCTTTCTAAATTTTCCTCTCAGATTGATTGTTTCCTAATTTTTCAGTCCCGGCTATATTTTATTTTTTTTGCCGTGACAGTAGTCAGTTTTGCTTCAGCAAATCTACAAACTTCATAGGAGTAAACAAATAAAAATAACCATTTTTTTATGGTATTGATTTTTGTGATGACTGTGGAGTTTTTTTCAATTGTAAACCTATTGCATAGAAAATAGTGAAATCCATTTTCAAAAAGAGAAAATGATTTTGAGATCTCAAACTTTAAAACCGCGCCGCGACCGCCCGCTACGCAGCTGCAAGTTGTCGCAGAACGGCATTAAAAGGGAACGAAGTCCAATGAAATCAAAATTCGGGAGATATAAAAGCTCTCCTTCTAACTTTTGTTTATCTGATATATGAAAGAAGCCTTAGGAACGCATGAAAAATAATCTTAACTTAGACGTGCCAAAATTTTCCGCTCAAACACATTTTGTTGAAAAATGAAAAAGTTTTCGATTGAAGGTTTCTCCAAGTTTTTCAGTTAGGTCATTTCGGTTATTTTTTGGTTATTTTTTTCTCTTTTGTTTTGATAAAGCTGCTCCAGCTCACACACTTCTTCGTGAAATAGGAACAATTTTGAGTGAAGTCCTTCTTCAGTTTTTCAGTTGGATCATTCGTTTCCCGCTTTAGTCTCGATATATAGCTGCCCTAGTTCCAACTTTGCCTTCTCTGAATATTAGCCACGCTCCAAACACGGAAAGAACTCGATTAAAGTCTTTTGGTAGATGGAAGGAACGGCGCACGGGAAGCAGCTGCAGGCCTTGGGCAATTAGTCAACGCGTCCCCCTCGCGCGCGCGCTTTTTCTGTTTGCTTCGCGCGTTCATGACATTGTGAAATGTGTTGGTCTCAACTTCTAGTGTCCATTCCCTTGTACATATACACCTCTTGAAGTGAGTTGCCTTGAGTAAAAAGTAGAAGTTTGAAAAAAGTGAGGCACAACATGGATTTTCTGCCGTAAAAATTTTGATTCTCCTTTTAACTGCTCTTTTCTCGAACTATGAAAAACTTGATTATTTTTGAAAAAATTGCCATCATGAAAATCTCCTTTATAGCTCTATAATTGATGAAAAAGCATATCAGAAAAAAACAACCATCTTTTTTTCTGAACATTAACTTTTTGTTTCTTTTTTTAAACATGATTTTTGCCAATTAATGGTAATTTTTATAAACTATCACCTCCCGCCTAAAAAAATAATTTCTCGATAAAATAGCTTCTAAATCTTTTGATTTTCTATTTTCTATCATTTGATAATCTTCTTCATTTTTCGGGTGAACTTTTTTCTTTGATCCAAAATCAAAAATCGTAAAAATCGCACTTTCGCCCATATTTTCAATTTGATAGCCTCCTCTTCAAAGACAAAACCCTCAATAAAAAAACCATTTTACAATCATAAAAAAGAAATTTTTCTCCTTCTTTTTCAGTTTCAAAAGCGCCCTTTTCATAGTTTCTTTTAATATGCGGGAAAAAAGGGACTAAGCCGTTTTCACTCGCATAAATTGAAAAGAATATTCGGAAAAAAGGTGTTGTCAATTCCAGGACTTCATACGTGCAAAACGGAATGCATCGTGCTCAAGTGGCCCCGACGCAGCAACAGCAACCTTCTCAGCAGCAGCAGCAGCAATCTATGCAGCGTCAGCCCACTTGGGACTATTACCCAACTCAGCAGCATCAAGTAATTTTTCAAAAATTTCTCTTTTCTGAACGCTTGAGGCTCAACTCGAAAATGTCTTTGTTTTCAAAGGTTTCGATTTTAGTTTGATTAAATCAATGAAACAAAAACTTCGCCTTTGAAGCTTTTTATTTTCAGCAATTTTGAAAAGTTACTCGTGAGAAAGGCTTTTAAAACAAGAAATCCGATTTCGCAGACTCAAGTTTCAAGTGCTTGAGTTTAAACTGGAATTATTCAGAACTATTTCCAAGTTTTGAAATTTTTAAACCTTCCTTCTTTCAACTTTTTTTAGTTTCTGAGGTTTCACGCAAACTTAAAATGAGTTACTTCAAATTTCTTCTCATCAAACGTCTCCAATATTTTTTTAAAAAGTTTTGTTGCCTACATTCAGCTTTTTTTGAATAGAAATCTCAAGTTGAATTATTTTTCGATGCCGGCAAACTTTTTCGAAACAATCGAAAGTTTTACTTGAAGTTAGTCCAGTGTAAAAAAAAATTTTTGATAGCTTTATTTTTTTCATTTTATTTTTCTCCAAAAAAACAGTGTTTCCTAAGATTTGAGTAAAAATTTCAGTTCTTCGAAATTTTCACTCTCAGTTTTGAGACTAAAAGTCGAAGCCAGTTGCTCGACTTGCAAGAATTTTCAATGACAAGTTCTCAGAAACTTGCTGCAATCTTCTAGTTTTTCTCAATTTTCTTCCTTCTTTCTCACTTTTCTCTTTCACCTCTCAAGTTGCATGAGTGAAAATGACGTTGGGTCACACTTTTTCGAAATCTTCCGGATTTAAAACTTCAGCAAGAAGGGGATTTGATTCTCAATTTAACAGATAAGCAAAAATTCTCTCAGAAGTTTTTTGAACATCATTTAATGAAATCCTAGCGGATACAGCGGCTTCTTTATATTTAGCTTCTCATTTCACTGTTCCGTGATCTCATCAAGAAATCAGAAGTCAAAACCAATTTTCCATCTCACGGCTACAAACCTACCTCATATCGAGCGTACAATATGAAGAAGCTTGCCTACAAAATGGGCTGTTTTGAACCTGAACTGCCAGTTTTGTAGTCACAAACCCCGCTCTATGACCTATTTCGCAGCTCAGAATAATCCATTGACGCACGTACTTCATTTCAGATGGTGCAGATGAACTACGGTATGCCCCAGCAGCAGCAGCCACTTCAATCTGCACCTCAGCCGCCTCAGCAACAGGCTCCGCCTCCTACAAAAGCAGCTCCTAAAAGGAAGCGTCCGAGCAAGGCTCAGATCGAAGAAGCTCAGCACGCGGCTTCGATGCAGGCCATGTACCAGGGCGCTCCGCCTCCTTACGCTTATCAGCAGGTAGTTTTTCCAATAAAAAAATTCAGATAAAAAACAGAAACTTTTAGTAAAAAAAAGTTTAAATCTAGGGACTTGTTCCTGTTCAAAAAAAGGAAAACTGACACTTAAAGCCTCATAGATGGCTTAAAAATAAATTTAAAAAATCTTATATTATTGCTGAGAGGTTTCGCTTCTCAGTTTTATAATAAAGGGATTTCTGGACATTTCATTGGATCTGATCAACTCTAAGTAGTCGTTTTGCCCCCACAAGCAGTTCCAAGCAAAGGAAGAAGTAGGAAGTGACTTGCGCGGAATACAACGGCTCTTATAACATCCGGAAAACAAATTATTTGCGGCGGGAACGAACCCTGCAATGAGTTGTTGTTTTCTGGTCCTGCAAGGCTAGTGCCGACACTTCTTCCTTCAACGCGCAAATTCAAGATGGACACTCATTTCTCATTTCCAGGATAACTCAAAGCAGCAACAGCAGCAACAACAACAACAGCAATTAGGCATGCAGCCTCAAGCGCCCCTCCAAAACAATCCGAACCACATGCCCGTGTATAGGTGAATCGAGTTCGATTTTCTAAAATATTCCCTATAAAATCAGAAAAAGTTTTTTTGTAAGATAAATAAAATTAAGAATTTTCGGGCCTTCAGAAGGCCGGAAAAATGATTTCTTTAAGGCAAACTTTTACATGGTCAATTTTTTTGATGATTTTTCGCATATTGTAATTAAGAAAAAAATATTTAAAAAAATTTCTTTTTAAAAAGATGAGGTCGAAAAATCGCTTATTCATTTAAATTCGTTTAAAAATGAACTTTCTTATTAGAATCGGTTTAAATCAGTCAATCGAAATCAGCTTCATTTCACTAATTAATTTTTTTCCGATCTCAGGGTCTCTCACACATAGAAAGAAAATGAGGCCACTGGTCAATACTCCCAAGAACTCTTTCCTTATGCAAGAGTAATTTAATCAAATTGCCTTGCAGCTACTCGCCCGGCTCGTCGCCTTACTGGCCAGCTCAAACTCAGCGACCTCCCTCTAGGTTTTCTTTCCAAACCGGGAATAAAACTATCAATTTTGGCAATCTTCAGGTCCGACTACGTCCGTATGGAGCTGAGAAACGCTCTCCAGGCCAAACAGCAGCATCAGCAGCAGCAGCACATCAGCCCAATGCGTCAAACCCAACAGCTCAACCATGCTCAGCAGCATCCTCAGGCGCACGCTCAGGCTCACGCTCAGCCTCAAGTTCAACTCCAAGCTCAAGCTCAAGTTAAAGCTCAAGCTCCGCCCCAGCTTCAACCAATGCAGCAGGCGCCTCAGCAGCAGCAGCAGATGGTTCAGCAGCAGCTCCGTCAGCAACATCACCATCAGCAAAACATGCAGCAGCACCAGAACATCCAGCAGAACATCCAGCAAAACCTCCAGTCTCATCAGCAGAATGGTCAAATGACCCAGCAGCAAATGCACCATCAGCAGCAGATGCATCAGAGGACGGAGATGTCTCCTCAACAGGCTCATCATCATCAGATGCAGATGCGTCAGCAGCAGTACCCGGCTCATCATCAGATGCCCATGCAGCATAACCGTCCTCGTAAGTTTTCAAAAAATCATAGACTTTGAAATGAATAGTGCATGAACCGGCTATGATAGAAAACTGTGGGATATAGAGTCAGCTTTTTAGAGCGCCTTCTGAAAACAAAAAACATTCATTCTTTCTAATTATTATCTTTTTTCAGAGCCCATGCAAAACGGCACCCAGCCAATGCAGCAGCAGCAGCATCAACAGCCTCAAGTTCAACAAGGAGCTCCACAAAAACCATTGTCAGACCAAAGTCCAGTTCCATCAACTTCTTCCAGCGTCGCTAGCCTCGACTTCGGAAGTGATCTCGGCTACATTGATTGCCGGGTAAATCATAACTGGACTCAAAATATCTCAACAATTTATTCAGGACCCTGAGTACCCCAAGTCTTACACCGAGCTCGAGAAGAACCTGGAGTCTCTTCCAGTTCACGATTTCAACCTTTCTGGCGGCTGCGGAGTGAGTTTTTTTTTAAACAAACAGTCTGGAAAATTGAACTTCTGTTGACAAACTTTATGGCAGGCCTGGAAAAGTTAAAAATGCTGGATAGGGGTTTCTTTCTACTCAAACTTCAGGATGGACCAAAATGATCTGACTTTGAAGAAATAAAAATGCTCGCGTCTTTTCTCGACTTCTTCAAGTAAAAATAATTTTCTGTGGGAAAAATGTGTTTTGAACTGGATGCATTCCATCCGGGATAACTCGTGATTGTTTACGGGCCGCGACAAAAAAAAACTCATCTTCTCGGGTACAATGACCGACCAAAATGATAAAAGACCAGCATTGCTGTCTGGTCTGCAGTCTCTACTTTTGCATCACATTTCTCTTCTCTCGAGGTCCTAAACGTTCAACAAACACAAGGAAAAACCTCGAAACGATTCAAACTGTCGCGGAAAAAGAGTTTTTATCGAGCACGTGAAAGTATTGAGGGCAGTATTAGAGACGGCTTTATATTCATAGTATTCTCAAAGAAAGAAACAATTTCATTCAAAAAAACTTTGCAAAAACTCAGTCAATCATCTTTACATTGAATCTTTGGAAAAAGTTCAAACCGGAGCAGGAGAAAAACTTCACGACTTTCATGTGACAAACAAGCAAAAAAAAAATTTAAAAAAATAAGGCACGTCAAATCTTGCTGAATCACACAACAGCGCGAAGTTACGAATGACCGGTTGCACTGAAAAAAAATTCATTTTCAATTCGTTCTTTCTGCGAAAGCATTGCTAGGCCGAGGTCAATTGTCTTCTTGTTTTCATTAATATTTGAATATTTTTCTGAGATTGATTTTCTTTCTTTCAGTTCGACATGGACAACGAGTACACCCGCTGCCTGGTCATGCAGCTCCTTCTCCTCAAGTAAAGAGGGACAAAAAGAATTGAACCTCCTTCCGCTGTAAAAATTCACAGCTCCGATTATCCATGATGATTGAGATTTCCAACCTCAATAACTATTTATGCCATTTCTGGACCACCGAAGTCTCAAAACTTCTTCTGAAAACCATCTTTTTGGTGTTCCAAATCAGTAGAACTAGAATTCCGGCCCCTACCGGTGTTTGTGCATAATTCCAACCTTCTTTGTTATTTTACCGGCCGGTACCGACCCAATTATTCTCTCATTATCCATGCCAGTGTAGACACATGTAGTATACATTTGTAATGCGTTTTTTTTCCATTGATATCCGGTTTTGCAACAAATCTTCGCCCCCACAACGCTAGCATTACTGTCAGGTCAATCTTACATTTCTTTTAAAAATTTTTTTCTTGTTGTAGTATAAATTGTGGTTTAGTCAGCTTGTCCATCCAGCATTCCTTTTCGCCATCAAATTGTCCAAATACCATACTTTTCCACCCAAATATTAACGATTATTCTAAAACAAAGCCGCCCGTTGTCCAAATTTGCACTTGCACGTGTAACCATCACATAGTTCACAAATTCACAATAATTTTAAAATTATAAGAGCCCATATTGTATTTCTAAAACATGTAGTTGTTCCTTCTCTTTTTTTTCGTTTTGACTGTGTTGTATGAATTTGAATTTGTCCTTTTAAGTAGTTAATTAAGGCAGCATTTGAATTGAAAGGACATTTTTTGTTAAAATCAATCTTTGTAACTGTTCCATTTTTTCACAAATATCCACCATTTCCATTGTATTACTTAATTCCGGTGTTTTTTGAACAATAAATCGTTATTAACAAAGTTCCTCGTTTTAATCGAAAATGATAAAGCAAAAATTAAGAAATTTTGCAGCAATGAGGAAATTTTACCTTACTGAGAATAAAAAATGAAGAAGTTAGGAACATGCTCTCACACCTCCAGGAACAGGTTTCTCACAAGTGAAGGCTTCGAAAAAAACTTGGAATAAAGATTATTCAGACCACAAGGAAGTGGAAAGTACAAACTGAGTAAAGTGGTTAATTGAAGATTTTTTAAATCATCATTTTTATTTAAGGCAGTCTATATATTCAGAGTTTCGGGTACCCATATTCGGAACTTTACAGTCAATAACGGAAAAAAACATTCCGGAAAACAAACCCCCTGATAGGGAGTTTTTCTGGGATTTCTATCAAATTTTCAGCCGGCCACAAAAACTTTCCTCTGAATCATTAAAAAAACGGTTTTTTTCTCTTTTTTTGCAAGAATATATGAAATCATAGTTGAAATGGCCTTGTTAGACACTATTGAAGACCGTAGTCCTATTGAAAAATTTGATTCTTTGAAAGAAATTGAAAGAACAACAAGGCACAAAGCTTGAAAATGACGCTATCTAAAAACTTGAAAAAATACCTTTACCGTATGATTCTTTGGAGCAAAAAAAAACTCTGCTGAAGACGTCTTGATTAAATCATACCACATTATTCTATTCTACCAAGCAACAATTTCATTTTGGCGTTTGGATTAAATGACCTGCTTCTGTCCTGATTCTGGTGAAGCTGATTTCTTCAAAACTACAAGAAGAAGCTTGAAAATCTGGTTTGGTGGAATTTCTGAAAATTTTTCCAGTTTTCCTAATGAGCACAAGGAGAATCTTTAGAAAAAAATGAAGGTTTATTCTTTCAACTCTACCAAACTTCACAGAAATATTTGTATTTTTTTGATCTCAAACAGAGTTGTGAAAAATTCTATCAGGGGTCTTGACAATTTAATTCCAGATTTGCTTATAAAAACAAATAAATAAAGTGAGATAAGAGTAAAATTTGTGTTTGAAGGCTGATAAAAAAATCTTTACAGTTTATGGTAAGCGATCAAGTAAGAATAATACAATTTCAATGCTGACTGCAATAAAAATAATTTTTCCGAAGCCAAAAGTATACTTTCGAATTTCGTGTGAATCCATCTTTATGAAAAAAAAAGTTCACTTGAAGATAACCATTCAAAAAAGTTTTAAATGTCGATTTCAGGAGCGAGTACTAGGAAAATTCCTAACTTTAGGGTAAGCGGATAACTAGAAGAAAACGATGGAATTTTTTAGTGACCAAAATTGAAATAACTTTCTTCGAAGTCAGAAGATTCTGTTTGTGAACACAGCTTCGTCAAGAACCCTATATTTTCAAAGAGAACAAAAGAAGTTCCAAGGTCGTTTTGAAAAGAGAGTACTAGGAAATTCCATAATTTTAGGGTAAGCGGATAACAAGACTTAAAAGACGAAGGTAAATTTGTGTTGGCAGCGGCACCCGTTGATATTTGTCTGGTACAGGCGAACAAACGACGGCGCATGCAATTTTGTTCCCCTTTCTTCCTTGTTCTTCCGACTTTTCGACATTCTTCATTTTTAAAGTTTCCCTTCTCTTCAGAAACACTAAGAATAACATACAAAAAGGTGTTCTTCGATCGGTTTCAGGATCTTCTTCGCTTTACTTACATGCCCCTTGATAGAAAACCATTAAGTTTTCAGGATTTAAAAACTTTATTTAAGCTTTCTTTATGACCCGTGATATCTCAAAATGAATTCATTATTTTTTTATTTTTTTATTTTTTTATTTTTTTATAATTTCCAATTCTCGGTTAAAGAGTTATTCTGAAAGTCTCCTTTTGTTCACTGGAACTCCTCAGATTTGGATACTCGAAAATTAACAGCAATGTTGAAAAACAGGTTTAGAGGTTCTATAAGATCTTATAAATTTCGTCTTACACCTTTAAAAACAATTTTTGTTGTGTTTTTCTAAAAAACAACGGATATTGAGTCCCCCGATCTTTTTCAAAATGATCACCTAAAAAATTTCTTCTGATTGTCAATGCTTTCTTAAGTCTGCTTAAATTTTTTTCAAATTTCATCTTTGCTCCTAGTTTTCTGTTGATTTTTGAAAGTGACTCAGAGATGATCGACAAGAAACTTTGAGTGGATTCCTTCAGAACTTTAGGGTTCCAACTCAATTTTTCATCAGGTAAAAAAAACCATCTTCTCCTATTCTGCGAGTTCTTTATTTTTTTCGGAATTTTCAACATTTTTCAATGGATACGGAGCCTATTTCTCAGCATTGGGGACCACTGTGATTTTTGAGAATTTTTTTTTGCGAAAGTCGCTTTCTGAAGTTTGTTCAGTTTCTTTCAATTTCTCTTGTTCTATTTTCAGCTTCTTACCCAGTTCTCTGATCACAGGCAACTCAAGGACAGGTAACCGAAATTTGAAAAATGCATAGTTTTAGAGCTTTCTTATCACTCAAAGACGATGTGAGGAATTCTCAGATTTGCTAAAATGAAATAAAAAAGCTCTTTTTCGGAAACTTTTGTGTACAGCTGGGCTCCTGCGAAAATTTTTAGTGGTTACTATAGGGTTTTGACGTTTTAGTGGCTACTATAGAAACCAAATTAATGACCACTAAAGGGGTTAAAATCTGGTAACCATTATAGAGGTCTAAGTGCTACTACTAGACCACTAAAAATTTTAGTGGCCACTTTAGGGTTCATAGATCAACATAACCGGTTTATCTGTTTTTTTTTAATTATCAGAGTTACTGGATGAAAAACTACTGAAGTGGACACCAAATAGAGAAACTTTAGAGTGGTCATCAAAACGGAAAAATAGTGGCTTTTTATAGAGGCGAGTTTTTGTGGCCACTTTAGTGTCCTCTCTAAGTAGTCCTTGGCGAGCCTCTCTAGTGGCCATTTAAAATTTTCCCAGTCATTCGGTCTTAAAATTTTCAAGACCAAATTTTTTTTGCGGAATAAAAAAAGCCTATAAAATGAAGAAATAAACAGGATTATTTCCTCCCGTTAGAAGAAGATTACCTAAGAAGTCAACTTTTTTATTCCTCGCCTTGTTTTCGAATACAGAATTGCGTCCTCCTTCAAAAACAATTTTTTTTTTCAAAACTTGGTGAATGCCTCGTTTTCAAATGGAAAAATCAGCTGATTTGTGGTTTTCTGGTCGTTTCTTTCTTTTCTCCTAAGACCCAATTTTTTCTTCTGGATTCAGAGAATGAAGACCCCAATCAAAGTGAACAGAGTTACGCCTTTTCGAAGCTTTTTTGCGACGTCACCCCATTATTCAAAGATTTCACACAAACAGATGGGCTGTTCAATTACGCATGCTTCCGTTAGAAGCATCCTCAATTTTTCTACTTTCCACGTCAGATGTTTCAGTTCATCTTTGTTTTTTACTCGATTCCTATAAATACACATAATGATGATGAAAACTTTCATGGAAAGAAAAAAATATTGCAAGAACTGGGGTTCCAATTTTTTTCTCCAAATGATAAGCCAGTGATCAAAATCGTAAAATCGAAAGATCACGATATCAAATTTTTGTTTCTCATTATAAAAAGTCTGGAAGCAAAGATGAGTATTTTCTCAAACAACTAAAAGTTGAAGCAGTTTTTCAGGAATACTTGAACGTCTTCACCAGAGCCTTCAATTGAAAATATTGCGACTAAAGAAAAAAAAAGGTTTCAACTTCAAAATCGAATAAAAAAACCAATTTTTTTGACCTTTTCAAGAACTTTTTTTCTATTGGAAGGAAAGTACGGTTCAATAGCTCTTTTTTTTTTTGACAAATCGTTGAAGCCGCGTCAAAAAAAGAGCGTGCAATTCACGAACTGTCGATTGCTCGGGAGGAAAAAAATTAATTGGCAACCGTTGAAATTAAGGCATACCCACTCTTACAATATAAATAATAGAAACTTTGGGTTAGCAATGCCTTTCCAAACTTTATCCGAGTGCAAGTTTGCTCTAAAAACTCGAAACCTTCTACAGACATCCTACAAACATTCGAGAATCGGAGTAAAAGCTCAGTTCAAGACCAATCTTTTCCTTTTTTTCCAAAGATCTCTGTTAAAACTTGAAACCACAGAACTCACTTATCATAGACAGTTCTTGTTCCTTGTTTAGCTTACAACCATTGTTTTCCATGTTTCTTTATTGGATGATGTGTTTGCCGGAAAAATTGCCTTTTGACACAAGCACGAGACGAAGCTAATCGGTTCAATCAACTTTCAAACAGCACTTATCAGTGAGGGCTTTGCACCATGTTTATTCACAAGAAAGTCAAGGTGTTGACCTTAAAGAAAGGTACAACGCCTTCTTGATCGTTTAGTTTTCTTTTCACGAGCCTTCTCGTCATTCACGCCAATTTGTAATTATCGTTCAAATACAAAAAGTTTTTTTTTTGATTTTTGGAGACTCCGGTTCGAAGTTTTTGAAAGCTTCAGAGTCTAATAAGCTTCAAATGAGCTCAACTAGAATGATTTTTTGATTTCGAATTGTTCAGAATCTTTTTGAAAACTGCAAACACCATTCGAAACTAAAAAGTTTCTCTCACTGTCCGATTTTTTTCCAAAAACGTTTTTTGAGCCTTTCCTTGGCTGCGTAATAAGTTGAATACATTTTTATTCCTGTTTCAGAGTACGCCTACCAAGACAAAAATCGAAAAAATTCTCAACTCAATTCAAAACGTACACGATACCCAAGTTAGGAACCTCCATCAATTTGTCAAAATTTTTTCAAAAAAACCCGTCTCGATAGACTTGAAAGATTTGACCGACAAACACACCTCAAAATGATCTGAATTCGAAAATATTTCCAACAAACGTTCTATAGGTTATCATATTTGAGTCATCGTGTTTTTGTCCTCAAAAATGCCCTTTTCTGAAAAGAGACGACCATTTTACAATTCTTTGACTTGTCACTTTTGGACGCTGTTCAGTTCTTGGCTGTAGCGAAAACTACTTTTTTATGAAATTCAAGAAACCGCAATGTATGTTTATTTTTTTTCCGACAAAAATAGCCTGTTTTTTTCGGAAATACCAACAGGTAGCTACAGAACAAAAGGAACTTCTTTTCTTTTCAAACATTTGTTTTTTTCCAACGTACTTTCCAGCAAATGTTAGGAAAGCACGAAAATTGTTTTTTTAGAAATATTGACTTTTTGTCGTCATGTACTACGTTTGTTTCCATATTGAGATAGAATCCAAAAATTTCCAGTTTTGACGTTACCCAAAAGAGTGCGGAAATTATGTACGTCAACTTTTTTTGTACCCTCCATTTGTTTGACTCTATGTATCAGGCTCAGAAATCGTTTTTTTCTTTCTATATGGCTATATTTGAGAACTTTATTCTCAAAAATCTTATAAGTGAAATCAGAAAAAAATTTGATGTTTATTTACGGAAAATTATAAATTTTTTTCTCAAATCTCTCCCAAACCACTTTATTTCCCAAAAATTCCGAAACAACTTTAAAAAAATTTGACCGAAAGTTTATGAAATCTATTTTTTTGTTTCATTTAGTTTCGATGTAACAGTTTCAGTTTGGCAGCTGTTTCTCTGAAATTCAGAGCTACGAAACTCTTTTTTTCCCACATTTTGGTCTTTTTTTGCTTTCATTTGATTCTATTCAAGTTTTTGAGATCTCCAGTCTTAACAAAGGAATCCAAAATTGAAGCAAACTGGAAGGAGAACAAGAACAAAAGGCTATTCAGTCTTTATTTCAGTGATTTTTCATTGTTTTTTTCTAGCCACAGTCTCCAAAATTACTTTCATAATAGTGAAATTCAGATAACTTCAGATAAAAACTCCAAAAAAAAGCTTCGAAAGTAATGTGATTTTTGTGAAATAAAAAGTGTTCCTATATTTTTTCTTTCTTTTCATAATTTATTGAAATTCAGAGAAGTTTAAAGATTATCTATAAGAAATGATGAAAAAAAGAAATGGAACTCCACACGATTTTTCTTGTCGTTCATCTCCTAAAGTTCCAAGCTCGGCGGGTCCATTCAAAACCGAAGCTAATTAGGAAAAACGAAACGTTACACACTTGGACTCGATTTAACTACACTTTTTGTTGCATCGGCCCGGAATTGGGCCGCCTGATGACATCCAAGAGAAAAAAAAAGGGCCATTCCCCCGGTACCAGGATTGCAAACACGCGCTCACATCAACAGGAAAATTCATTTCTAGGCCGGCACAAACGTCAGCGGTAAAGAGTCGTTTTTTTTCTTCTTCTTCTTCTTCTTTTTCCTATCGTTTCTTCTGGAGTAAAAAGCCAGGCACGAGGCCGTGAGAACTTTTTTCGCCGCCTACGGGTAAACGTGAGAAAAATGTTTCTTCCAGAGCTTTACCTCTTCATAACGCACATATCCTTCTTTCTTACTGCTGAGGTAATACTTTTAAGCTCCTCATTAAGCTGTGTCAATATTTATTTTCCTAGAAGGTAAGAATGAGAAGTTAAAAAATGACCTTTATTTTATCATTTTCACTTAAAGACGATATAATCTTCTTAATCAAATCTATTCTAAATAATTTTTACCTGGGCCTGTTTTTATCAATATTATAATAATTTAGCTTACGTGATTTTTTTCCCTAAGTTTTGGTTGATTCATTAGAACTTACCACGTCAAGTGGAATGAATCCTGTTGGTTTCTAAAGTAACGCTTTATTATTCTATGAATCGCTCCGAAGTTACTTTCTATCGAATCTCCCTCAAAATTATTCACTCAAAAAGTGAGAAAAATGTTATATTATTTTTTTAATATTATATTTCGATCAAGTTTTTTTGAATTTCAAAAGATATATTTTTTTAAATTCAGTTCAAAGGTGTTCTCTAAGCGACCTCATGACGTTGCCGAATTAGTTATTTTTCTAAAAAGAATTCTTAGTGCTCCCATTGTTCGAACTCAGAAAAATCTCAGTGAAGCGTGAAGAGAACTTTTGAAGATAAAAACTTTCCAAAAGAGATTTTCCAAGCCTGATCCAAAATCAGTTTTTAGTAAGCTTAAGGCATAATTTGATAATTTTTTTGTTTGTCAAGCTCTCAATACTTATATCTTCAAAGAAAAGAAATTGAATTGACACCAAAATCATAAAAAGGAAAAATTTCTCAATTTCGATTCTTCCATCTCGCTCAAATTTCAGCTTTCAGTGTATTCAGTCATGACCTAATCAACTTTGTTTCTTTGAAAAGTTCTTAGGACTATTATTTTTCCTAAATCCAGTTGTTTACCCTCACTGCTACTCTATTTCTTTGTTGTCTATTCGTGAATAATGGCTTTGCCGAATGCTTCATCTGGAATTGTTTTTCTGTCTTTTTTAGGATGTTGACGAGGCCAGTAATATTATTGAACTCTTATGGAGTCTTCTTCCTGAAATTGCTGCATGAGTTTTATGGTGTTAAGTTCGACTTTCATGAAATAAAAGGTTTTTAGAATCAGGATTATTCGGTGTGTAGTACGAATTTCCGCAATTTTATTGCCAAAGTTTGAAATTTTCTTCTTCAAGATCGAATTCAAGTGGTTCAAGTTTATCTTGGATTTAGTGCGAAGAGAACAGTCCGTCAATAAATACAATAAGTTGTCAATAAACTCTAAGCCGTGGTCGCACATGGAATGGCTCAAAATCTCTCAGTCGCAATCTGGCCGTCCATATCTAAATTTTCTGTGAAGCGCAATTTTCAAAGCTCAAGTCGTTTTAAGTCGGGTGCTCTTGGAACAATCGTTCTGCACCGGTACTTGTCGAGCCATCCGCCACGAACGCATACTTCGACTTTATTGACAACAGAATTGATCAAACTTTTTAAACCTCTCAAAACTTCATTTTTCTGAGAGCATTCAAGTCGCTAATATGCGTGACCTCCTGCCTCTAGCCTTCTTGTTTTTCATCTTAGCTTATTAGGAGAAAAAAGGGCATTTCAAATGTGATCTTCTGTTTTCCGAGACATCTCAAAGAAAGAAGTTGGTGAAAAAGAAAACCACGCGAAAGGACGCATGAACTCATTGTTCAAAGTTTGTTTCTACTATTTTCTTTTTTCAACTCGATCTCAGTTATTCATCCGATTGTTTTGTCGTCACACAGAAAAAATGTAGGAGTATTTGCTCAATAGTTTAACTAGTCGCTCTTTGAAAGTATCGTCACTTCCACGTTCACCAAACTCCAAATTGTTTCCTTCCTTTATAAGATTGCTGTTCCGGGGGTTGGGATGTGTTTTTCCTTCAATTTTCCTACTATCAACTCTGTTTTTTTTTGATGTTTGGGAAGATTCGATCATTTTCTCTCTTTTTTTACAAAACTTCCATTTTTTGTGGAACGGAGGTCATTACTGATACCAAAATTTTTTCCGTTTTTTTCTGAGTTATAAAGGAAAATCGGTAAATTCTTCCCGCCCCTGCCTGGTGATGAAGGTGTGAATCTCGGAATTTCATTTCAGAAGAATATCTTTGAAGCCCTACGACAGTGAAATTGAAAAATTTTTCATATAACGCCTACGAAAAATTCTCGAAAAGTGTTGAAACAACTTTATTGAAACTTTTAAACTCCACACTAAAATGACCTTCTTTCATAAAAATTCCTACGCTTGACTTGTTTTCCTCGTGTTCGAATACCTTTGCCGTCGTTTTTTTTTATCAGAAAAAAAACTTGGAAACTTACATTCCCGTTTCAGCAGGGTCCGAGGTATGCTGCGGCACTGGCGCTCGGACCCAGTTCTCATCAAACCAAGCTATACTGAATTCATCAGAAAGTGGAACTCCAATGGTTTTTACACCTTTTGGTCTTTGATTTTCGAAGGAATTTTATTGCAGATTTATTCGAAACGGGTTTCTGCACGGCTGACCTTTATGGCATCGTTATTACTCTCAGTGAGGTGGGCTAAGATTTTTTTTTTCTATGAAACCGTATTTTTCAGGTGAATTACCTGACTAAAGAAGAATCTACGCCCTTTGAGGAAAGAGATAAGAGGCAGAGAAAGTTGTCCCATCAGATGAAGAGGCGGAACAGTGTCATTTTAGCTAATATTCGAGAAGAAGAGTTTCAAACAGGTTAGATTTTCAGATGGCGTTTGGAAAAAATTACTTCGAACAAGAAAAACACTCATTCCTGTATGTTTTGTATCAAAACGAAAAAATTTCTTGTGTTTTTTATCTCCTTGAGAGATCATACAATCTTTTCACTCAGAGGTCCAGTAAAAAAATGATAGCCTTCCAGTTGAATTTGGGTGTGAATGAGGTTTCCAGTGTTCATAGCGTACCTATTGAATCAATTGAAGAGTTTCATTGCGAACTTTTTTTGATTCGATAACTTCTTTTCTAATAAGCTCTCAAAAAAAATTTTTTTAAATATTCACAGATCTTCTGAAAAAAATTTTTTTCAAAAATTGGAATGAAAAATTGTTTCTTTTTTTCAACTAGGAATTTCACATCTTTCCAGCGAGTTCGAAGCGCTGGAACTCGAGCGAAGAAATCCGAAGAGGTCGCTTGGAATCAACTAACAGCAAACGCGTTTCCTTCTCAGTGAATGCTCCTTCCGTTCAGAAGTTCTCTGCTCCTCCCAGCTTACATCAACTTGATGTCAGTTTATTTTTTGCAGCGAAAAATGAGAAAAAGGATTGAAACTTGACTTCTTGGTACCTTTGAAATAATCACGAGGTTTTAGCAAGTTTGTAGCCTTGAGAAGGGGTTTGGAGTTTTGCATTGTCTGTGGGAAATGATTATTTTCATGCCAAAAAAAAAGCTTTACCGAGGGATCACACTATATTTTGGGACATGTGAAAGTTTTATTTTTTATTTTTTTGAACAGAGAACGTTCAAGAATTGAAAAAAACAGACGAAAAAAGGCTCTACAGAACTCACTGTTGAAACATACCATGGAAAATAGCTAATGAGTTCCGTTTGCAGGAATTTATCGTTTGAAAAGTACCTTGATCAAAATTGTTTTAAATTTCTTTCGCATAAAAGATGCGGAAATCAAGGTTTTGTCTCATAAATAATGATCTAGAGGATATTCACGGCATACTATGACTCATCAGCTCAACGGAAAAAAATCAAATTAACTTTCAATAATTTCCAAAACCCCTCATCACCCACAACTTTACAGCTCGACCTCCCCCGACCAATTCTTCGAAAACCTTCGATAAATGGAAAGGAAACGCTGTGTCATATGGACTTCGATACTTTCGTGGCTTGGCGGCGTGGATCCAAATTAAGCGATGACGTCATGCGGTCAAGAAAAGAAGCGCTTTTCGGGAAAGACCAACCCTCCAAGAGTTCCTGTGGAGACTGTTGGCTTTTCAGTGCAGTCAAGGTTAATAGTTTTATTTTCAAGATAATTTCTCCTCTGAACTGATAACTAAGGATATTTGAACGAATAATATCAACTGAGGATAAACTGATCAAGTTTTTCATTCAATTTTCGAATGTAAACAAGAATTTGAGAAACCCTATATGGACCACTTGAGCTTGAGGTGCTCAAAAATCAGATCATAAACGTCTACAGGGACCTCCAAAAGTTTTCCTCTAGGGTTTTTTCCTCTGAACCATATAGGGACTACTCTGTCATTTTCAAAATGTTTCAAATTGTTCACAGAAACTCGCTCCTTTTTATATAAAATTATCCTTTTCTCCTTCTTTCTTCTTCAAACAGTGAGAAAAAAATCCCAGCCCTCATAAAACTGAGTTATTGCGAAGAAAATATCTTCACTCAAAAACAAAATTAGCTCAGACAATAAGATTTTACTAACTTGATTATCTTTTCCAACAAAATTGGGAGAAAGGCAATTTTCGGGAATAAAGCGTTTGAGGGCCTGAAAGAAAGATTTTTTTATGTTGATTAATAAAATATCAGTCTTTAAAAAAATTCAAAAAGCTTCATTCAGTGTTATTCTCTAACCTTGAAAGCAATTGTTTTGGTCTAGTGCCCTTTTTTTTCAATAGTTTTGACATTTATTAAATAAATTCGTTTTCAGAGCGTTTTTGAGAGCTGCCTGAAAAAGCCGCGGATAAACCCATCCGACAACGACAAAAAAGATACCGACGTCATATCGATTGCCAAATTTTGATAACTGGTAAAAACTCTTCCGCCACGCCTCCCCCAATGATTTCTGTACAAACCGTGACTTCTCTACGTTGCTTTATTTTCCAATTGTTTTTCCTTTGTTCATCCTAAGTTATACCATTTATTAAACTCTAAAAATGACATTCGTTGAAAATTTTCCCGGACAAAGCTGTACAACAAAAGAAGCCAAAGGTACAAATAAAGAGAAAGAAAAAAGGAAAGAAAGGTTCTGAAAAGGATATTTGACATGAACACGGTCTTTACCCGATTACGCAGAAATGTGATGAAGTAGCTGAAATTATAAGTTATTTTTTTGTTTTTTTGATACTCAGCTATTTCATCAGATTGATACGAAAAAATGAAAACGAGTAGTTTTTTTTAGTTTTGTTGAGATACGGTGGCGTAGATCCAGTGACATCCGATCATTCCTTCTTTGGAGTCGTGGAGAATCGTGTTGAGCTGCTTGGCGTCGAGGTTGTTGATGGGCCGGTCGAAGATTCGGGCGGCGATCACGAGTGGGATCTCCTGAGATTCACAATGCTCGATAAAATTCATAAAAGTCGCTGAAAAATTATTTAAATCTTGGGAGAGCAGCTCAAAACCAAAAGGTTTCTCTTGAATTGAGAAAAACTTTTAAGATGAACTTTTTCACGTACCTTGAAAACATTCCAATCAAATGTACATTTAGGAAGAGGGCCAAATTGTAATTTGACGATAAATAGGAGATTTACCGGTTCTGATTTTTTTTGAACTTATTTTAATGAGAAGACTTGATAAAAAATAGTCTTCCCTGGTCTTTAAATTATGGGGAAAGATATTTACAGTAATCTCAATTTTTCAGTATTTATTTTTTTGTTGTTTGAGCTTTGCGTACCAGTTGGGTTAAAAAAAGTTTTTTTCAGTTATCAAAGAAAAAAAAAATGGAACTTACACCAGAGCGAGCTCGAGAGCTGACAAAGAGGTCCCACAGCTGCTCAGCACGACTGGCGTTCTGAATCAAACATTTATTGGTTTGTAACGAGTCAGATTTTCTTCACTTCAAAATGATGTACTTTCAAACACAAGAAAAATAAAATCAATAACCGACCTGGTCAAGGAACGGCAGAAGTTCGTTTTTGGTTGGCAGGCAAACTCTCAAGGAAAGGTCGGTGTATAATCCGGCTGGGAGACCCTAAAAAGAGATATTAAATTGGGAGCTTGAAATGTGAGGAAGGTTACCTGAACAGAGCATTGAGCTGGCTTGTCACCTTGGAAGATTTGGACAAAATTCTTGAGAGAGCCGCCCATAGTGCGGCAGATATCGCAGTGGACGCTGGAAATAGCCTGTTAACATAGAAAAAACTCGGAGCCACCGTTTGTTATCGCGAAAAATTAGTGGAAACTGGCTAGAAAATATTTGAACTCAGACTTCAGTAGTTAAAAAATATTTTGATAACCTCGGAGATACAAAATTTAGACGAAATTTTTTCAGAGAGGATCGAGATATTTCAAGAAACTTTAAGAAACTAGCCTTTAAAAGGTCGTTCAAAAGCCTTAGCTTGAAAAAGGAAAATATTGGAAACGACAATTTTATTCTTCACAGTCTGTCGGACAAGATCAATTTTTTTTCGTATTTTGCTTGGGTTTTATCGCTTTAAGTATGAGTAATACATACTTTTTGGTCCCTACAGGGGCCAAATACAAATTTAAACAAAACAAGTCTTGAACCCCAGTCAACATTCTTCTTGCCTTCAGATGAAACTCATAAATGATCTGGGACAGACTTTGAAAGTCCTACAAATACCTGAATTTGAACTCTTTTCGAGGAACTACTAGAGCTCAGTTTCCCCTCTAAATTTCAATTCGATCAAGACATGAATCTTTTAAGAAACAATAAATTCGAACTGGCGTTTTTGAATAGTTCCGATCACGACTCACCAAGATCCGATTCCTCCACAGCCATTAGAGTCGGCGTTGACACATCGTTCTGGCTTTCCATGGATTCCGATGCGAGTTTCCAAGTGGACGTAATATTTCTTCGATCCATCAAGTCCTCCTCCGTATACCTTGAACAATCAACAATAATAAACTTAATTTTTTTATTTGATTATGATACCTCGACTTTGCCGCCGGCCATTCGGAAACATTTGTGGCCTTGTTCATTGACCTCCTCGTGGAACTCGACTCCAGCAGTTTTGTAAGACGGGAACTTTATCAGTAGGTTCTCTTTTTTGGGTCCTAGAACGAATTATGTAAGTAGGACAATCATCAAAACTTTTTCGCCACTGTCAAGATTAAGTTCTCCTCAAAGTCGGTATTGATGATTTCAAATAAAGACATTATCGTTTTTTTTTTGTTTTCTAATGATTTTCGATAATTATCTCTCACATGATCTGCAACTCTTCCTGATTTCTAATTATTTGTTTGGCTTTCGCATTTGAGTGAAAAAAGAAACTGCGATTTCGGATTTTCCACGGAGTCTGAAGGCTAAGCAAAGTTTCTTCCAGCTCTACGTTAAGAATTACTCTGAAATAAAAAAAAGACAGGATATTCCAATTTTCCATCTAGGACTGGTGATAGAACTTTCTAACGCTCCACGTGGTGATATGTAATTTATTTGTAAGGAATAATATCCGTTCTGAAATGTTTGCCGGAATCTTAATAAAACACCCAAAAAGTTCCCTTATCCATACTATTATCTTTGCTCCAAACCGCGCATCCGAAAAATTCTGTTTTTTTTCCACGCGGCTTGCAGAAACGATCTCTCTATCAGAGAACCATATCATCTCCAAAATCAATAACGGTGCCAAGTTCGGCGAGACGGCGCTCGTTTCAGACAACGTAGACAATTCAAAACAGGAAACCCGGCGACACGCACATCTAGGTGATCGAGACTGGCCAAGGACGGCCGAAATCGCCCTGATATCGGCTATCACTTATCGATCTGTTCCGCTTGATGTGACCTTTCTAGATATCGGGTCAGGAAAGAATTTTTTTGAAAGTATCGATTGGCGAAGCTACAAAAAAAAAATTAAACAAAAGCTTCACATCGATAGCTAGAATAGAAAAAATTTGAAAAATTTATCCGCGACTCCAAAAAAAAGTGGAAAAGTTTTAACTTTGGCAAATTGTGGTGATAGAGTAATTCCCTAACAGGGGAGCTCATTTAACTTTGCTTTTGGAAATCACTTGAAAATCGCACTCTTTAATGTACCAGAAAAGTATCCTAAAAGTTTCAGACTGCACAACTCCTGAGTTTTCGAAAAATGAGGGCTCAAAGCCCCAATTTAACTTATTTTAACGGAGTTTGAGGGTTTTCTTTGACTTTGAGGTTTTCTTTCTCAAAAAATAAGAATTTGTGGAAATTGAATTTTTCAGAATCGTTTTCTAGTACGTCAAGGAGCGTTCTGACGGATTTTCAGAAAAATCCCAACCGCAAAGTAAAATGACCTTTTTGTAAGCTTTTTTTGATGTGCCTGAGAAAAAAATAGTGAGAAGAAATGAGAAATATATCATTTTTTTAAATCTCTACTGATTGAAAAAAATTTTTGTTTGCATGTCGTTTATAGCAAAAAAATTATTTTTGACAGAAGGAGGATTGATAGTTAAATTTGAGAAAAAAAGCGTGTTCTCACGGAAATATAAAAAAAGGCCGTTCAGTGATTATAATTTCTTGAAAAAAAGTAATTTAAAATATCGCAAGTCATGAAACAACTCTTTCCAGCATACCTGGAAGTACGTCAGTAAGGCTTTTAGAAACATGAGTCTTTTCAACTTTGATATTTTTTCGAACCATATTGAAAAATTATGCATAAACTCATCACAAAAACATCTTTAGCTCTTATTCGATCATAGACTAAGGAGTCCGTACAAGCCTTTCAGCGTTTTCTAACTTCGGAGTGATTTAGTCGATCAAGCAATCTATCAAGAGACCATTATATATAACTCATATAAATAAAAAAGCAGTGAACCCGTTTTCCGCTGAGAAAAATGACGAACCTGAGCTCGCTGAGCAAGGAAAATGTCGCTCAATGCGAACAGAGATCTCGCTGGCGGCTTGAACTCCAGCCAGAGCCAAAACAGCAAAAACAAGAAATGAGGTGAACTTCATGCCGACGACGACGGAACGGGACATCGAGACTGAAGTCGCTGAAGGGTCGGACGGCCGAGAGGGCGACGGCGACTGTAGGCGTGGCCGCGGGCGAGTGCCATTGTCGCGCGGCGGCCTCCGTGACGTCATCCGAGGCGGAGTCGATCACCATCATTGTTTTGTTTGTCAATGGAATCACAGTTGACAACGTCTCCGACGCCGTCGTCCGTCGCGACGTCGATCCGCGTCAGAAGACGTCACGCGGAGGAGAAGCTGTCGGGTCACGGCCGTCAAGATCAACCAGTGACAAGCGGCGTGGGGAAAGTGAAAGCAAACTTTCGTTTCGATGAAGAAAAGACGATGAAAAAAAGAACAATAAAGTTTTCGGTGTCATGCACGCTTTTGTTCGGCTTCGTCTCCTTGTCAATTCTTGATTTTCAAGCTGCCTTTTTTGGGATGTTTTGTTTGAGAAGAGGAATGTTTTTTGGTACAGTGTTACTGATGTCTGGCTGAAAGTGCAAAAAGAAGCGGAAAGTTGAAAATTACTCAAAAGTTGATTGAATCGTCTGCTTGAAACACTGGGGTCAGTTTTTTGCTTACAGATATTTTGTAGTACCCTGAAGCTTTCGTACTTCTCAAAGTTAAAACAGTACCTCAATTTTTTTGGATCCTGTAGAGAGAAGTAAAAAATATTGGCATCTCGGAATTTAGGTAGTTTTTGAAAAAATTACAAAATACCGAGAAAGTGCGCTCTGTTGAAGTTTTCCCAACTGGAGAGCTCAAAGCAATCGTTATAATTACTTTTGGGAACATAGTGACCGTAGAAAATGTTTTGAATTGTCCTTTTTGTGCAATCAGTTCAAATATACTTCAGTTCATAAGTTTTTCGAGAAACTTCGCCGTTTTTTTGAATCTGAAAGAAAACTTCAAGCTATAAACTCATGAATATTTTTCAGTTTTCATGGTTCAATACGCTTTTCATTCTTTTTCATCTGCTCAAGAGCCAAGCAATAAATTCCCTGGAAGAACCAGTGAGGTTCAGAAAAAAGGACGTTAAAAATAAATGAAGAGATCACATCATTTTATTGGATCTTTTTCGAAGTTTGAATGGTACCTTAATGAAATTACAATACCTAGTTTAACAGGCAGGTTTCACTGAATTGCAATAACAGAGAACGAAGTTCAGAACCTTGGTTCACAAACTTGCAAACTTCAAACGAAACAAATATCTTTTTTCGAATCATGACCAGATGATTTTTGAATCATGTTTCGAACAAATTCTGCAAACCCGGCCACAACAGGTCGTTTACGTTCTCTGTTTTCTTGTCTCATCGACCAAACAAACTATCAACGTCAACTTCTGATTTTTGCTTCGATTTCTATGACCCATTCGAGTTTGGCAACAAAAACAACTCAATAGATAGCGCAAATGGAAAACACTTGAACTGGGTTCAGAAGATTGGCAACACTTAGGACTTCTGAACGTGCTTCACGGGAAGAGAACTTCGAAAATAGTTTTTTTTTCTGTGTTTTACTGAGAATATCTCACCTTTGAATGCTGGTTCTAATAGCAACGTTTGTGTTTGAAGTGGACGAAATTTTGTTTTTTAGTGTTACTGAAACTCTGCGATGGTTGTGAAGGGAAACATTGAGGTTGTTGTGGCTTTCTGAAGAATCTTCAACAAATTTTTTTCATAAAATTTATGAATCAATCCGTTTTAAAAAAACCGACCGAAAACTGGATACACATATCACAAATAGCAATAAGTACAAATAAAGCCAAGACCATATAAGAAGAGAAGCTTAGATTTTGCTGACACGGAGGTTTCCGTAGATTTTGTGACAGGCGACGTAGGATTGTTGGGTCTTCAGCATCTGATTGAAAGGCAGAGACCAGTAGACGTCGGCTGGCAGTGGCTCGTCCTAAAATTCTCATTTTATATTGAGGTTTTCGAAATAAAAAAATTAAAGAATCGCTCCGATAATCTTTCTCTTAAGATAAAAAAAGGCAAAAATTTTTTTTCCAAATAAAACTCAAAAATTTTTTTACAAGTTCACTTTGTTCAAAGAAGATTTTTCAGCTCAATCTTGAAATTCGAAACCTCGAGATATCCAATTTTCAGGTAGTTTACAATGTTTCTCCAGAGAAAAAAAGTTTCATTGGTATTTTTCGATTTTTTTCCAATATTGAACAGAGAAATCACATTTTAAAACATATTGATTAGGATTATCGGTGCTGGATTTTGGTTAAAACTAAAATTTCTACTCAAGAGTTTTCAGGAAATTTTGACATTCGCGCTCTAAGAACCTTTTTTAAGTATTTTTGAAAAATGCTTTCAAGACAGAAAATGAAGTCAGGGTTTATAGCTTATTTTCTTCCCTCTTGTTTTCACCTCTTATATTGTTTCTGATTCCGATCTTACCTTGAAAAAGCTCTTTTTGGTTTTTCTGTAGACACTCTCAATCCGCATCTGAGTTTGCATTTGCTGGCTGACGTCGGTATCGAAAACGTAGACTGTAGCGAAAATACCCATAGCTCTGACCGTGTTTCCATCCTGGAACTTTATCATGAAACAGGAAAATGATATTAGATCCAGTACATCCGCCTGAATGAGCTGCAAGAATGTTTCCTTTGTGAGCCCCTGAGATTGAAGGATGTCTTCCATTCTTGGCAAGCAGAAGGCCAACTTCAAGTTGTCGTAAGTTCCTTGTTTCAGGCCGTCCTGAAAAAATTATTATTGAAGATTCATTAATTTGAGCTCACAGTGCATTTGATTGGATTTCCGTCAAGGAGAAGTTGGGCCTGTACTCCCAAACTGTCACCGAAAGTCTTGCAGGCGTTGCAGTAAAGGCTGAAATTTTAATTTTACGTTTTATTATTTTAATTTAAAAATCTATTGTGAAACGCTTGATGTCAAAAAAGTCAATAGTGGAGGCCGAGAATTTTCGGGATCAAAAAATGAAAAAAATTTTCGAGCTGAACAAAAATAGTTTTTTATGGTAGCGGTGACACGTCAAATCTTGTAGTGATGGAAAGAGCGCATTGGCAGAAGTTTGAGCTATTTCACATTCTATACGGTTTCCAGTTGCATTGATAGAAAAAAAGTACCATGATCCGAATCCGCCGCAGCCGTCTTCTCCCTGCTTCACGCACTTTTCTGGCACTGCGTTTTTCTTAGCAGTATTTTTCAGCTCGAGATAAATTGAGAAATCTCCGCTGAAGTCCTGAAACTTTTTTCGTAGTTGTCAGAAAGCAGCGATCCTATAACCCACCTCCAAAACTTGAACTCGTCCTCCAATAGTGAAGCAATTTGGCTTCCCCTCCACTGGCTCCAGTTTAGGTCCTCGTTTGTCGTTTCCTCCTTCGAACTCGAGTTTTTCAACCCACTTGGAATCTGAAGTAAAATGCAAATCAAAATGCATAAAAATAATTCGATTACTTCCTCCTCTGGCGCAAGGCTGATGCTTGATGAGATCCAAGGCAAATGTGATGTCTTCTCCGATTTCGATGCAGTTTGAGAGGTAGAGTAAGGACAGTAAGGTTAAGGCGCGCAGCATTCTGAAAGGCAAAAAAGATCTTGGTCTGAGAAAAAAAATCGAAAAGACAGGATTGGATAAAGCGAATTCTCGTCAAATACTATGATTTGATACGTGACGGAACAAAAAAATTCTTTTCATGAAAGAAAAAGTCTGTAACAGTTATTTTTTTTTTACAAAGATGATGAGAACAGAGAACTTTGAACAGTCAAAAATCGATCAGGATATTTGGAGATCATTTCCCAAGTTTTCAAAGGTAGAACTTTTGGAAGATTGTTACTTTTTTCGAACAGTTGGATCTTAAATGTCTTTTTTTTAATACTCATGATGAAAAAAAGCAAAACAGCCTATTCATAAAAAATTGAGAAAAAAAATTAGTTCGAGTATTTTTTTATAAAAAATTACACCTTAAAGGGGGAAAACCACTGGAAAAACAAACTATTCAAAATCAGAGGTGGCTTCTAAGTGATCAATCAAATTATGGAGTAAACTGACACTCGACTCGAAAAAAAGAATGGAAAGGAACATATCACGACGCGAATGACAAACATACGACTGGGATCTCAAAAAGAACAAGTTAGGAAAGCCGAAAATTGCTCGAAAAGTCGAAATGAGGAAACGGCGGAGGCAAAACGCGCGCCGTAGAACTGATGAGGATTCGTCGGGGGCAGCGGCTGAAACCTGCTTTTTCTCATCCGACGACTACACACCACATTACATATACACTTGCCACAGCCACCAACACAAACTTCTACAACATGCCATGCAAAAGTAGAGCTGGATTTTGGATGTGTGTACAAAAGTGTAAACACCTCGCCTTGAAGGCGACCCAAGGTGAGACGACGGCAAGATCAGAAGCCCTACGTCATCTCGACTCAACTTGTTACCTTTTATCCTCTCAGCTTGAGGGGCGTCCCTTCGAGAAAGAAAAATGGAAAGTGCCACCACAATAGACCAGTTCCGGAACAGCTTTCTGCCAACCTTATGATTGGTTTCCTGTCGACCTCATTGTTTGCTGGACAGTTTCAAAGAGCCATTAGAGATCCATTAAAGCAATGAGGAAGGAGAAAAAGCTTGGATTGTTCTGCAAACGAAAATAGCTTCGCTGTAACATTTCTGGTTGGTTGGTTGGAAGAACAATATTCTGCTTCAGTTGACTGAGCTACAGTCCCTGGAACAGTGTGCGTCCTTCTTTATTGACATTCGGCTCAGTTTCAGTTCATGTATTTGATGAAAAAGTTTTTTATCACTCTGTTTCGACCGCCGTTCGGCTACGATTTCCTGTCGGAGCAAAATATGCCTTTCTTTTAATTTTTTGAAAATCAACTCTCTCAGTCAATAGCTCAATGAAAAAACTAATTGACACGAATATTCCCTCTTTGAACCTTCAAAAAAGAACTTTAACGTACTGCAATTTTTTTAAGGGAAAAAAATTTACTTTCATGAACTACGATATTTCATACTAACATGTTGCGCTGCAGTGATACGAGGCATTACTTATCCATTTCAATCTCCATCAGAATTTTTTTACAGAAAGTAACTGCTTAAAAATAATGTTGAAATTTGGATGGAAAATGAAGATTTAGATGATTAATTTTTTTTGGAAACTTTCAAAGGAAAACAATGAACTTCAAAATTTCCGAACTTTGCTCCAAGAGTTTCAAAGAATTTTTCAAGGTTCAATTCTCCTTTCTTGAACTCACACTCGAAAAAAAAAATCAAGTGTAAGAATCGCTAAAATGAGAAAAAGCGGGTTCTGAATTGTTTCTCGGACTAATGGTAAACTTTTAAAAAGATGAACCTAAATTTTTTCTTTGAATTGTTTTTTTTCTGTAGTTTCTATCTTTGAGTCCTTGCACTCCCAAAAAAAAGTCACAAAATTTCAATTTTTTTTATCTCTACCAGTTTCTGTGCCCTTGAAGAGCGCATGTCAGACATGGAACCCGTTTATTCGATGACTTTTTTACGATAAAAAGCGTCATGTTATAATATCAGGACATCAAAAAAGGCGAAAAATTATCGTTTCAGAGAATGCTTGAAAAAGATTCGGAGTGAAATATTTCGACTTATTGCTGGATTTCGCTCATGCTGACGGTTCCATAAAGCTTGTGGCATCCGACGAAAACGGACTGCTTATGGATTATCTGGTTGAAAGGAAGATTCCAGTAAGTTGGAGCGTCGAATTGCTCATCTGGAGTCAGATATTTGACCTCCCGGATTCGAGATTCCAGCTTTCTTTGGGATCTGAACTGAAAACTGTTGCAATAAACGCGTGGAAAAAAAAATTTAGAGTTAAACTTACACGACTAACGGCCGGATGTCCTTATCAAAGAGATAAACTGTCACGAAAAGGCTGAGTTTCGGAGGTTCACTTCCTTCCTCAAATTTATCAGCTTGAAAATTGTAGCTGATCAAGTTTTAAAACCTGAGTCGTGGCCGCAAGGATGTGGTCAAGAGCTTCTTCTGAAATTCCTTGCCACTCCAACAACTTTGCCAACTTTGGAAGACAGAATCGAAGTTCTACATCGTTGTATTTTCCTTTCTGAATAAAATTAAAGTATCTTCCAAGAAATAGAAAGACCTTGAGAGGTTCACAGCCAGCAACTTTGCCATTGACCATGAGTTGAGCTCCTAGGATTCTAGTCAAGGAATCGAGAGAGTCGCATGGACGACAGTAGAGACTGCAAATGAGCAGATCATTTTTAAAAAAATAACCCAAACACATTAAAAAATAGCCTTCGGTGTCAACGCCTTTAAATTGAGAACTGAAAAGTGCTACCGACACCAGACGACTATCGCAACCTCATTCAGAATAGAGAAAAAGGCTTGCATTCGAAATTCGGCGTTTGATTTAATCACTTCATATGTGGTGGAACGTTTGATGTAGTGGAAACTTATAAACCATTCAAGAGATGCTCATTTTTGCTCACTTTCTGATGCTTTCCATTTTTTCTCTGTTAAAACTGTATTCTCACCACGATCCAACTCCTCCGCATCCAGTTTCGGGGTTCGAGTCTCTACAAACTTCTGGAGGGCGGTTGACGTCTCCGGTCGTCGAGACGGTCAAATAAATTAGCAATTCTTCGCTAATGTCTTCGTACACTGTCACTTTGCCCTGCACATTTACTCTTCTAATTTACTGTTCTAATAAAACCGACGTTTATGGAGTAGCAACCCTTCTGACCGGCGCTTTTCAACAACGCCCCATTGGACGCCACTCCGCGCTCGAACTCGATTTTGCGTGTCCAGTTCGAGTCTGAAGAAAAGGAAATGTTCTTGGAAATAATTTGAAACAGAAACTTTCATGGGTGTACCTCGAAAAACTATTCAATGGAAAAAAATTGGAAAAAGTTTGAAAACTATCGAAACTTCAAACTTTTTGAATGAAACAAGGCGGCTGACGAGTTTCTGATGAATTCATGTTCAAAAAAGTACACCATAAGAAATCCTATTTGGATAGTCAGATCTCACCGAATTTTTTTCTAACTGAAAGGCTTTCAGCCCCGTATGTTCGCTTGGAAATGATGCATTCAACTTTTTTTAAAGTTTTATAATCGATTCTTAATAACCCATTTTGAAGTTTAAAACTTAAAATCAAAGACCAAAACTCACTTTTTCCGCCAGGCGCAACTTTGATGCCGATGCAAATTGAGATTCAAATATTGGCCAAAAAAACCGCTGCGACAAAAAAACCAATAGTAAAGTATAAGATTTCATGGAGTAATATCTGGAATATTCTGTATCCAATCAGTTGAAAAAAGTGTGGATAAAATAATTGAGAAGAGGATGAATCAATGAACGAAAACTCGTTTGGCTGAAGAAGAATTCGATTAATTTTTCTGAAGCTGGTGAAAACTAGAAAAGTTGTTCAATCAACGGACAGATGCGAATTGAAAAAGAAAATTCTCAGTCAGAAAATGAGTTTTTGTAATCTAAGACTCATATAAGATGTCGCAGTGAAAGAAAACGGAAAACTCTCTCGATCCTCTTTGAAAAAGGATTGATAGAAAAATGTTGATGCAGTCTGCTTTGAGAAAGTGATGAGGAACTTTTTCGAAAAACTAGCTTTGAATGCAAAAAATATTTGAAAAGATCACGTTTAACGAATTTCCCTGTATCTAATCAGGACCAAAAATCCCTAACAGATCGTTAAGACTCTATTGAAAAACGGAAAAGGAACAAGAAAATTGACTCTAAAATATCTTAGTAGGAACTCCTTCTAACTAGATTATTTATAAAAAACGGCCAATTTTCGAGTAGATTTTTTATATCCATCTAATGAATAAAAAACCAATCTTACACCGGAAAAAGTAAGTTCTTAAGACAGAGACGATGTGACAACTTCGATTTTTCAAGCTGTGTATTTTGAAAGACACGGCTTTGGCTCTTTCATGTCTATAGAAATCTTTTCACAGAAATACCAACAAATCCGAAGTTGTACTGATAACTACGAAAGACTGTACTGAGAAGTGGGACGGACGGAAGAAGATAGACGATCTTGGGCGCAAAGGTGGACTGAAGCTTCGGCCAGGGGATCCGGCGCTTCTCGTTTTGCGTGATCGTCGTGACCAAACGACGCATTATGTCATCGTTATGAGATTTTGCGCTTGTTGCTTTTTGTTGCGACAGAAAAAAGTGTCATCCAGCTAGTTTTCGGCATCTCGCTTGGCTTCATTGTGTTTTTTTTTTTCGGACTACAGTTCTCCGAAAAGCTGGCTAAACTGTATAAACCAAGTATAATAAACATACTTTACTTGCTAAAACTACTGCAGAAAAATTGTACGAAGTGATTTGGAATCAAAATATATGGGAGTGAAACGATTTTAAACAAGATGAATGAACAAAACAAATGGAAAAGATGGAACAATCAGAATTGTGGCATAAAGTTTATTCAGCGCTAGCTCAGGACAAGTTTCAACCGGTTTCTTTCTGGAAGATGATGTAAAAAAAGAGATAATCAGCGTTCCAAGAAAACTTTGTCCTAAGTTAGCAGTGAACAGAGTAAATGGCGTGTTAAAAAAATAAAAACAATCAGAGTATTCAGAAAGAAGTTATAAGAACAAAATTATTAAGAATGGTACAAAAACTTTTTAAAAGCATTGGAAATAAGAAAAATGCTTGAGATCAAAGGGCGGTATTCACCAAAATGAACTGTCGAATTCAACAAAAAAGCGGTGCAAAAAATACCCAAGAAATCATACAGTCTAGATATGAGTGGAACAAACTACAGTAAACATACAAGGAGATACGCAAGAGACAATGACTTCAACTGTACAGATTATAGGCTTATTTAAAACCTTATTGAGCGCGTTTTGGTTATTCAACTTCAATTTTTTGGTTGAGGGAATCGGATAGAGTTTAATCCGGCGGGAATCGAGGATAGAAAAAGTTGCTATGCTGAACTTATTTAAGACATCATTGAGCGTGTTTTGATTATTCAACTACAATTTTTTGGTTGAGGGAATCGGATAGAGTTTAATCCGGCGGGAATCGAGGATAGAAAAAGTTGCTATGCTGAACTAATAAAAGAGAACGGAGAATAAAATATAGAAGTGGCAGATGTAAAAAGGAAAGAAATTAACTCTTGTTTGACTTGTCGACGCATTCGATGATTCCAGACCAGAGCTCGTTGAACTTGCCCTCCAAGTTGCCGGTCAGGAGGTAGTGAGCCTGTTGGCGGACGAGTTCGGCTGAAATTTGATAATTTATTCAGTTATTCCTTTTTCTTATCATTTTTTCAGAACCTCAAACAATCATTTTTTTGGTGGTCATACATTTTTTTACGGCCTTTGAGCTACGATAATAAAATTATGATAATTCTATTTTTCTTAGTTTTCCTTGAACCAATGGCTCACTGTTTGAAAAAAACTTGGCTTGAGGGATCTTCGGTCCGAAAATGAATATTTTCACTGGTTGAGACTTTGAATAGTTTTTGAAACGACTTTTGTAAAAGTAATTTTTGAAATTTCTACTGCGAATGGTCAGAAAAACAAACCAAGAGCGTCAGCCCCTGCGATTTGTGCTGCTGGCATGAGCTTCGGCCAACGTCGCCGCTCGGCTACCAGGAGGTTTTACCGAGCCTTTATCACCTGAAAAAATTTAAGACTTTGTTTGAGCAAAAAAATTCACTATGACGATTGCATTTTTATTGTTAAATTTTTTTAATGAGGGTTTTTCTCAAACGACAGCATTATGATTTCAATTTTTTTCAATTTTTGAGAGCACAAAGCTTGTGATTATGTTTTTCATTTTTCGTTTTTCCTTCTTGGCTTTGTATCAAAATCTCAAACAATTTCAAAATTTTTAGAGCATCAGTTTCTAATCATTTTTCATTCAGTTACTTCTTTCTGAAGCATAAAGTCTTTTGTGCGAAAAAAGGAGGAATCAACCTAAAAATTAAAAAAGAAGAAAGACTCAGAGAATAAAAAGATAAGATGAACTGACCGTTTGAAATTGTGGCGACAGGAGGATAAGGCGCGCTCCTGATTCCGTTCTTGCCGATGATCGAAATGCGCTTAGGGCCGTCTCCATAAGTAATTGAAGGGGATGGCTTATCAAGAGGACGAGCGAGCATTTGGCGGAACCTGTAAATTGATCCAGTTTTTTTCTTCTTTTTGAGTAACTTTCAAGTCATAACTGAAGACATCAAGCATACTCAAAAAAGTAACCAGAAGACTTGAATTTTTTTTCCAGAAGATTTATTTTGGTTTTTCACCCCTAGGGTCAATCAATTACTTATCACTATAAACTAAAAAATTCAAAAAAAAAAAGAAAAGTGAACCCTACTTGCTGGCGTTTTGATAAATGGTGACCATGCGCTCGTCGACCTTCTTCTCAGAACCTTCGGGCATCTTTTGATGAGCATCCACACTGTCGAGCCCTCGCGTGCGACTGAAGCTTCCAACGATTTCCGGAGGACGACTGAGAACGCTCTTCATATGAGGCTCAAAAATGCCCAAAGACGTGCTGCCGCGAATTGGAGGCAGGCATGTTCTACTGGCTCTCTGGGCGATTCTAGTCAGAGCCGACTTTGAAGGCATGTTCGTTTTGGGCAAAGTGGCCACCACACTTCTGACGGCGTCTTCTGTAGTTACTCCGCTCATCCGGTCGAGCTTCAGACGTCCTATAGCCACTCTTCTTTCCTTCTTGCCCACTGGAGGAGCATGTGGCGGGTCGTGCTCCGCTTTCAGAATGACGTCTTCAGAACGGAGGCAGACGGCTTTTCCTTTGCAGTGACGAGTCGTGCATCTTATCGGGACGTCGATTCTGCCCACCAAGGTGCAATCGCGCTTCGCATTGCAGAACCGGTACTCGTAGTTCTTGGCGTCGTAGAAGAGTCGGAGGCCTTTCTGGCTCATGATTGGAGTGTAGTCGTCGGTTTGCTCAGAGTTACTTGGCGTCGACCTGTCATCTTCAACTTCTTCTTTGATTTTTATTTCGGGTTTTTCCTCTTCTTCAGTCGGACATTCTTCTTTCACCACTACTTCTTCGATGTTCATAGTTGCAGGCTACCCTGCAAAATAAAGTCTTTAAAAAAAAAAATTTTTCCCAATCTTTTGAGGTTTCGTAGGCGTAGAGCATCGGTTCAAAAATCTATAAAATGTGTATTTTTTGAAATTTCACTCTCAGCCTTCGAAAACCTCAAAGATCAGTAGAGAATATTTAGTCGGAGTGACGGTCTCAAAAACAGTTTTTTTTTCTCGAGAACTGGACTTTTAAAATTCTTGTAAGCTGAGGAAAATTCAAAAATTAAGAAAATAAAAAAACGGATTTTTTTTGACCACCGCCCCTGTGAAGAAAAAATTAAAAAATCGACAAAGATAATAAAATGTGTTCAAAACACATTAAACGACAAAAAAAAGTACATCCAATACCAATCACAAACTTTATAAGTGAAAACCCACAAGAAAAAAATAATTAAATAACCGTGATGAACCAAGTGGCAAGTAAACAAGGCACTCTACATGGCACACTACCCAACATTTTAAACATCTATTTACTATCAAACAGATTTTTGTATTGATCGCGGAGGACGTTCTTCATGACTTTGGTCATCCAGTTGCGGGGAAGCTCTTCCACGACGATCACTCGTTTCGGGATCTTAAAAAAAGACTTTTAAAAATGTTCAGTGGTTACCTTTTGAAATAAAAAAATTTTTAAAAAAAGTTGTAATTTTTTTGCAGATATGAAGAAGGTCGCGATAAAGAAATTCAAGCGTTTAACCATAGATTCTTAGCCAAACGTAAAATAATGATTTTTTTGTGCTAATATATGTCGGAAACGCCTAGAGACAAAGAAAAAAGTATCAGTTTCAAAAAGTTCATCATGGCAGAAACGAGAATCCGGACCATATCTTGGAAATAACAAGCAAGCTTTCTAGTTTTTTTCATTAAAAAAAATTCTTTTTCACATTTTTACTAAAAAGTAATTACGTCAAGTTATTTTAGTATTATTAAAAAAACCTTACTTTGATGAAAATGCAAAAAAAACCAACCTTGTAATGAGCGAGATTTTCCTTTAGAATTTCCCTGATATTTTTCTCAAAATCCTTCTCGTTGAATTTCTTCTTGCGTTCTTTGAGTACGACGATGGCGACGACCGCTTCACCAAAGTCAGGATGAGGAGAAGCTGAAAAGTTCCCTTTTCTCTCAATCTCCGTGATCTTCCTCACCAATAACCGCAGATTCCTTCACATTTGGCAATGGATCGATGGCGTCTTCGATCTCTTTCGGGTAGACGTTGAGACCTCCCGAAATAATCAGATCCTTCGACCTTCCAGCGATTCTGAGGTATCCTGAAACCAACAAAACTGTTCATATTTTTTGATTTTGCTAAACCTTTCTCATCGATAGTTCCACAATCGCCGGTTTTGAACCATCCGTCGGCCGTGAACTCCGACTTGGTCTTCTCCGGATTGTTCCAATAACCAGCGAATAGAGATTGCGATTGGATTTCGATTCCGTCGCCTTCTCCAATACGGATCTGGAAATATTTTCTTTGATAAGTGTAGACATTATATGTTTACCTTGATATCAGCGAGTGCTGGACCAACAGTTCCTGGGATTCTCTCGCCATGAAGAGGGTTGGTCGACATTACTTGGGCTGCAAAATGAATCTTTGGAAGAGGACTTTAATAGAACACTAAATTTCGTGTGAGTAATTCTAAAAAGAGTTCTGATATATGGACGATCGAAATTTTTTTCGAATTTTTCAAATTATCTTCCTCCCTTTTCAACGAAATACAGATGAAAAACCGCTGAAAATGTTTTTTTGTTAGAAATCTTCAATTCTCATCATCATAAAAATTTTTTTCATAGATGCACATTGAAACTTTTTGAAATATTTTTTTCTTTTTTTCTGAACCGTTTTGAATTATTGGAAAATTCTTGAAACGTGAAATTCTTTATGCTCCTACTTTGAAACTCTATCAAATAACTCACCTTCCGTCATTCCATAACGCTCCAGAATAACGTGACCAGTTTTCTTCTCAAAAGCGTCGATTGTAGCGACGGAAAGCGGCGCGCTGCCAGAAATAAACACCCGCATATTTGAGAAAACGGGCTTTTCAAAGTGCGGGCTGCTCAGAAGTCGCCTACAATTTCGTTCTTTTTTGTGTAGATTAGAAAGAGAAACTCACGAGAAATAGGTAGGGACTCCCATCATCACTGTCGCATTTTTCATGTGCTCAATGGCGTCTTCAACCTTAAATCATTATTTTTCAGGGTTTGAAAATTATTCAGTTGGTTTTCTAACCTCAAATTTTTTCCTCCAGATGAGTGCAGAATGGGAGAAAAGTGAACTGTGAAGAGACATGTACATCCCGTGGACATGGTAGAAGGGGAGACAGTGTAGATTTCTAAAATGAAAAATTTTTTTATAACTCGTTGTTTTTCTCTGAAATATGCGGTCGAAACATTTTTTTAGGATGTTGGAGGGTCAGATGTTCTAATCTTTAGTTCTATATTTAAATGATTAACTGAAAATTTTAACTAAATATAACATTTATTCCAGTTCTTTAACATTGAAAAACCTTGAAAACAGTTGTTGGTCCCCTTGAGCATGAAACAATTTTTTTGAGAGAAGAAGTTGCAAAAAAATAAAAAGATTATGATGAAGAAATATATATCAAATTTGATCGGTAGAAGGTGAAAATTTTTTTCAATTATGTTCTTTAACTAAACCTGTCTTTATTAGTAAAACCCCATGCTTTGACGATTTGCTCGGCGTTGGTGGACAAACCGCCATGGGTCAAGACAGCTCCTTTGGGAAGCCCTGAAGATTTTCATTATAATTTTGCAATTCATGTTTTCCACCTGTAGTTCCTGAAGTGTAGCAAATTGAAGCTGGGTCGGTGAACCTTACGTTTTCGATGTCCGTCATTTCCTTCAAAAATTTTTTTTCAATCTCGAAAGTTTTTTTCATACCTTGGCACTGTTAGTGTCATCAGAGAGCTGGTTCTCATCAACCACGATCAATCGGTCCCTGGGACCAGAAAAAAATTATTTATTTCAATTTTTAATCATACTTGAACTTGAAGTCAATGTCGGTGGCACAACTGACCAATAAAGTGGGAGTGGCGTCCTAATTTAAAAACTTAAAATATGAATTTTTGAGATTTTCGTACCTTGATATAATGAGCTGCTTCTTTTTCCGTGTAAGCCGTGTTCACTGGAATGTAGACGGCTCCGATTTGAAGACAGGCAATGTACAAAGCCACTGTGTCAACAGTTTTTGAAACTCGCGCCATGACTCGGTCTCCTTTCTGAAATAGGAAAATGTGAACTTGAGGACAGTTTATTTTTTGTAGGCTTGAAACAACTGCTTGACAAAAAAAATTGTGAGAGTAGCGTCAAAAATCGCAAGTTTTCGTAGTGCTTTTTGTTGAAAGCTAACGATGGATAAAGTATAATTCACGCCATTTCAGAAAGAATTCTCGTGTTTTTTTATCAGTTTTTTTCTTAATTAGGAGCTTTGATATGCTGGTTTTTATTAATCAGCTACCAGTGGCTCAAAAAAATTTGATAACTTCAAACGAAAAGCTAGAAAAAAAATATTTTTTTAGCTAATTTTTTTGCTTTTTTTAGAACTTGTTCCAATAGTTACTTCAAAAAAATCATTTCTTTCTGTTTTTTTAAACTTTAACTTTATTTTTAGACAAATACTTGAAAATTTTGATCTCAAATAAAAATTTTTTTCATCTGTCTTACTTCTAATTCATTTCAGCTGTTATGTACCTCAATCTTGTACTTGTAGGCAAGGACATAGGCGTATTGTCCAGCGCGTTTCATGAACTCTCCATACGTCGTAACTCGACCATTGTCTTCGTAGAACATTTCCTGAAAAAAACTTGTTAAATTCATAAAATAAAACATTTTTCTGTATAATTTTTGCGTTAATTCTCAAACCTCACCTGCCGAGGATCGGAGCGCAATCTGGCACGGACTGTGATGTTATTTTTCCCTCGAAGAAGAAGTGGAAGCCATGCTCCTCACGGCCAGATTCACCCGCAATTTGGAGAGCTGTTTCAGCATTTGTGCTTCTGGAATAAATAGAAAATTGTTGATTTTGAAAAAAGAGACAAAAACAAAAAATATAAATCTAACAAAATAATTTCAAGTTATTGCAAAAATTTCAGAAAGCAGAGGCTGATTTTACAATAAAATAGGAGCCAAAAAATATTTTCACCACGATTTTAGGCTGGTTGTTTATTTGAATCATTAGGACTTCAATTGAAACTTTCGAATAACGCAATAAAAATTGATGTATATAAAAAAAAACGAGCGTTTGCACGTAATTTAAAGGCGCATCAGGTCTTGGCGAGAATCTTGTCCGCTGGGGCACACTTGCTGTAAACAAGACCGGTGCAAATTTTGAGAGACATGGCGCAAAATCGATCAACGAGGCATTGACGTTAATCTGCATTCAAAGCGAAAAGCAGTGTTCAGTGAAAAACAGATAATTATTTGGTTTTTTAATCAAATAATGTTTTTAAATTCAATTTCTACTAAGAACGTATGACCTTCAAACTATTGTGAGCGCCCCAGTAAAGTGGAAACTTCAGAAAAAAATCCATTGATACAAAAAAATATCATACAAAAAAATTTGTTAGAAAGACATACAAACGGATAAGTTACTTTTATTTTTTTGTCGGTTTTTTTCCAAAAAATCTTTAAAGATTTGGTACCCCAATCAGAAAAAAAAAATTTTCAACTCAATATATTTTGAAGAAACTAGAACGATCCATTTTTCACGTGAAACATTTTTTTTTTTTTCTAAATACGTGATTATTATTTAATTAAAACTTGGGGTGCAGACAAAAATGCAACTTTCTGAGTTTTATTGCGTATAAAAAGGGTGAAAGTACTGAAAAACTTTCATATTTTCCGTTGTTTTGCCCTTTTTGCTGACCTTTTCATTTTTTGTAAACACTATAAACGGAAGGAATTCGAACTTTTTTTGACTTTGCACAAAGTCACTGCAAAAAGAAAACGAAACAATCTATCAAAATAAATTTTTGTAGAACATCAATCGAAGATTTCGAAAGTAAGATTTTCAGATAGGCACCAAGAGAGAAGGACTCAGGTGAAATGACTTGCCTACAACCTAATTAAGGGAAATGGCAGGTTTTGAACCGGCTTAATTTTTGCGCGCGCCCACGCGGTGCAGAAGTGTCCGTTGGAGCGAACCAACCCACGCGTATTTTATTGGCTTCAGTAGAGCCGAAGTGCACTTTATTGAAATCCATGATAAACTGATGACTGGGCTCAATTCGAAAATATAGCTGATTCACGGCTAGCTTGGAACGCTAATGGGGCGTGTCCTGTCTGCGCTCTCCACGAGCCAGGCGCTATCTCGTGCATTTTCGTTTCAGGACCCTTTTTTTGATGGCTCAAGCCAGCTGGAATCAGCTGTATTTCCCTGATTTATTCCTCAGGTTGCTGAGTTGTTTGTTGAAAGGAGCAGAGACAAGTTGAAATTTCTTAGAGTCCTGTCAAATGAAAAGCTATTTTCAAAGTTTCCATTTATATTCTAAAAACGCTTTTTGGAATTTTTATAAGCGTGTAAGGTGCTCTTGCGCCAGGAAGTTTTTCGTTTCAAGATTTTTTTCCTTGATTCTTGCTAAGCGCCTTCAAACATCGAAACAGGCATTGTAGTAAGCATGTTTGAAAAACAGCCTTCAACGACTTTTATTACGTCAGCCGAACTTCATGGTCAAACAAAAATGATCGAAATGAGCATAATATGATTATTAAGAGCGCATGAAAACTTTTCAAAAAAAAAAGGCGAAGACAAAAAAACTGAAGCGGTAATTATTTTGAAAAACCTAAAAGCTAGGTGGGTCATGAGATGCTTTATATAAAAAAAGAAATGAAAAAAATATTATGTTTATAGGATTCTTAGGGGAAAAAAACGCGCAAGCAATCGTGTCGAAACCTCTTTCTTCGCTTGGGCAAGGCGCCTTTAATAAGTATTGTTTTTGACTCTGAAAACAGAATACATTGAAATTGGTTCGCGTCGAAGTCTCTTTCTTCGCTTGGGCAAGGCGCCTTTAATAAGAATTGTTTTTGACTCTGAATACAGAATACATTGAAATTGGTTCGCGTCGAAGTCTCTTTCTTCGCTTGGGCAAGGCGCCTTTAATAAGAATTGTTTTTGACTCTGAATACAGAATACATTGAAATTGGTTCGCGTCGAAGTCTCTTTCTTCGCTTGGGCAAGGCGCCTTTAATAAGAATTGTTTTTTTGACTCTGAAAAACAGAATACATTGAAATTGGTTCGCGTCGAAGTCTCTTTCTTCGCTTGGGCAAGGCGCCTTTAATAAGAATTGTTTTTGACTCTGAAAACAGAATACATTGAAATTGGTTCGCGTCGAAGTCTCTTTCTTCGCTTGGGCAAGGCGCCTTTAATAAGAATTGTTTTTGACTCTGAAAACAGAATACATTGAAATTGGTTCGCGTCGAAGTCTCTTTCTTCGCTTGGGCAAGGCGCCTTTAATAAGAATTGTTTTTGACTCTGAATACAGAATACATTGAAATTGGTTCGCGTCGAAGTCTCTTTCTTCGCTTGGGCAAGGCGCCTTTAATAAGAATTGTTTTTGACTCTGAATACAGAATACATTGAAATTGGTTCGCGTCGAAGTCTCTTTCTTCGCTTGGGCAAGGCGCCTTTAATAAGAATTGTTTTTTTGACTCTGAAAACAGAATACATTGAAATTGGTTCGCGTCGAAGTCTCTTTCTTCGCTTGGGCAAGGCGCCTTTAATAAGAATTGTTTTTTTGACTCTGAAAAACAGAATACATTGAAATTGGTTCGCGTCGAAGTCTCTTTCTTCGCTTGGGCAAGGCGCCTTTAATAAGAATTGTTTTTGACTCTGAATACAGAATACATTGAAATTGGTTCGCGTCGAAGTCTCTTTCTTCGCTTGGGCAAGGCGCCTTTAATAAGAATTGTTTTTGACTCTGAATACAGAATACATTGAAATTGGTTCGCGTCGAAGTCTCTTTCTTCGCTTGGGCAAGGCGCCTTTAATAAGAATTGTTTTTGACTCTGAAAACAGAATACATTGAAATTGGTTCGCGTCGAAGTCTCTTTCTTCGCTTGGGCAAGGCGCCTTTAATAAGAATTGTTTTTGACTCTGAATACAGAATACATTGAAATTGGTTCGCGTCGAAGTCTCTTTCTTCGCTTGGGCAAGGCGCCTTTAATAAGAATTGTTTTTGACTCTGAATACAGAATACATTGAAATTGGTTCGCGTCGAAGTCTCTTTCTTCGCTTGGGCAAGGCGCCTTTAATAAGAATTGTTTGACTCTGAATACAGAATACATTGAAATTGGTTCGCGTCAAAGTCTCTTTCTTCGCTTGGGCAAGGCGCCTTTAATAAGAATTGTTTTTGACTCTGAATACAGAATACATTGAAATTGGTTCGCGTCGAAGTCTCTTTCTTCGCTTGGGCAAGGCGCCTTTAATAAGAATTGTTTTTTTGACTCTGAAAAACAGAATACATTGAAATTGGTTCGCGTCGAAGTCTCTTTCTTCGCTTGGGCAAGGCGCCTTTAATAAGAATTGTTTTTTTGACTCTGAAAAACAGAATACATTGAAATTGGTTCGCGTCGAAGTCTCTTTCTTCGCTTGGGCAAGGCGCCTTTAATAAGAATTGTTTTTGACTCTGAAAACAGAATACATTGAAATTGGTTCGCGTCGAAGTCTCTTTCTTCGCTTGGGCAAGGCGCCTTTAATAAGAATTGTTTTTGACTCTGAAAACAGAATACATTGAAATTGGTTCGCGTCGAAGTCTCTTTCTTCGCTTGGGCAAGGCGCCTTTAATAAGAATTGTTTTTTTGACTCTGAAAAACAGAATACATTGAAATTGGTTCGCGTCGAAGTCTCTTTCTTCGCTTGGGCAAGGCGCCTTTAATAAGAATTGTTTTTTTGACTCTGAATACAGAATACATTGAAATTGGTTCGCGTCGAAGTCTCTTTCTTCGCTTGGGCAAGGCGCCTTTAATAAGAATTGTTTTTGACTCTGAAAACAGAATACATTGAAATTGGTTCGCGTCGAAGTCTCTTTCTTCGCTTGGGCAAGGCGCCTTTAATAAGAATTGTTTTTGACTCTGAATACAGAATACATTGAAATTGGTTCGCGTCGAAGTCTCTTTCTTCGCTTGGGCAAGGCGCCTTTAATAAGAATTGTTTTTGACTCTGAATACAGAATACATTGAAATTGGTTCGCGTCGAAGTCTCTTTCTTCGCTTGGGCAAGGCGCCTTTAATAAGAATTGTTTTTGACTCTGAAAACAGAATACATTGAAATTGGTTCGCGTCGAAGTCTCTTTCTTCGCTTGGGCAAGGCGCCTTTAATAAGAATTGTTTTTTTGACTCTGAAAAACAGAATACATTGAAATTGGTTCGCGTCGAAGTCTCTTTCTTCGCTTGGGCAAGGCGCCTTTAATAAGAATTTTTTTGAAGCAATAATTTTTTTGTGAAAAAAACCTAAAAAGCTAGGTGGGTCGTCAGATGCTTCATTTAAAAGAAAAATGAAAAAAAAATCATTTTTATAGGATTCTTGGTGAAAAACGCGCAAGAAATCGCGTCGAAACCTCTTTCTTCGCTTGGGCAAGGCGCCAATAACAAGAAAGGTTTTTTAGAATTAGTTACTCGTGTCGTTACCTTTCACGTTTATTTTGACCTTCCCTCGAAAAAATAAGAGATGGAATTTGCGAACTGTGGCGAGAAGAATTTTGAATTTTAGTTTAAAGATCAAAGGAGAAAAAGCCGCGCCTTGAAAGGTGTTCCGACGCGCAGAGTGACGTGTAAAGCCAAGGCGCCGCTGGCCGCCAATAATGTGCATAGATTCGCCGACGATTCTCTCGTCGCGTTTTATTTCTTGTTGCGCGATAATCGATTCAAAAAAAGAGCATTACAGTTATCACATCAGTGATGGAAGCCAATTCAAGGAATAACTATCAAATTTGATCAAAAGCCGTGTTGAAAATTAAAATACAGTCGGTTGAAGGCTTCCAAAATTTTCTTTTTGCACATTTTTCAATAGCTTGGGCGAGATTTTGCTGAATATTGTGGAAAGCCAATAATATACTCAAAGAAAAAAACATATCACTGTAAAGTTTTCAAAAGCCGACATCCTTTTCAACTTCATTATTTTCAAATTCAACCCAACAATAAATTAGTCAAGCTCATTCAAATTTTTTTTGTGATCCTAGAAAATAATACATCATTTTTCTTTGAAATGTGTTGAAACAGCCCCCTTATTAGAAAAAATGACAGGTTGTGAGCTCACAATTACTTTTGGAGCCCATTCGCTCAGCTTGGCTATCTTTTGTGAGGGAAGCCACAGTTCGATTTCTTTGTTCTTAGAGCAAATATGAAAGATTAGGACCGGAAAAAAGTTTATCAAAAAAAATGAGTGAAAATGTGGGAAAAAACTACAATAAATATGGCACGTATTTACATGACAACACATTTGCAACTCGCTTTCTTCTTTTTCTGTTTCTCTGGGGCTTCCTTCTCGGTTTCTTTTTCTTTGCACTGCACATCTTCTTTTTTGACGACCGAAGGAGCCGTACCATCATCATCGTCCAAGTCTTCAGGCGAGGCGAGGAGACGGCTGGAAACAAACGAAAATTTAAAAAAGTTTCCACGTCTGTTCAAGGAGAAGTGGTATTGAAAGACGCAGTACTAGTGTCCAGCCGATCGTTGTTCTAAAAACTCAAATCTTTGTCTCAGGCCGTTCGAAGTACCAAAAACCTATTCGGAGCTATGCAAGATCAGCGCGGCGTTTACGCTATTTTGTAATTGAATTTTGGAGTCAATCCTTTCAAAAATTGTGAAGTACATAAGTACTCAATATTGGAAGGGGTTAACTGAACTTCGAAAATTTCGTAAAAAATGGTTTTGAAACATTTTCGTCTAAATATTTTAGACTTAGACTTTGAGACTATCAGCTCACGAAAGCTGTCTTTTCTTCATTAAAAAAGCTTCAATGCAAAAACCAGCCACATATAAAGCGTAATAACCAAAAAACCAACTTTATGTTTTCATTTTGAAATCCTCCCCCCTTGCTCGAATTGAGGCGATTTCATCAGAGAAAAACATTTAAAGTGACATATTCGGACCTATTTTTTGCTAACAGGAAATTCAAAAAAATGATAAACTGACCTCTCATCAACCTCGATATCAGCAATTAAGTCTATGAGCTCATGAAACTCCTTTTTTCCATCGTTAAAACCGGGAAGTGGAGTATACGGTAGTTTCGCCAGGAATGTACTGGCTGCAGAACTGACAGTAGAGTTTTGGCTGATAAGGTCGTATTCACAGTCGTAAGTGCCTAAGTTTGGATAGTCGATGGGATAAGGACTCAGAAGATCCTCCTGAAGCGGTATATCCATCTATCTGAAATTGAGGATACATAAATCAATAAATAAATTCGAAAATGGTCGAAGAAAAAGTAAGCAAAGACGAAAAAATTGAAAAAGTGGAGAGCGGAAAAAAAGAGGATGAAATAAAACGCACCGAGGAATATGGCGGAGGGACGGAGTCGCCTGTGATTGGTGATTCACCGTTGCCGTCGGATCAGCGTCGGGAAAAATGTGCCATTTTCTAAATGGTTTCGATAGCTCACGTTCGATAAGTGCTTTTTTTCATTGTCTGGCTTTTTCTATTGTCTGGGAACGAAAATGCGATTCTTGAAAAGTTTAAGAGAAACATTAAGAAATGGAACATTGCTCCGAAAAATCTGGGATATTATTGATGATTCTGAAAAGCAAAAAAAGGTTTGATGGTTTTTTTTTCTCGGAAAACGCGAAGACATTTAGCTATAATTCAAGAAGAACTTAATTTTTTCAGCCGTATTTCAGAAAAAAAACACAATTAGACGTCTCAAAATCCGCCTGCAAGCCGAAATCGACAATTAAAATTGAAAGTAGATTTATTCGACTTCACCGTTTCAGAAACGTGAAATTAATTTTTCTTTCAATGCAGCCATGTTGTGTTTTGTTTTTTGAGCTTTACTTTTTTTTTAATTTTGTGACCACTTTATGAATAACATATCCGAAAAAAATTGCTAATGAAGATTTTTGTTAGTTTTATCGGGAATTGAGAAATATTGAAAAAGTGAGAAAAACATAAAAAACAATTTTAATCGGAGCCTGTCCCGTAATTACGAGCGTTTTAAGGCATTCTCGCTTTCCAATTTCGATAGAAGTATTTTTGCCGGTTCATATCAAAACACTGAGATCAATGGAACCTACCAGGATCCTTACCAATAACGGCTGAAATTCCTGAAAACCGGTTATTGCACGACACCTTTGTCTGGCCGTTTTTTTTCTCCTCTTTTTCGTCTTTTGTTATCTTCACACCATCCAGGAGAATTGTAGTAACATATGCACCGGCGCCTTTTCCTGCAATTTTCTCGACCAACCAAGGAAGTTTAATTATGACCACGCCTGGCGATTAGAAAACCCCATCTTCTTCTTTTTCTGTGCCTACCAACAGGAAATAACCGGTAGAGAACATTACTGCGTAGAAAACTGGACGAGAAATGTGGTAATAACGGAAAAAAGTGAAGAAAAAAGAAGGTTGAAAAGGTTTATAAGGAGCGGGTGGAAGGGGAAAGTCAGTCAGATCAGTCCAGCGATGAGCAAAGTGATCGTGGTCGGTTCGGCCGGCGCTTTGGCCTGCGTCTTCGTCTCTTTCTACGTGATGGCCACGTTGCTCAACGACATCAACGATCTCCAGACCGATGTCAAAGACGGCATGGTCGAATTCCGGGTATTTTTAAGCTTACTTTTTCTTCTTTTGCTCTCATCGAACATTGTCTTCTAGACTATCGAGGGGAAAAATTAGGTTTTGGTATACATTAACGTTTCAGAGATGCATTCTCGATTGAAGATCTTTTTTAAAGTTTTAAATCTAAATTTTTTCGTCTTATCTTTTCACCTTGCAAAATTTTTAAGAAATTTTGCCTCCAAGACTCTTCACACCTTGAAGATAAAAAATATCGCGAAGTTTCCATGAAAATTTAACTCAAAGTTTTCATAGCAAATTGAAGAAATAACAAGTGAAAAAAGAGCTTCTCAAGGAAAAGTGGCGATCTCCGAGTTTGCTCTTCTCAACTTACTCTTGTTTCAGGAAATCTCCGAAGACACCTGGGCCCGCATAATCAACAAGCACGTTAATCCAACCGGAAACACCGATGCTCCGGCCAACTTCCAGACTCTCTTCGGCGTCCGTCGATCTCGTCAATCTGGATTCCCAGAACAGTGCAATTGCGGACAGAAGAGCGAGGGATGTCCAGCCGGACCTCCAGGACCTCCAGGAGAGCCCGGAAACCGTGGAGAGAACGGACCTAATGGAGAGGACGGAAGACCCGGAGCTCCTGGAGTCGCCATCGCCATCACTCACGACATTCCCGGCGGATGCATCAAGGTAAGATACTCACTCATTTTAAAAACAGCTTTTGGTTTTTGATACTTTGAAAAAACTTCAAATATTTTCAATCTTTGATATGGAAACACGGTTGACTTCTATCAATCTTGAAAATAGCTGAGAAAAAGATTCTGGATGAAGTCGGTTCAAAACCCTTTTTCGGTTCGCAAAACGTTTGAGCTCAAAAATATAATCTTTTCTTTTCATTTGTATCAATTTGGTTGACGACTTTTTTTCCAGTGCCCAGTTGGAAGACCAGGACCCCGTGGACCACCAGGAGAAGTCGGACCAGCCGGAGCTCCAGGAGGACCCGGACGTCGCGGCCCACCAGGAGGAGCTGGAGGACCAGGAGAGCGAGGACCAGCTGGAGATGGAGGCCGACCAGGAAACGCCGGAAGACCAGGACCACCAGGACCACGCGGAGAACCAGGAACCGAGTATAAGCCAGGAAACGCCGGACGTCCAGGAGCGCCAGGACCACGAGGACCACCAGGACCTGCCGGAAATCCAGGAGCTCCAGGAAGCGACGGCGAGTCAGGAAAGGCTGGAAATCCAGGTCGTCCAGGACATGTCGGACCAGCTGGAAAGAACGGACAGCGTGGAGGAAATGGAGCCGATGCGGAGCCTGGCCACGACGCCGGCTATTGCCCATGTCCTGCTCGCTCTTTCATCCAGTAAAATGTGTCTTTTACTGTCCAATAAACACTTCAGCATCTCAAATACTTTCAATCGCACGCATTCAGTACAAATTGAAAAAATTACTAGTAAGCTCGAAAGTCCATCACATTCTGTTACTTTTCTCTTCTCATTTGGTGAAACAATTGTAATATAGATCATTAAAAACTTTGAACAGTTTTCTTATTTTCAAGATCTATAGAACTGAGAACTGAGAAAGATACGGTAATCATCGATTGCCACGGGTTGTTGCAACGAAACTGAAAAGTCGAGAGAGAAGGTTCAAAGAAACCATCCCATTACAAAACTTTGATTGATTTCATTGCCTTTTAAATCGAACTCTTAGACTTTCAACACACTTTTGCCAAAAATCATACTGTAAATATAGTGAAGCATACTGTATCGAAAGACTCTTATGAGAGTAATCAGAAGTAGTTTAAAAAAAGAAACGCGATTCGATGGAAGTTTGATTTTTGAAGCGTGATAAAATGTCTTAGTTAGCAAAAAGCTTTCTTATTTTTTTAGGATGTTTCAAAAATTCATTTATGTTTGGATCATTACCATGAGTATTAGTTGACGAAATCAAACATCAGCACAAGGAGGAAAGGTTGAGAAGAACATCAATCAACTGACCATTTTTTCTTTTTTTCAAATAACCGCAGTCGTTTCTTCTTCCATATAATTTTTCTTGAAATTTTTCGAACAGTTGGGATTCAAGTTTAATCAGAAGTCTTTACTTGCCATGATAATAATGCCCTCTAGATTATCGAACCGGTTTAGTTTAAAGACTATTCACAAATCTATGAGGAAGAATCTGAACACCCGCTTCAGTTCATAAATAGTCGGTATGGTACAAAGAACAGAATAATCAGAAATTCACATTGACTAGGAGAAACAATATGGAAATGAAACAGAGGGTTAATCGTCAAACGTTTCCCAATGCGTCGGGGCTCCTTTTGGTTCGGAAGAGGGTCGGATCCTGGAAAAACTGATTTTCGAAAGGAAAATTGTTGGTAAAACCTTTCGAAGGGCTGTGGAGCAATGGTGGGCAATAAGTTTGTTCCAGGAACGGGTCGCATTTGATGGCTGAAAGAACAAGAATCGGTGTTATTTTGGCTGGCGCTTGAGATGTTCTGGTTTATCCGTGCTCTCTCCTCAGAAAAAATTCCAACACTACTTTCATGTCTTTTTAATCACACCAATAAGAGAAAAGACACGAAAACGACACGAAAAAAAACTGAGCAAATGGAGAAAAAAAAACAAAACTTACTTATGAAAAGAATAACTTGAAGATGGTACAGAACCAAATGACCCATTAGATGAAGTCAGAAGATCGTGGGAGTATGGCTGAAAATACATCTTGAGCTTTTGTAATAATTTAAACATGAAATTGCTGTTTCTCAACCTTTTCGGTTTCTCTCCCCGAAAGTTCAGTGAAAATCAAATTTATAGGATAAAATTATTGATCCAAAATAAAATTCAGATTTTTCGGCGCCAAAATTTTGAAAACAAAAAATTAAACGAAAAAAAATTTTCCACTCACCACATGAGCAGGGCGAGGTGGAGGAGCTCCGAGAATGACACTGTAAAATTTTCATTAAAGCCTAGCCTTTTTTTGTTACAACAAACCTATGTGCTGGTCTGGAGGGAATAGGAGGAGGAACGGGAGCTCGAACGGGAGCTGGAGGAGGGGCAGGAGTTGAACTCGCGAAAATATCTGCCCATAGAGGTAGTTGTGGCGCGCTTTTGTTTGGAACAAGATGAGGCGGCGAAAATGGATCTCGGTGTGGATTTTGGTCAATTGAATTGGCGTTGGATGATCTGAAAATAGAGAAAAATTTCACTGTTCAAGAAAAACATGAAAAAAAGAAAGCCAGGTTTTCTTTGAGATTTAAAAACCTTGAGTGAGTAACATATTCAATTTGAGAAAATGAAATTTTTTTGGCCTTTAGCGTAATCAAATTTTTTTCAAGCCTTGAAAGTTACTGTAAGTTTTTTTAAGATTTTTTTCTTTTCTTTAAATACTCACTTTTTCAGCACAAACAGTCATTTTCTTGTTCTACAACTTCTACAAGCTGAAGTTATTCTGGCCCAATCCTAACTTTTCCTTTCCTCATTTAATATATTCCATTCAATACGCCCAATCAAATTCAAAAAAATGTATCCAAACTCTTTTTTACTATATTTATTGTAAATAGGAAAATTATCCAACCTGCTAGAAACCAACGGAATTTGCTGAGAAGTCCAAGCGTCAAGGACGATTTCTCTTGGAGGAGAAGCTGGGCTTATGTCAACTAGTCGACCAACGGGGACATCACCGACGGTCAGAGGCGTCGAGGAAGTTGAGGAGTTCTGAAATTTAGAAGACTTTATGAAGAATTCAAACGACAGGTAAAAAAAATTGGGATTCAAGAAAAGTTTTTATTTCAGAGATTTCGATCACCTCCTAGTTTCTTAAGACGGACGTTTAATAGTTCCTAGAGAGTTTTTTCTTTGCCTTTTTTTCTCCCACATGAAAATATGTTTGTTTGTTGAGTTTCACTTGAGAAACGGATGAAAGTTTATATTCTCCCTGAGATTAACAGTCGATACTAAAATCCATCGCAATCTTTATTTTTTTTTGGCAGAAATTTGCATAAAGAAGAAGAGATTTAGTTTTTAAGGATGAAAAAAAAGTTTTTCCCTGTCCTTCTTCTACTTGTTAAGAAACTAAACTTGAATGCAACTAACCGCCGGCTCACTGAAATCCTGCCAATGGACATTCTCAAATCCCGAAGGTCGACTGAGACTAGAAGAGCCGTCGTCTGACCGCGCCAATGACTTCTTCAAAGCCGCGATTTGAGTTTTCGGTGCAATATCCAGTTTTTGGATTCTTGACTGAAGGACCCCAATGGCTTTGTTGGTGTTCGCTTTGACTTTCTGAGCAAAACCTTACTTTTTGAAAAGTATTATTTCTGAACCTCTCCTAAGGAAGCTTTGAGGTCGCGTTTGATCACTTGAGCTTCAGGAACGGCAAGTTGCAGATCGTCTTCGGTCGACAGATTTTTATTGGCACGGTCGATGACCCCGTCGATATACTGAATAACTGGCAGGTTTCGAAGAAAAGGAAGAACCTGGAACTCACCCGCTCGAGGTATTGAGCCGAGCCAAAAACTTCCTTCAGGAAGTTTCTGCTTCCAGCTGACTGAGCTTGCAGGAAGGTTTCCACATCAAACCGAGTTTTCTAAAAAAGAAAAATATTTTTCTTTCGTAAATTTCTTCTTACGCTCTCAAGGTCTCTGACAAAACCATCACCAAAATTCCCGAATAGCATGGCGTTTGCAATTAGGAAGAGTTTGGTGATGGGAGTTGCTTGCTCAGCTGATTCTCGTCGTTTGAGGAGAGCCAACTCTTTCAATAAATATCGGGCGACCTGAAAAATTTTAAGGTGTACACTTTCATAAACGGAGAGGTCCCTGGATTTGAAAATCAAGTTTTTAATAGCCTAATTTCTTTCTTTGAAAGCTTAAGAGTCATCTTTAAAATACGGTTTTTTTGGAGGATAATATTCAATTTGAAGAAAGAATCGTCGAATTTTTTCAGACAGTTTTCATCAAACTAAAACTCTTATTGGAAATTCGAACAATGTCTAAATCAGCAGTAAGAAAAAATGAAGCCGGAATCCTCGAGAGTGAACATTTTTTCTAATAACTTCTCAGGTTTCCGTTGACTTTTTAGAAATGACACCATTCCGCTTGAGAAAATTATTTTTCATTTTTCTGATACCTTTTGTCAACGCTTTCCAATATAAAGTCAAAGAGAAACCTCATTTGGAAGTAGTTGATAGTCATCGAAAGGATCCTTAACAGTGAGCTTGTCGAGATTGATAACGACGACTTCTTGAAATCGACTGGCCTGAATTTTTCAAATCTTGTCGATTACGATATCCCACCGAGACTTTCCAAAAAAAAAAAAATGTGAAAAGTGTACCTCAACACCTTTAATGGAACTTGTTGGCAGGCCTATGATAAACGGCATCGGAGCTGATGTCATATCTAACAGTTTATTTGTCAAGGTAGGAATGAAGATTGATTGCCTGAAAATAAAATCTGAAGTTATTTTGCGCCATAAAAATATTTTTCACCATTCCATAGGATGTAGAATCGCTGCACAAGCGTGGACCGCGGCACTCGATTTTTCCAAACTTTCGCTGTGGATTATTATCCTTCGCTCTTTCAATAAGCTGTAAAATTTTAATTTTTTTACAACATTTTGATTTTTTTCTAGATTTCTAAAAAGAAGTAATACAAAAAGTGGATTAAAGTCCCGTGTTTTGATAGAAATTTCTTCAACGTTTCATTTTAAAACCGGTTTTGGTCGGAGGAAAGTTATTAACCATACAGTCCCCGGCTCTCAGTTCAAATTGAGCTGAGTGAAAATTCACCTTGCGTACAGTCGAATAACCGAGAGTTCATCAAGGTCCAACAGTTCTCGTAAAGAACTTTCAAATAGTGGGCGGCGATTGGAGAGGTTGGGAAGGCGGAACTGAAACATTTTTTTTTTCAAAGTTTAGAGCTACATCAGTAAGAACGTTACACATGGAAACAATTATTAATAAAAACTGGTGATTTGAAAATTCTTATCAATTAAAAAATTTTCATGCTCAGTTATATGTACGTAAAATTGCATTGTATTTTTTCAAACCTACATTTTGAAGCTTTCCAATTATTCAGGTATTTGAAATTTTTGAAACAAAGGTTTTACCTCAACTTTCATCGGCTTCTCGACGACTTTAGCTGAATTCCCTTTATTGATTGAATCATATGCATATCTCAGAACATCATTTACAGAGCTCTGAAATCCATCAAAAGTTCTATCAAAGAAAAAGTGGCAAAAACTCACATCTCCAGCCCAAATTTCCGGCGCTACAATGGTGAGGAACCTGAAGAATCCGTCAGGCCAAAACAGGGCACTGAATGGAAATAAACAATCTTTGAAGATAAGGTTCACAAAAAATACCTGATTAAACAGACAGTGGTCCTTGTACTGTGATGATATGTACAATAGCCAAACAAAAACTCGCTCTTGGCGTCGGTCAAAGTGAAAGAAAATCGTTGGTTCTCCGTTAAGTTGCAAGGGAAGGAGAACTTCTCGACACTTTTCAGGACCGGATCGTTCCCATAATCGGGTGGAAACGTTGTGAGGACCATGCCAGGTAAAGATTCGTCGAACGGACACTGGACCTCACAAATCACCTCGAAAAGCGATCCAGCTGTTGTTCTGAAAAAAAAGGATAGAAAAACCAAGCATTTTTTATTTCTAAATTCTTGAAAACAAGGTTACTGATCCTAGTAAAACTTTTGAACTTTTGACTGATAATTTTTAAAGGATACGATAAAGATAAAGTTCCGGCGCAAAATTTTTCTCAAGGAATTTTCTCAAAAACTTAATTTTTTTGAGGCTATTTTTAAAGAGTTTTTTGGTGGAAATATCAGTAGAAAACCCTTCTTTTTTTTTTACTTTCTTCATTTACAGTTTGAAAATTTCAATTACAAACTTATTAATATTATAAAAAAATACGAGAAAAAAATCAATATAAATATTAAAAAAATTTGAATCTTGCTCTCAGCTTATTTTTTTATTGTTCTCCAATATTTTCTCTTCCATCGATGATCACAGCCGTCTAATTTTTCAAAAAAACTTGACAAAATTAAGCTCATTCATTAAAAAAATTCCAATAAAATAGAACTCACGCATATCGAGACCAAGAGAAGCCTTTTGGAGCACTCATTGCATTGGCCGGAATTGAAAGAAACTGAAAAAAAAGCAAAAATAAGTGGGAAAAGGAGTGGAAACGAACGCCTAATAAACAATTTACGGATTAATGTAAACGGCTGACGAGCGCCTTGCTCGATAAGCATGCAATATTTCGGCACCGTGTAATGCACAAAATGCGCGTGGGACGGTCGGAAACGGTAATTATTTTTCTACAAAAAGGAGTAATTTTTTTAAGGTTGACTTGAATATTGTGATGTTATTTTTTTGGTTTTAATGCGTTGATATAAATATATTCTTTGCGTTGGATTTGTAAAAATCCTGAGCAAAAAAATTTTTATTTTATCATAATAATTGTATGAAAAATTTTTTTAACAAATTCATTTTTTTATGAATGAAATTTGCTTTTTTTCGAATCCAAGCTATTTTGAAGTTATATAGCTCAGAAATTTCAGCAATAATTGGTTTGTTGAGATATGTTTAAATTTTACCAAACTTGAATATGATACTAAAATTTCGTCAAATTGTATCTTCCTCATGAGAGCAAACACTTTACTTTTTTCAATTACATCAAGCTCTGGAAACTGTTTCCAAAAACCTTGCGCTACCACGAAAATGTTTTTACTGTTTCAGAATTTGAGTTTCCGAGCTGGATTCACTGAACAGAGCATTTTAGAATTTTATTACCAGTTCAAATACCAATTTATTAGATTGCGAAAGCCTTCTCTAGTTCACTGCAGCTAAATTTAATGGACTGAGGCGTGACGGGAAGTTCAGAAAAAATGCTTATTTTAATTCAGTCGGCCTTATTATCGAAACGTTTATTCTTTGTCCCAAACAGTGGAAGCAGAAAAAGGAATTGTCACAGACCTAAATTTTTTAAAACTGGGAATACTCACTTCTTATTCAATTTTTTGATCTTGAAACAGCGTTTTCTTTACCGGATACCAAAAAAATATTCAAAATGAGCAAATATTCATTAGCCAAAATATTTAAGAAACAAATTATGCACTTTTGTCGTATTTCTCAAAGAACTGCACGAGTTCTTCGACGTCTTTCTTGCTGCCCATGAAGACTGTCGACCTTTGATGGATTTCTGTTGGCTGGATGTCCAGGATAGCGCTTCCCTGCAAAATAATGTCATTTCTTCTTGGGTATCTCCTTTTTTGTTCTTACATCTTGCAGAATAGCTATTCCACCAGCTTGCTCCATGATGAAGGCCATTGGAGCACTTTCATAGAGGAGACGGAGTTTTCCGTTCGGGGCGTCTTTTGTGGCCGGATAGAGGAAAATTCCGCCGTTGAGCAGTGTTCGATGGATGTCAGCCACCATGGAACCAACGTATCGTTGGTTCATTCCTTTTTGTCCTTCCTGAAAAATTGAAAATTGGGAAAACTATTGAATGAATCACGAAATCCATGGCGATGGTTTTTAAACTCAATCTCCTTAAAGTTGGATGAGAGATATTGTACGAAAAAGGTTTGAAATAATTATTCAAAATAATTAATTTTGAACCTCAAATCATTGAGATGACTTTCGAAAACCTGAATTATAGGAACGAAATCCTCAATTCAAAAAATGAACTTTCAAATGTTGGACAAACAGTCGTATTTTTGACATTGAGTATGCCCCAGGAAAAAATGGTTCCATTTTCAGATAGATGTGATAACCTCAGAAATCATCAACAAAACTTGTTTCATCAAAAATAATCGAATACGATCTTCCCATTATTCCAAGCTCACCTCAGGAAACTTTCGAGTCCTCACGTACTCAGTCAGTCCCTTGGACCACTGTTTTGCATATCCCTCGTTGATGCTGTAGACTTTCCCCTTCTCAGGAACTTTCATGTGACGATGGGTCAGGATGAACTCTCCCAGACTCTGGAATTTATTTTTTGCATGATTTCAATGGATGGAACTAACTGGGTCTAGCATGAAACCATTGACTCCATGCCCAGTTGACAGAACGACCATGGTAGCCGATCCGTAAAGGCAGTAACCTGCCGCCACGAGGTTTCTGAAAATTTCAGATTCAATAAAAAATTTTGAAGCAGTAAAGCCTCGGTAAAAAAAAAAGTATCACGTTCTGTGCAGATTAAATTCTCAGTGGATTTTTTAAATACTACCCTGATAATTGCAGAATTAAAAAAACTATTTTTTATTTTCAATTCATAGATTCAAATTTTTTTAATGTTAACTCTCAAATACATGATATGCCAAAATTGAGCCTTCCATACCCGTTTTGTGACTTGAACATACCTTCCAGTTTGAAGGAGTTCTTCCTTTTTCACTGGTCCGTCAGACGTCTTACGAAAAATTCCAAAAATTGTTCCTGAACTATTCAAATTGATTTTAAGTGTGAATTTCAGCACTAACCAATAGAAACCAAGCAATCGATGTTGGAAGACCCATCAAGAGGATCGAAAGTCACGATGTACTTTCCTTGTTTTCCTTCGTCAACTTCGATGACCTGTAAACAACCAAATTTAATTTAATCAACATCAGTTGAGCGAAAAATGTACTTTTTAAAAATAAATCCATTTACAAAATTAATAAAAATCACACTTCCCTTCAAGCTCGGAACTAAAAATTTTAATAATGTAACCTTTTCATTCTCTTCAGAAACCATGGCGCACACAGTGTAGGACGACTTGAGCATGTTGATCATCAACTCATTGCTGAGCACATCAAGTTTTTTGACCTTGAAAGTTACATATAAATACAAGAGAAAAAGGAGGAGAAAGAACTTCTTCTCCTTGAACGTTGACATCTCCAGCGATTCCGTAAAGATGAGCAAGGCCAGCTTTTCTGACGGAGCTTGAAATTGCCTGAAAAAAAAATTGAATTTGTGAAAAGTTGAAAAGTGATATATTGAAATAGACGGAAGAATTCGGTATAGGCTTCTTGGATTTCAATCCACAAATTCAAATTCCCAAACATTCTGAAATTTTTGTAAAACTTAGGTTTCCAAAAACTTTACGATGACATTTTACACTATAAAAAAATTTTTATTTTTTTCAATTCCATGGGTTTTGGAAAGAATAAATTCAATAAAAAAATGGAACTTGATTTGTTTGACAAATTTTCCATTCTTGGTGGAAAAGGAACACCTGTAGTTAGAATCATTATATTGTACCAAAAATCAAACTACGTTAGGTTTTCTCAAAATTCGATGTTTTGAGTGCATTCATCAAAAACTTGTCATTATTACCCACACCGAATTCAAAATCATCATGCAAACCCTTATCACTGTGATCATTCTTGATAATCATTGAACTTTTTGCAATAAAATTGTGTACCTTGAACGCAGTGAGGAGAGAAGTGAGCAAGTTGGTCAAGTCTCCAGAAGCGTTCGGATGTTTCCGCTGTTGTTGAAGGACGTAACGCTGCAAGGTCATCGCATCGGTCTCGATACCATACGCAGAAGGATGGTCGGCAGCCATGTTCTTCTGGAAATGTGAAAAACTTTAATAAAAATAATTCAGCTTTTGGTATTGAACAAATGAACTGCGTGTGAGAAAAGCGGAAAATATGATCAATTTTCTATGAGGAAATAGGGAGGAATAAACTTTTTCAAATGCCACGCTAAAAAATTTGGCATTAAGTAAATAGTGAATAACGTTCAAAAAAACTACTCAGCCCGGAGAACTCTTCCTCAGATCATAAAAAAACTGTTTTACTTATAAATTTCGCGAAGAAAAAAATTCCAAAGGATTTTTAAATTTTCTAATAATGCTGATGTTCTGGTTGCGGTAAAAAAATAAGAGAAATTTTTTTGTCGACTATTAATATATACAACAAAGGCCACAAGATAAGGCACAACAATTAAAAACTATCGCTAAAATATCCTTCTTCAATGAAGATTACGCTCCAAAAAATACCCTGGTAGGTTGTCAGGTCTTCAAAAGCCGTAAATGGAGTTAAAGAAATAGACGCTGCTGCATGTTTTCCGCAAAGAAAAGTTTGGCGAGCCCTCTATAAAATCAGGAAACTTGGAAGTTTATAAAGAGTGGATAGAAAATACTCCTGATTAAGAGTACAAAGTTTAAAATTTTTTTTCCCTTTGCAACCAAATCTGATAAACTGTCCAGCAAGCCATTGGGCTCTGGAGCCAAAGAGGATAAATGAAACCGGGAAAGAGAACGTGCAGTTGCTAGCACTTTAACGGCCAACTGACGCGGCAGAGAACGCTCGCTCTTCACTTGTTTATCGGCGATTGGCAGGGAAAACTTTGTTTTTTGTTGGCAACAACTGGAAATTTAAATTCAATCAAATTTGTTGAAAGTATTATGAGAAACAACACTACCTTCCTGTGATGTTAAAATTCAAAAGGATGATTTCATAGGGCATTTCGAGATAATTTGTGTTATAACCGATGCGAATTCAGCAAACTTGTAAAAAATCATGTTTTTCCCAGGAAAAAGTGCTTTTTTCCTTTTAAAAAAATGCTCTTTAAAAATCACTACAAGGAAACAGTGCAAAAACATTCTTCTGTGTTTGTTTGCGAAAAAAATTGAAAAAGAAAGAACACTTATGATAAAATCAAAAAAATACAAGTGTACTAAATATTGATGAAATCCTTAACTTCGCCTAGGAAGGTTTTTTCAAGCCGAGTGATTTGAGAACCTCCAGCAAAATTTGAAAAACCTGAAAAACCTATTATTAAATAGTTTGAAAAATAACTGAACGTTGCAATGCGCATTTAAAGTTCAAGTTTACTTATTTCAAGAACGGGTGAAGTTTTAAAAGTTTAAAAACCCGGCGATATGTTTTTGACCCTAAAAAATATTCTCTTGAATTCTCTTGCCTCGGAAAGCAACCGTTGGACGAAAAATTTTTTAAAACTTGATCAACTTTTCCAGTTATTCTGAAGCGAAATCAACTTCAAACCATGCTAATTCAACAAAAAACAAAAAATTATAGAAATTTCATTCATTTGTAGCAACGTGGACTATTTATCAACATTTTGCTTACAAAGCAAGTTATTACAGAGGGGTTCAGCTCAATTAAGACTCTCTTATGCACATTTTTTTATCAAGGGTTCAAATGCAAAGAAAACACGGGTTATTACTAAAAAGCGAGAGCCCAGCAAAAATAGCTTCAAAACTTAAAAATCTTTTTTTATCAAATTTAGAACCTTTTTTTAGATTTCTTGCTGGATTTCCAAGACAAGAAAGGGCATAATTTCAGGGCTAGGAAAATCATCACGGGATATGATATCTACACGAAATGGTCAAATTTGAATAAAAGCATATGAGAATGATAGCAGTATGTTCAGGAACGTTTCAATCGTCGTCGTCGTCTTCAGCCGGAACGAAGATTTCGTAGTCTTCAAGGAAAGAAGCGCCGGTGTGGGCTATGAGACCTCCGATGTAGAGAGACGTTGCCGACACGAATATCAACTGGAAAAATGTATTTGAACTGTAGAAAACTTTAAAAGATAATCTCGAAGAGTGTTTTGGAAAGAAAAGACAAATTTCGCATCTATTTTACGAGCTGAAAAATGCAAATTCTACAAAGTAAAATTCTCGGTATAAGCTTCATGTTTTCTATTTTTTGATTCTTCTTTAAATATCGCTCAAAAATGAAGGGTTAAAAAGTAAGATCTTTATGTTGAATGATCAAGAATTCGTAGATATGTAGGTTTTTAGAGCTCCCTGGTTTATAATATCAAACAAATGTTTCAACTTTTGGCTTGTATTTGAGTTCTGGCGTTTAAAAAAATGCCAAACGTTTTTGCGTCAGAGAACCTAAAACATTTTTGCGAGTTCCATTTTTTTATTTTTTTAAATGCTTACATTTTTTCTGAACTTTCAATAACTCAAAAAAACTTCAAAACTTCCTTATTATCTGTTCTTGATGAACAAATTGCCTCATTCTTTTTTTCCACCTTTTTTTGAAACTTTATTTTATTTCAGAACTAATCAATCTTCATTTGATAACTAGGACACAAAGTAATTAGTTACCATTGACCTGATTTTACTTCCTTGAAGAAATTTCCGTTTTTATTAAACAGAAAAAAAATGTCTCAAACCTTTAAAAAAAACTTAAATGTTCCGTAAATCCCATGTTTTTTTCCCCTTATTGAGACCTATTCATCTGCGCACGTCAAGCCCCACTTCCCAAGAAATGAATAGCTCCTTAATGCCAAGGTAGTCTTTCACTTTCCGTTTTTTTGCATATTATGATTCAATTTTTCTTCTTCATAATAAATCTGCTTTTTTTGCTTTTTTTCCATTGTTCGAAAAAAACGTACTTTGAGTTCTGTTTTGATTCAAAAACTCTGTATAATATTAATAATGAGGTATTGGAAATGAGTTCAAAATATCTTGAGTTACTTCATTTATAGAATAAAATTGATCAAGATATTATGTTCAATTGAATTTTTTTGAAACTTGTATCGTTCTGCTTCCAAAATAACTACTTTTATGTAATTTCCTTATATAGTTCCTCGAATTTGCTCGATTAAATCAATATAAAATGGCCGAAAGAAGACATCAAATCTCAAAAATTGAATAAAGCTATTTGATTCCGAAAATTGAAGTTGCTGTAGAAAATCTGAGAAAACTCTGAAAAAAAATTTTTCAGATGTTGTCCTCGTCTTCACGGCCTGGCTTGAATGCATTTTTTGTAGTTTCTGATAAGTGAAGTCAAGAACACGAAACAACATTCAGTGAATTTATTTTGAAAAACTTCAGAAAAACTCACTTTCAACATAACATGTTTGTCGGGTGGCGGCGGGATGGCGATGGTTCGGAGATTCGATGGAGGTCTGGCTACCGAAGAGGAAGAACCTTTGAAAGCTCCGGAGGCGATTTTGGTCAACGCACGACCAAGATAATGGATACTCGCAGCTCCTGCCATGTGGTTACCCGTCTGGATCTGCAAAAATTTCACATCAACGCGAGAAAAGTTGAAGGAACGATTTTCTCACTGAAGAAAGAGTAAAAAAAGATCCGACGAAACACTATTTATTTCAAAAAAATACTTTCGAAGTTTGTAAACAAATGAAACAGAAAAACGAATTGAAAAAAGTTCAAAAGAAAGAGAAGCCCGCAACTCAAAAGCTATTGTTGAAACGGAGCTTTACTGCTATAAACTGGCAAAAAAGCACTGGGAAGCTTTTGATTGCTAATTGGAAAAAAACCCAATAACAAAGAGACGTGAGAAAAAGCAACCTTCGCGATGGCGCGCACATTCTTCTTTGCATTGATCTCTTTGACCTCTTATTGTAACGTTTCTTCATGTGATATTATTAAAACCAGGAATTACGTTACACTGTTAAACACATCATAAACTGATGGAATTTCGGGTAAGTTCATCAAAAACATTCGTAGTTTTCGGGCTTAGAAACATTTTTCGACTGAAAAAAATTCTAAACGGATTTTAAAAAAATTTTTTTAAAAAAAGCGAGAAAAAAATATTTTTCGCTCTTAATTTCAAAAAGTAAATATTTGTTTTTTTCCAAGGGACCCCTTGTTAAAATTTGGCAAACAAACGGAAAATCTTTTTTTTGAACGTATCTGGGAGTGAAACTGTGAAATTTTGAAAGAAAACTGCATCAATCTTTGACTATAGCCCATTCCGCGCCAGCTTGTCACGTTTTTCTTTCCGCCAAAAAGACCGTATACCAAAATAGATCAAATTTCTGCTTTTATAACGGCAAGAAACAAAGGTCTTGAAGCAAAGTTGGTCAAATTTGACCTGGCCTTTTGGCGGAAAGAAAAACGTGACAGGCTGGCGCGGAATGGTTTATATTCATGCTCGAAAACTAAATTCTGACAACAAAGCACTTAATTGGAAACAAAATAAGGTACTGACGCCTAAACAATTTTCTGTTTTCTTTTTGATAAATTGAATTTTTTCGCAGCTCGTTTCTTTGAAGGCAGATACTTACATATCCCTGAGTACGATTCAATCCTCCAGACATCAAATCCCTCATAAAGTTGGAAAATTCCCGAAAATCGTGAGCTCGATGCCATCGAGTGCAATTGGACCGTGAAATTTCCTATTATCTTCTCAATCTCCTCTTTTTCCTCCTACTCGCTCAAGAGCAAATCCTAATCCCTCTGGCAGGGGGGCAAAACAATTCTGCCAATTATTGGGCGCACGTCACTTTTCTCACAGCGCGCATCGGATCAGCGCGCCAAAGGCCGACGTGACGTCATTCGCATCTGCGCTCCTGTCTTCCATCATATCCGACAAACACGAGAAGAGCACGCGGATAGGAGACAAAAAATGACGTCATTTAGTGTTGACCAGCGGTCAAAGGGCCATTGAAGAAGGACCAAAACAACGCTGGATCGGTCAACATTTTGAAGCTCATGAAGTACAGTTTCTCCCTCTTCAAAGAGACACTATTCCAATAGAAATGAAAAAAAAGATTGTCTTAATATCGTCTTCAACATTTGGATTATCTTCAATCAATCTCAAGTCAATCTCAAGTCAACATTTGGATGTGCAATTTTGTGTTCAATAGTTCATTTTTTTACCTGATGAAAGTTCAGCGCATCTCCCACGGCTTGATTTTTTTACTACACCTAGTGTTTTTGGGTTTATTCCTTTTTCAAAAATACGACTTTAGAAATGTTAGAAACTATAAGATTTTCAAAAATATCTCTTTCTCAAAATAATTAGTTCCTTTTTTACAAAGAATGAAATTTTACTTCGTTTCTGGGAATTTTTTGAAGACTGGCCATTACACTCCAATGTACCAGAAGTAGACTCTGAAAATCTTAACCTACGCAACTTTCAAGCTTTTGAGAAAAGACACCTCAAAGTCAGGAAAAACTTTTAGAATACGTTACAAAAGGCTGTTTTTTCAGCCATGAGCCCTCATTTCTCAAAAAATAGGAAGTTTTACAGATTGAGACTTTTAAACCTAATTTAGGTACTTCACGGACCTGGTCAATCTTCAAGAAATTCTCGTGAAACTACTTTCATTCATGTTTTCAATTTGAAAAAGTAATTATGATTTATTTTTCTTGAAAAAAACAAACAGTGTTTTTTTCGAGATGCCTTGAAAAAAAGTGAATCAAAAGTTTTCAAATACTCCCATAATTATCTCTGCATTGAAATTTTAATTTCCTAAATCGGAAGAGAGGTGTGACCTTTTGCACCACAAGTAGAATTTTTCAGCTCATAGAGCGTCGAAAATGATATAATTCGATCTTATCTAGCATGCTTCCCTCTTATCAAGTCTAAATATCAAATCAACGTGTTATCCTGCAAAAAGTGCACGTATGTGGGAAACGAAAGTGACGTTTCGGTGTTGACCAGCGGTCGAAAGGCCTCGAAAATGACCACAACAACGCTGGGTCGGTCAACACGTCTCCCGCTTCTGAAGCCGATAATTTATTTGTTCCCGTTCGCCCACGATAACTCAAATAAATCACGTCATCCTTTTTCTGAGGAAGTATTGAATGACTCATAACTTTCTAATGCAGTAAAATTCCAGTTTGTTCTAGGGCGACAGTCAGGTCTTTTTTACGGGAAACATAATTGAAAAAACACAGTTTCGGAATTAAAAAAAGCCTGTGAAAGTGTCAAATTGATAAACCGTGGCAGTCATTTCAGTGTTCGCTCGACAAAGATCTTTCGTTAAGTTCGGAAATGATTTTGGAGAAAATTGAGCAAAAGAAACTTTTCTTGATTGGTTCCTTTTATTAAACTTGGAAAAAAACATCAAATTTGGAGGATGGCAGTCATTTCAGTGTTTGCTTGTATAATCCAAGCAAGTTTCAACAAATTATTGCAAAAAGGTTTTTGATTTTTTATGGCTTAGAGGAACTTCAGATTTTATTATTGAACAACATTATTGGAAATCAAATATTTAAATGGACGTCTCTGAAAGTAATGCACCAAAAAGAGGCTTGGATCTTTCCGTTTCATATTGTTTTAATTATTTGATAAGGTCTCTGTTTCAGTTTCTCGGTTTTTCGCTGAGTCTTCAAATATTTCCAAAATTCAACTTTCAAGCCGCCTTTTGCGGCTGTTTACGGAAACTGCGAAAGACTATGGCAAACTGAATTTTATTTTCGATTTTATTTTCCTCTTTTCAGACTGTTTTTGCCAAGTCGCGTGCCACACGCACTTATTCGCACGCACCAGAAACAACAAGAAATCATATGGCGATTTATTACAAAAACTTTGAAAATAAAGAAAAAAAAACAAAAAGCAAAATGGAACAATAAAGTCAGCATTACATATGGAAAACACGTAAGCGCGAGACGCTGTATTAAAGAAAACAAGAAATGATATGAAGAGAGCAAAAGTGCGATCAAGCCTTAGTATTTGAAAGAGTTCCTGATTAAAAAGCTTCGAAAAGAGTTTCATTTAAGTGAGGTCAAATTTTATGAACTATGAAAAATTCCAAATTTTCTGATGAGAAAAACTCCATTATATTTTAATTTTTTGTAAGCCTTGAAATTAATTTTCGAGCTTTATACGTTTAAAACTGAGCATTTAAAGATCTCCGAATATAAAGGACTGTTTTTCAAGACCTCCAACAAGATTTCCGAGATTGTTTGGAAAAATTTCACTTCAAGATGACCTCTCCTATGAGAAAGAAGAAAAGCTAATCATAGCGTAAAGAGAAGTTGAGATATTCAAGAGCCATAAATGCTGAGATGAGATACATTTGGACAATAAAAGCTATGCGATTGGGATGGGTCTAATCTATCGAACATCCAAAGTTAGACCGGTGTCAGAGGGTTTGGTGGGTTATTTACAAGTACTTCAAAGGGCTTACTCGCATTTTAACCGGATGAAAAAGCTTTGCGGCAAAAAATGGTTAAAAATGGACAACAATAACGACGGCGGAGCATATTTATAGTATGTATAGGTGGACTTTGAAGAAGATTTTGGCCTTCAGTAGTTGAAGCGGAAGGTCAGGGCTGGCTGGTCGTCGCGCGGCTTTTCCGCAAGCTGGCTGTAGAGTTCGATTCTCTGCTGGGCAGACATGGAAGTGTTCACGAAAAGTGGCCGGTCGTAAGGCACATGGTTCACTGAAAAATTGAATTTTGGAAGGAAAATCAAAAAGTTTCTGGGAACATTTTTTCTTAATAGTAGTAAATCTACAAGCGCCGTGGGAAGACAAATGTCTGGTTTTTATTTTATTTTTGAACAGTAGGCTCCAATAAGCCAAAGACTCCGCGAATTCAGATCTTCTGATCAAGCTTATTTTTTTGAAGCTGATGATTTGCCAGACACAGAAACTTCCTTTTTTTGATCAAAAAAACAGGCCTTTCCAGCAAGTTTTATTTCAAAAAGACTCTATTAGGATCATTTCCGGCTGGATTTTTGGTTTCGCAACGCCCATATCGCCCACCAGAACGCACTGAAACTTGAGAAAGTGTGTTCCGCTCGTTTCAAAAATCCTTCAGTCAGCCTTTTAGTGGCGTCATCGCTATTGTGAATCTATCGGATAACCCCTGAGTCTTCTTCGCCTAGAGAGAAGGGAACGCAACAAAAAAGGGCTTTCAGAAATCGTCATGAGCAATTGAATGGCGCCCTTTCAAGCGGAAGCATGTGCAATTTAGCTCTTTTTTCATGGCTTTGAACGCTTCAATGCAATTGCGGCGATAGACATGGAGAAGCGGATCTTTTTCAATGATGAAAAAATTTAAAAAAATATGTGCGTGGTATTTTTACCTGGAGATGACATGGACATGTTGTGGTATGACGAGAAAGACGATCCGCACCCATTCGGCGACTAAAATAGAAACTTTTATTACATGTCTTTATTTGCAAGTACAATTCTAAGCGTAGGCAAATCTGATAGCTTTTTTGCCGTCATTCTATTATATGGCTTCCGATCATGGAGAACAATGACATGATTAGTTTTTTTCAGAGAAAAGAGCTTTATACGGTAGTCAATAGTTCAAAGAAAAATGGCTCTACTGTACTCTAGCCCAAATTAAAACTTGACGGCTCCGAATCATTCATTCTTATCTGAGTTTTGCTCACTAGAATTTTAGTGGTCTCAATTTTTTTCCTTTCTGTTTGAAAGATGTCTAAACTCTTAGTAATCTCGAAAATTTCCAACAGATTTTTTTTCAGAGTTCTGAGTCAATTTTTGAAAGCGGTGGTATTTTGAAGAGAAACCCCTGGCCACATGGTCTCTCGAAGTATTTATTTTTTCTCTCCCATGCAGATAAAAAATTGGCAATGGACCATCAGATCATTTGGCGCGTGTCTCGGGTTTTTCCCTCAAAGATAGCGACGTTGTAAAGTTGCGAAACAAGGTCAGCTGATGTGGGCAAAAACGACACAAAAAGAAGAGAAGGGAGGAAAAAACGAAAGATAGAAACACAAAGAGCATCGGAAACTGAACCTAATGAGGCATGGCCGACCACTTTGCGGCACATTGTGTTTCCAAGTCTAATCTCATCTCGTCTCGGAAAAAACCCCATATCTACTTCCGAAAATGGCGTTTCTTCTTTTTTTTTTGTGATGGTAATTCCACAAAATTTCGAAAATTCTGCATTGGAGCACAGATTAGTGTCAAGGCCTTGAATTTTTAACCTTTTTTTTGGAACTTTGGAAACCTATTCACAACTCTTTCAAATTCTTCCGTCTCAGAGAAGTTATTGCAAAAAGTAGCAGCCTACTGGTAGATATCATTTTTTGAACGCGTCCGACCTACTGTGACTTGCGCTATACATCAAGCTTAGACTGCAGTAAATCTTGTTTTTCAACTATTTTTGACATTTTTGACGTCTTTTACTTTCAACCAAGTTGTTAAAGTTGATCCAAAAAAAAATCAGGTTTATCGGAGCATAAATTTTTCAAAATTCTAATGACTTATCCACACTGTCATGATGCTAGGAGTTAAAGAAAACCTTACGGTCATGGAGTTTTTGTGAAAGACTTCAATCTGACACATTTGCTTTTTTTCGTCTAAATTCGTTTTAATTATAAAGAAATACTAAAAAAATTTGGCAAACTCATCAGAATTGCCTCCTAATTTTTTTCACCACGTACATAAGTTCTGGAGCAGAAGAAGGACTCACATCGTTCCTCGAGTTGAGAGAAGTGTTGACGCTGAGTGGCTGAATCGCGTTACGCAGAACTTCGGTGGTGAGCATTTCTGGTTGACAAGTGTGTTGGCAAGGAATTCCTGAAATACTGCCTTCGTGTTCGTGTTGAAAGTCGACGGAAAAAGAAAAATGACCGCGGGTTGGCAGACGACAAAGAACCGAATTAGAGGAAGGGGCTGAACCACCAAAATTTCGTCCTAATCTGATTTCTTATCTTTCTCCATGGAACTCTCGAAATCAGTTACAGCACAGCTAATAGGTGAAAACAGTTCTTATCTTTAGGTTTTGTCGGGAGAATCAGTTGTTCTACTTTAACGAGCGAGGGTTGGCAGAATATCGGAGAACAGTTAAGCGAGCAGAAAACATGGTCTTCAAACTTCAGGTTTTTTGAGGCGAAAACTTGATTTTAAGATGAAAAATTACTGTGTCAGTTCGGTACAACTTTCAAAAACCGCAAAGAACCAAATATTCCACGAGGTCTCTTCTTTCAAAGTTCCCATAATCAAAAAATTGGGACAACAAGCTTGTTTTGGATCATGATAAATGAAACTCTCAATTTGAAGAATAAATGAGCACCGGTTGAAAAATGTAGGCTGATGAGTTTTCAGATAACCTTTATACTGAAAAAAATTTTTCTCAGAAAAACTCCTCCGACGGGGGCGGAGAGAGATTAAATATCCCAAAATAGAGTTTTTTTGAGAATCTTTAAGTGCAGGTTTGACTGTCACTGACAAGTTCAGAGGGAAAAAAAGTTTAATTTCATTCCTTTTCTAATATTCTATTTTCAGGGTACCTAAGAATATGAAAATAATGATGAAGGAAAAAAAAAATGAATTTCGAAACTTAAAAATTTGATTTTAGTTTCTTTCAAACAACTAAATTTCTTTGCTCAAAGTTTTTGGGCTGTTCTTTTCTATCCATCCTGAATTCCGAATCCGAAAACGATTCTCGAGCCCCGGAGCATATTTGATGCGACAACAACAACAACAGCCCAAACCAACAAAGCATTTACTCGAAACGACTTTTCTTCCTGGCTTTGCGCGAAGGAGATGCGCGAAAAAAGCGGAGCCCATTCGCCTCCGACGTGTTTTGGTCGTTTTTCTAGCCCTTTTTTCCCATATTTTTGGAGCTGGCACATTGCCAGAATACTCTATTCGTCAGTCTTTCCGCGTCTAGCGAAACAAATAGAAAGTGCACGGCCGTCAACAAGCTCTCCGAAACCGAGAGACCCACCGCTTTAGGGCTTTCAGCCCATTATTCCCTTCGAAATGACCGTCTTTTCTCTCACGCACCAAAGCACTCAGAATTTGTCGGTTCCATCAATTCGGATCATTTGCCATGTGGTTACGGTGAGGAAGAACATTTGAATGCTCCTTTGAAGTGTTTTCGGAGACTACACTCCAAGTTTTGGGAGCTCTCACAAGGGAGATTCTTGACCTCAAGTCTTGAATTTCTCTCGAAACTGCTGAAGCTCTCTTAGATACATCAGATAAAATTTTTAGAACTTCCAATTTTCTCACTTCCTGAGCCGCTTTTCAGAGTCTTCGCAGTAACTGAAAATTTGAATACGATTTTTTTTTTGGAAGTTGTGTAAGGGAAATATTTAAGAGTCCTTGCCTGATAATGGGAAAAATTTCAAAAAGCTTCAACTGCAACTATTTTGAACTAAGCGCGGAAAATCAGTAAGATTTATTGAAAGTATCAAATCCAATATTTGGATACGCCGATTCACGTGGAGCTGAAAATAAAAAGAGTTTTTGTTTTTAGAAAATAAGAGAGAACAAAAAAAAAGTTTATAAAGACATTAATTTAAGAGGTTTTCTTAAGTCTAAATTTAAAAAATTACAGAAAGTCTCAATTTCTCAATTTTAATTTCTTTTCTGACCTCCATCCCTTTTTGCGACATGACCTTCGAAAACTGTCTGACGTGGGCAGAAAGGATTATAAAAAAAAGTCAACAAAAATTTTGTTGCAAAAAGACGATGCGCCAGCCAAACTGATAAGACGCCAAATTTAAAGGGTCGTGATAAGCCATTTAAGGTTATCACTTCAAACCAAACGCCCATTGTCTTTTGCTTTTGTTTTTATGGGTTTCTCGAAAAAAGGTATAATAAGATAGGTATTCTTAATTTGGAGAGAAGGTAGGAGGAGGAATGCAACACGTGAAGGTCAGAGACAGAAAAGCGTTCCGAAGGCCGGAAAGGTTTTTTCCGTCAAAAGTTGGCGCAAGGCGGGGCTCTCCGCATACTTCTGAGCTCTTAAAGACTGAAATAGCGGCGGCGGAAAAAGTTCGCAATCTAAACAGTTCCTAAACACTTTCGACAGAATCCCGTCGAGTTCATCCTTTTTCAAGCGCTCCAGCAAAAATATTTACCTCAAAAATTGAATATTTTGGAAAGTCGCTCTAAAATATTTGTTGATTTTTTTAAGGCATTTTTCAGAATTCTGGAAATTCTCCCTTTTTTCAAAAGTTTCATAGAAAAACTCTTCCGATGAGCTTTTTTTTTCAGCTCTCAGATGACGCTAGGTGTTCTTATAGTCGACTCACACTCCATTAAAAGCTGAGCCGTGCCTGAGATTAGCTCCTCGATAATTCGACTTATTCTAGCTTTTTCAACAATATTGAAAATATGGAGGAAGGGATCGGAAAACGAAGATTATCAGGATTGCAAAATATTGTACTCTCGATAGACATGGAGGCGTCGTAAAAAAGGACAAGACTATGTTTTTTTTCTGATAAGAAATTGTCAGTTGAAAACAGAAAAGAGATTCAAAAAAGGAAAGGAACAGTGCAACGAAAAAATGGGTTCAAAATTTTTCCGAAGTCCTATCATAATGATTATAGAGACGAATTTCTCTTAGATATCATCTTTTTTCAATGAATAATGAGTTTTTGAGAGACTAGTAAGTTTTTCAAAGCGCCAATGGAAGCTCCTGTTCTTTTATGTTCCACGAAAACTTTCAAAAATTCATTTTCTTCACAAAAATTTAAGTTTGGGCTTCTTGGAAATGATCTTCAAAAAGAAGACGCTCCATTTGAGGAACGTTATAACTGTTCGATTTTTTGAGATGACTTTTTAATTTGAACTCATTTTACAAGAGCGTTGATAAATTTTCATGAGTCTCTGTGAACGCTAAGGTATCAAAAAAAAAGTCTTTGAGACAAAGTTTTAAGATCAAAAACAAATTTAATAAATTAAAAAAAATCTTTTTATGTCAGTTCAAAAATATTTAAATGAATCCATATGAGAGTGTCTTTCAATTACAAACCTCTGAATGGGGGTTTTGAGAATCAAACTTGAGGAAGAACTTGAGTTTGCTTTCTATGAGACAGAATACAACAGAACAATCGTGGAGTTTTCGATTTTGAGAAAAGATTATTGAAACCTAAACTTAAGAAAACCACCCAAAGTTTTCAAAAAGTAAACAGAGATTTGAAGAAAAAGCCGGAGTACAAATCGGAGCTGCCAGTCGCTTTTGTACGAACGGCGCTTATGAGCACAAAGAGGAACAAGTAAAGAGGCGGGACACGTAAACCCAGGCGCGCGGGGGGCGGCGCACGCCGTTGGAAACAAATCGTCTGAAGGTTCAACGGTCAAGCCACGCCCACTTTTCGCTATTTATGTTTTTTGCGCCTTTCCCAAGGCTCCGACGACAGCCGCCACCCTCAGAGCAAACATGCTCGAAAAAAATGAGCAAAAAAAACGGAGGAAGAAAATATTTGGCAACGTGTTAAGTAACCCTCAGCAATTTTGTTTTATAGTCCTTTTCATCGGTTTTTTTCGACAAGTTTATTTTTTTATCGGAAAAATTTTTGATACTATTCTCAAAATTGATCAAGTCTGAGTTATTACAAAAAAATTTTTTCCAGTGATAGCTAGGAATAACTAAAAACTAATCAGTTTTTGATAATTCAAACAGAAACATTTTTAGAACAGCAAAAAAACGGTCAGCAAAATGAAAGGATTTTTTTAGTTTCAAGGATCTGGCAAGGCACTCCAGTAAAATTTCTTATATTTAATGTCAATTACAACAGAAAGCCACGCCTTTCTGACTTTAACTTCCGTGGAAATCGGGAACTATTCAACAATGTGAACTTTTTTTTTGGAATCGAGTCAAAAATAAACCTCAATTTGAAGGCGCAGACGCCATGTTCCAAATAAAGTTTCGAGAAATATAAACGGAAAATGTGGTTTTTTTCTTTGATATTACTGTGTGTGTCTTTGGATGGAGAGAGATATTTTGTTGAGCATATGAACTCAAAAATTGCCTTTTACTCGTCTATTCCGCTTTTTAGCTTTGAAGTGAGCGATTTCAATCTCTGAAAAACCGGAGGCTATAATAAAATCAGAGCCAATTATTTAACGTTAGTTTTACCCTCAGAGCAAACAAGCTCGAAAAAAAAAAGAGAAAGAAGAAGCAGAGAAAGAAAATAAATACCTGGCAACGTGTCGTATTTCGGAACGTCGGATGCGACGAGAGCGCCGTGCTCCGCTATCTGAAATTCAAACGAATGAGAAAATTATTTTTTTTCTATTGCTCCAGTTTTTTTTTCCTTCCATTTTCCGCTGCTTCTGCCCGCGGTGCGAATGGCATGGGAATTAATGAGAGTGGGGCTGAATAGATGCGCGCTTTATTAGGAAATCGCATCCTCGATGTGCACTGGGGAAGAACTCTGCATAAGAAGGTTCAGGAAAACACTCAAAGCCCTCCCAGAAATGGAATTAATTCAGGAAAAGAACTTCCTCCTCGTCTTGAAAACATCCAAGTTTTCCCACGCAAGTGTACAAATGTAGTCTTGAATTATTCAAAAGTTAAAGGTTTCAGAATTTTTTTAGAAACAGAAGTTTTTTGGGATGTATAGTTGATTCTCAAAGCTCGATGCGGTTGCCCTGCGGTTCAAATTGATGAAAAAATTGATACGAGAGTTGACTTCAGTGTGGTTTTCTTACTATCCAATTTTTCACTCAAGAAAAGGTATTCCAGAAACAGAATGGCTTCAATTTGTAGTTTGATTTCTAGAGCTTCAAATAAAATTTTGAATTATGACTTCTTGGTTTGACTTGGGAATGCTATAAAGAAGAGAAAAATATACGATTGTAGTACAGAACTCTAAACTAGCCTTGTGACTTATGAGACTTTCTGAAAGGTACATTTTCTGTAAAATTTGTAGTGGCACTTCGTCTATGTAAATAAAGGAGTTACGATTATAGTGAAGCATTCTTGGTGACGATTGAAGTTAGAAGAAAAAAAAACCTCAACAATGAAATCACGCACTTTTTAAAACGTAGAGTTTGAGAATCAAATAATCTGTGAACTTTTAAAGATTGAATAAAATCTACTCTGAAAAGTTTTCTGAGATTGAGAAAGGTTTTTTATGAAACATGAAAGAAACAAACTTTTCAGCAGTTTTTTGTCGTACAGGTTTCCTTAAGAGGTATTAGAAACGTAATTTTTATCAGATTTTCAAAATAGTTGCTGAGAAAGTATTCAGAGCCGATAACAGTTCTAGAGGAAAACACTGTAAGGGTCAACAAAAGGGCAAAAATATAGTGCTTTCCAGCGGCTGACTGAGCCGCTTTTATATGTTTGCGCCAGCGGAATACCGTAGAAATACGTGGGCGATCGGAAAATACGCCGTTGAACGGAAGAAAAGGAAAGAAAACAACGTGGACAAAACAGCCGCGTGGTCATCTGCGGGTCATTTTTGTCTGGATGATGTCATTTGGCCTCCGGGTTCACGCGCCAGACGTTCCCAAGACGACCCAGATTCAGATCTCAAACTTTCGAATAGTCAACAGATCATCATTTTGATATAATAGATCTGTGATCGGTGATCTCCTTCGAGAACGTGACTCAGCTTTGGGTTTCGGGCAATGTTTCAGGTTCTTCATACAGAGTCTTCCCTCAGAAACGGCTGGTTTTGGAGGATTTTTTCAATTTATGTACCGGGAATTTTGATTTTAGAAAAATCGGAATAATTTATAGTTACGATGGATCTCTTTCTAACTGTTCTCTAACAAACAGTAAGTGTTTCCAAACTTGATCTTTTCTGTAAGACTGAAGCCATACGGGGTTTATACAAATGAAAAAGCTTCCTCTGACTTTGTCGTTTCTAGCTTTTTAAGACCGACTGTAGAGGCTTTAGGGAATTGGATTTAGAATATTCACGATATCTTTGTATGCTTCAAGCCTACCCGTAAAATCCGTGGGCTACCAATTCACCCATTTTCATCGAAAATATCGGAATGAACTTCCCAAAAAGTTCTTGAATACGTTTCTATTTCTTACACTTGACGTCAATTTTCAATCATCTGGTCAGTTTATAAAATTATTTTTTTCCCGAAAAAGTTCAGAACGAGTTTTAAATGACGTGGTTACCAGAAACTTTCCAGTTTCAGCTGACCGTTTGACGAGAAGAAAATATTTTGAAAGTGACTTAACCGAAACCTTCTTCAAAATGAGCGTGAACAGGAGCTTTTGTAGGAATGCCTACTAGTAATCTTAAAAAAAATGGAATGATTAAGCTAATTCTCTTCTTTGACCTCATCGAAGCACTGTCATCTGGCTGGCTTTTGGATAGAAGCAAAATTATTCTGCTTCTGAGAACCTCTAGGAAAAGGTTCAAAAGTTGGTCGGACCAACTTTGCCAGTGTTTACCGTCGGCCCGCGCGGACGTTCCTTTCATCTCCTATTTCACCTGTTTTTTTGGCCATTCTGTCAAGAACGGAGCGATTTTTCTCGAGAATTGGGGTCAGCAAAACATTTGGACAAGGCGGCGAGCAAAACACGCGTCATGGGGAGAAGGTTTCCGCGTCCTGTATGTACTTGCGTTTGCTAACAAAGAAGTGTTCTCAGAAGGAAAACAAGCCACAAAGGAAATGGATCAGGTAAGGCCGAACTTTCCCAGCAAATACAGTAGGACGAAAAAAAGTTGTTTTTGGGAATCCCTTTTTTTTCCAGTTCTCATGTTATCGGTCGTAAATGATCTGCAATAGATTTCTCTTTTACATTGAGAAATTGCGTTTCGTAACCAAACTTGGATTTTTTTGGTAGAGGAAAAACTTTTCGAAAAGCTTTCTAGATGCTCAGAAGGACCCAACCTCACCTCTCATTTCAGAAAAAGATTTCTTCGTATGATTTTATGAGGATAACCATCAAAACTGAATTCATTCTGACTAGAAAACTTTTTTTCCTGCGGGTAAAATCCGAGGAAATTTTACTGAAGTTTACTTCAAGACCTTTTACTGAAGTTTACTTCAAGACCACCTGATTCTCAAAATAAAAAATTTTTGCCTTAGATCGATTTTTTTCGTTTAAACGCTTCATAAGCTTAAAATAGCGCTTTTTTGTCAAAATTAGGATATTCAGCAAAATTTGAAACTTTACAACCTAATACAGGATCCGCTGCAAAAAAGTACACTTTGATTGCAAAAACTTGAAGAGCTCAAACTATTTCTCGACATCCTTAACTCCACTGTTACCGAGTTTACGATCTGCCTTCTCCGTAAGAGCAATTGAAAAAGAATCAAAATAAAATCTCAAAATTTGTTTTTGTCCGGCCACAAAGACATCAAAGAATGGTTAGGTGGAGGATGGTTTTTTTTTCTTTAACCGAAACGATTCTTTGTGCGAATTTGGTAGTACAAAGTGTTTGGTCTTCAAAACGAGCAAAAAATAGTCTTGAATTCAAACTGTGGGAAAAAGGACACAAAGCGTTTTAACTTTCAAATATAAGTTTGATTAATTCGAGGCTGAAATATAGTTTGAACGAAACCACTCGACTCAATATTAGCAAAAAATGTGAAGAGATTCTTTGCAAAGTTCCAAAAAGTTCTACTTCGGAAGGCCACACTTTTGCGATTTATCAGCCTCAAAGTGAGATTTTTCATGTCAAATTTGAAGTATAAGTAATCAAGTTGAAAAATACCTTCCCATCGATGGCGACATGGAAAAGCGGCCAATGAATCGCATTGCTTGTTTGAGTTTTAAAAGGCTCGTCCATCTCTAAAATATCATCGAAACTGAAAATTCGTGAGCTTCCAAAAAATTACCAATAATTCCAGCGGTACTCATTGTCGCACAAACGAAACGAGGCTGCAAAGGAGCTATCCGATTAATATTCTGGCCCTGAAAGACAAATTATAGTTGTTTTATGACCTAACTGTTTTTTTTAAACAATTGGAGATTATCTGTGCACATTTTTTTAAACCAACGCCTTGTTTTTTTCAAAACCCCCTTCCGGTGATTTTTGCTTCTTTTGCTTCATGACAAACTCTTTCTTTCTTTCTATTCCGTTTTTGTTGAGCACCTCACCTTAAACGCCGAATCCAACAAGTTGGCAAGCTTCTGACATTCTTTCCTCTCGACTTTCGATTGGAAAATCCTGAAAAAAAATTCATTTTTTGCTAGATAAATAAAGTCTAGTGCAGGAATTTTTTGTGACAGCTGGACAAACATATGAACTTTGCCCCGAGTTTTTCGCTAAGGTTGTTTCACGAGGTTATCATTTTGCAAATCAGCGGGGGAAGGTTTTTTTTGGTGCTGCAGAGGTTCATCGGAACAAGGATTGTTTCAAACTATAACACGTGTCTTTGAGATAGAATAAACTTGAAGTTTTCTCTTAATGGAAGTTCAAAAAAGAAAACAAGCAGTGCATTTCTCAAAATACCCTATCTAGAATTTTTATGAACTAAAAAGTCTACTTCGAAACAAAACACATTGAGAAATTTTAAACACTACCCTCGTTTGCCAACTTATGCAAAATCATGTCAGGGCTTGACCGTATTGCTTTTTTAACCTTATAAGGAAAAGTCTTTTCAACCTTCTGTTACTGTAAAATATTTCAAAATTTTCTCAAATTTCTTTTTGACTAATTTATTTTCCGAAGAACCGTTTCCTCAACATTTTGGCGACGCTCTTAACTGCAAAGGTATTAGTTTTCTTGTCATCTAAAATTGTATTTCAAAAAAAAACTGAAATTTCATAGGTTGAGAGAGAAGCTTCAGGGTATCAAAATTTTTTTCCAGAATTCTTTAATTTTTTCCAGCTATCAATCAAACTGCCCAAAATATCATTTAAAATTTCTTCAGTACGGTATTGATTTCCGATAACTTTCGAAAAAGCCGAAGTAAAAAAAGAAGTTTCATTTTTTTCGACATGCTCGACCAATTTTTTTGTGTTTTTTTGTTACGGTAAGAAGCAACTGAAGGCCGTTTTTTTCTTATGTTTTTTTACATTTTTTTGTTTTTCTTTTCATTTCTCTCCCCACCTGCTATTAGCCATTATTGTGCGCAAATTGCAGAAGTTCCTGTCAATCATGGTCTGAAAGATCAACCGCAGGCAAAGGCAGGTAATGATCATCATGATAACGGCAAAAATGAAAAGCCACGTGACGAGAATTGTCTTTGTATCCTCGTGATGTGCCACCATTCTCCCTGCTGAATTCTCAAGGTTTTTTTGTTTCAGGTCGACGGAAGGTTTAAAATTAACCTATCATGAGAGCTCCGAGAAATGAAAGTTTGTAGCGACCGGCCGGTGCTACAATAACTTCTTCTCTGACGACAAACGCTGCGATTTGTCGACTATAGCTACCTAGAAATAAATTTTTGTAGGGAGATTAGTTTGATATATGTAGCGCTGTTTGTAATCTGTGAAGTGACGAGTTCACCGAAAGAATGTATGAGTTGGAGGATATTATATATCTCATTAAAAAAATATATAAGCCCGTCCTCCAATATCAGAAAATTGAATAGGAAGCTAACTTTGACCAATTATTTTGATCGAAATTGTGGAAGAACGATAGCGACTCGATGAAAATTTTGAATCTTCACTTTCGTGACCACTCAACTAAACCCAGGAAAGATTTCCAAGTTCGAAAAATCTTTTTTGAATTTTTTTCGTGTCAGAAGAGTCAGAAAAGCTTTACAGATATGCTTTTGAATGAAGCATTTGCGATCACTTTTTTTTACTTCATGGATTTTTTGAAAATCTTTCTTTGAAAAATTCTGAGAGCCAGTCTTTAAAGCTTATTATTTTGTTATATTAAACTCGAGAAAAAGTATTGAAAAAAGAATAAAATTTTTGAAATGTACACTGTGCATTCAAACCGAAAAATTTTCGCAATTTTCCTCTTTTTATCGCTGACCTGAACTTTTTCCTAACATTGGATGAGAAATTTGATCACCGAAAACCTAGACCAAAAATATCTCTTATTTTGATAGATCACAAAACTTTTTCCGATCTTTTGACATTCCAGGCTCTTGCAGAAAAAAAACGGCGTTTGTTTGATATCTGACGGCAGCCGGCCAACTGTTCATTTTTCTCAATTTTCCGTCATTAACCCACACGTGACTTCATTTTAAAATGAACCGAATGGATGTTTTGCGAGTGGAAATTGATTTCAAGGCCAGGGAAAGGAATCTGAGAAATAAATTGCGATGAACGCTTCAAAACAGTTTTTTGCCCCTCCGTTGGGATGTACGAAAACAGGTGAAAAAGTTATGAGAATGTTGAGTAGGTCATCTTTTCTTGATAAAAAAGGGATAGATAGTCAAGATCTTTGGTTTTGAAAATCTCAGTAAGATTTTGGAGGTTTTACAGCTGAAAAGAAAAAACATAAACTTTTTGATTCCAAATTTTCTGAGATTTTATCGGAAGATTTCTTGTAAAATCAAAAAAATCTTTCTAGAAATTGTGGTTAACTGTTAACTTAAAAGAGAGAATGTCTTAAGAAACCCTGTTTTAATAGATTATTCTCATTGAGGGGTTTTTCTGTAAAACCGTGACCTTCAACAGGACCAAAATTACCTGATCTCTCTCGGTTACAAAAAAAAGTCTCACTAATTTAAAAAAAAATCCATCGCAGAAAGTTGCTCTAAAACCCGAAAAGATCTATTCAGATTAGTTTTTCTCAAATTCCATAATTCGAAATTTTTCTCAGGGTCGAAAGAGAGCTTCAAAAACGATAGCCAGAAAATACTCAGTAAATCGAAAAGGCAGGAAACTTCGAAAAGGTCACAATCAACTCTGAAAAAAAAGAAAACAAAAATTTTGGGACTTAAAGACGTCCATTTTTTCATTTTTTAAGTGAGGAAATATAGAGATAAGAAAACTTTGAATTCAGGAACTGAAAATGTTCACAACGTATGAATTAATCATAATCGGAAAGTCATCTTTTTTGAGCCATGAACTTTGAGAAGCCTTTATTTTTTTAAAAAAATCTTTTTTTAGAGAGCTTATCGCATTGAAGTTGACAAATTGGAAAGTTTTCACTTTTCACTGAAAAAAATCCTCAAAAAAAGTTGCTAACATTCTTCAAATTTCTTTACGTTCCTTTGATAAGAAGTGCTTTCTTTTTTTCCGTTTCAAATTTTTTATACGTTTTCTATCATTTGAACGGTTTCGAAGGACATAGTTTATAAATCTCAATTTTTCGCTAATTTGACAGAAAGTTGAAGTCCGAAAAAATAGACCCAAAACTTGCAAGAAATTGGGCATAATAATCTGGAAAACGAAAATAAATACCTGCTTCACAAAAGGCTCAGTTTTAATTTCCTGTCATTTTTCTGCTCTTTTTTGACAGGAAAATATTTTTTTAGTGCAGTAGTTCCTGATTGAGCCGGAAATCGTTGCAAAAGTGACTTTCGTTGGATGAACCGACTTGATCCCTTATACCTCTGGTTTTTTTCCCCAAAAAGTGAAAAGCAAATAAAAAAAAAAAAAACGTGTTTAAACGAGTTTTTTTAATATTTTTTTCATTTACCATAAGCAAAAAGTTCGGAACTTGTGCTAAAAAGTTAAAGTCTAAAACATTTTTTTAACGCAGCATTAAACGAAGTTTTGTAGCGGGAAACAGAGCAAAAGACGTTTTTCAATTTTTAGGTGGAATATATGAATTCCTCATTATTTTGTTAAAGATGAACAAATCAGGCTGAAAATCGATAAAATCGAAAAAAATCAGAGTAACGAGAGAAGCTGTATTAAAAAAAGGTAGGAGGAAAAAAAGCCTAGTAAGGAAAAAAATAATACGAGTATCATTATCATTGAAAAATACACAAATTACATCGGAAAATGAACAAAAACGCGTCTAATTTGATAAAGCTAGTTGACGTAAAATTCATATGATTCCTAAAATACCTGATAACAAATCAAATGAAGAACGCAAGAACAAGATTGAAGTCGTCGGATATGATCCAACGGCAATGTTGAATGAGAACTGGTCATCGAACTTTTAGTACAAGCGGTGAAGAAAATGATTGATACAGGGAGATTTGCGCAAAAAAGGGTCGTAAATCGATGAAACAGACAAATTGGCGGTTCTTGCAGTATCAGTTACACAAAAAAATCAATTTCAATTATTTTTAAAACGTTAATCTGCTTCCGGGAGCTACATGACAAATTGAAAAAAACTTCTTCAGTGAACGTTTTTGAAAATAAAGGGAAGTTTTAAAAGAACAAATTTTTCGGTTTTCATCTGGAAGAAAACGCGAACTTAGAATACTTTGACTCGAAAATCCCGAAAAAAATTTCATTTGCTGAAAAATTGTCTCCAAAGCGGTGAAAAGAATACAATTCTCAAGCTAGGCTTTGCAAAGAAAACTTTCTGGAAATTATAGTGACGTGAAAAGAAATTATTGCGTAGAGAGAATGAACGAGATCTGAATTTGTAAAAATAATTGTAGGCCGCATAATAAGATGATTTAGAAATAAACTATCCAGGGTTCAACTTTCATCTCATTCCTGACTTGTGATTTCGAAGGTTTTCAATTTGATTCTTTCGAGAGTTCTTCGAAAAACTTTTAACAATTAGTTTTTTCGTTTTCGAATTTGACAGACCATTCATTTCAATTTAATGATAATATATTTATTTTTCAATTCGATCGAACAACGAAAAACAGTTTGAAATAAGAAATATTTTTTTATATGTTGATAATTTGAAAAAGTAATCAATAATATATGATAGGGTCAAAAAAATGGTAAGAAAACTTGGAAGACTTGAAATTCACAAACAAACTCGGGTCGCATTACAAAAGTTGAACTGTTCGTCTCAAAAAGCTGGCAAACATCAGTTGATCCCAATTCATGATAGTAATCATTATCGATCATAAGATTAGAAGCTCAAGAAGTTGTTTCAAAATCGATACAAGAAAAAGTCGAAGAGTTCGCGCCCGAGACGCGGGTTCAGCTTGCGTAACCCGACGTGCCCCAGGCGGGTTGCCGCGTCGGCGTCATCCGGAATTGCCGCAACCGGATGCCAACCGCCGATCCAGCGCGCGTGCGTATCTTTTCCTCCTCGCTTTGCTCATCAAAATAGCTTTTTTTCGACGTTTTACGAACAATTGTTGGCACACGGCGTCGCTACACAAGATATACATAAGGATCTTCGGCAAGCCGCGATGAAAAACTCACGTTTTCTTGATTTTCAAGTGGATCTTAAGCAAAAAGCAGCTCTGCCAGAGCTACAGTATGGTGTCTGAGGAAGATCAGATGATGAGATATGTTAAAAAAGTTGAAGTGAAATTAAAGCTCAGTTAGAAAGATACATGAGATATTTTTCAAGAAATAATCGAATTATTGAGATTATTCTTGATTTTTTTCCGTTTTCAGTCCTAGAATGTTTTTTTCTGTTCTTAAAAATTCGATTAGTTCAAAAAGAGCAAAACTCAAGTTGATAGTTTTTTCACCCTCTTTTTCTCGAAGTTGAAGAATCTAGAAAATATATCTTTTTATGGCAAAACGGTTTTGAAAAATAAGAAAAATTGAACCGATTTCCAAAATCGGAACGATTAGGCAAAGAAACATTCAAATTTGGAGCAACTTCTCCAAAATCGAATTGTAGGATGAAAAAAGTTATTGAAAAAACGGTCTATCGAAGTTAAGTACGGCACTTATTGTAGTTGTACTGATGTTTAAAAAATTAGAGAACCAGTATTGATATCATATAGGGTGAGAATTTCGAAACTTTTCCACCCAAATCAAAAGTGGATAAAAAATTATCAGAACGTTTTAAAACTCGATTTGCAAAAGTTCGCATGCTCTTGAAAAAAATTACAGGTTCATTACTGATACTCAATTGATAAACTCAATTAAGAAATGCATTACTCATTTTAATTACCACTCACAACGAAATGATCGAAATGGCAAGACCGAGATCGGAGTGAAGTTTTTATTGAGCCGAGAAGAACATCTGAAACGCAGCTGCCACAGTCTTCGTGCATTTGCGCGATGTACCGTTTTTTGTGAAAAAAAAAAGTTAGTTCCTTTCTTTGTCGGCGAAATTCAAAGTCTGACACACGAAAAAAAATAATTTTGCTTCCATTTTTTCGGCTTGTTCAGGTTAGGACTTCGGTAGAACTTGCCCAAACTCACTTCGAGATTAATCTCCTCATGAGACCTGGTGCAATCAAAAACTTTTTGAATTGGACTGTGATCTTAAAAAGTTTATACAATCTGAAAAAAGATAAGTTTTGTCAATAACTAATTCTCTTTGTTGATTGAAGTTTACAGGAAGAAGTTTTCCGAGCATTGAATTCGCATAAGCAATTTATTTTTTATCTGAACATCGAACTTTGTTGAAGATTACTGACTCAGATGAATTACCACTTTTTTAACGACGCTGATTTTTCATATTAATTGAAACGAGGGTTACTCATTTCATTTGAAAACTTCCAGCAAGGCCGTGAAATGCATGATACAATCTAATATGAAGATTTTATTCTCCAAAAAAAGAAATGCAACCAGGTGCGATGATTAAAGTTTAAAGGTTAGATTTTTTTTTCAAGTTCTTACAGCCTGTTTACCGTGACTTGGAATTTCATTAAACGACATTCCGTTGTGCCGCTGCACGCCTTTGCAAACCTTGGTCGAGCTTTAAATTTTTTTTTCTTGATTTTAGATACTATACTTTTTATGTGCTCCCACAGCAATAACAATCAATTGTTTTCTAGTCGTGGCGAACAGACTATATCAGCTTTTCTTTTTTCTAGAGCAATAATAAGGAAAATACGACTCAATTTCCGAATTACCGTTCTACATTTTTTCTTTTATCGGCTTCACGCTACGCAAAAAAATTGTTTGGCGAGAGATTTCATCGTAAACAGCTTTATAATCCAAATAAAATCAACCTGAGAATTTTTTCGAATTTTTTTTTCTGAAGCTTTCTTCCGAAAACTCGAGCGCCTTGAACCTTTTCAAAAGTTCATCAACTCAAAAGAAGAACTACAAGGGCGCCACTGGTTGGCTTAAAAACAAACTTAAACAAAAATTTATCATTCCGATAGACACTCATAGCAAAGGCTATAAATGGCATGACCGATTCCGAGAATTTTCTTTTTCTCTCGAGTAGAAGCATCTGAATCGCAGCTGGGATAGTCAACGCGCATGTGGTCGACACATCCTTTTTTTGTACTTTTTCTTCGGATTCCAACAAAGAACACGTGGGAACAGCTGGGTTCCGGCTGGTCGACGACGTTTATGGTTACGAAGAGCCAAAAAAGTTTTTGTTGACTTTTTTTGATGTTTCACAGACGTCCTTTTGCTCACTCGCGCTTGCACAAACAATTCTCTCGCGGACGTTGAACCGCCGAAACAAAATGCAATCCGCCGTACCACATTGTGATTGGAACGCGTTTTTTGCTTCTTCAACCAAAATATTTACTACAATCGACGTGTTTTCTTCCGAGGAAACGTCGGAAAAAAATCGGCTGAACGTGAAGAACACAAAGGAAATGTTCGGGATCGGCTAGCTTTAAAACAAACAGAGATTGGGGGTTGATTCCTTAGAGCTTGTGGGCAAAGATTTGTGTTCGGGTAATCTCATTTTTTAAAAATTCGTTTCAAGATGCTCTTTTCAGTCGGAAAAGAACGAGCTTCATGAAAATAGACGATCCTTTATCTGAGAGCACTATCAATTGATTAGTTGACTTCACGGGTGGAACGTGTGACTTTTTGAATTATGGGCAAGTTTTCACCAAAATAGACTATTTTTGTGAAGGGTTAAAGATTGAATATCCACTGAATGTCCGGAAAAAAAAGCTCAATCAATTTCTTATACTGACCATACTTCATAATGTTAAAAATGTGTTCCCTATCGGAAAAAAAAATAAATAGGATAACTGAGAAAAAAAAAAAGAAAAATAGCAACCTTAAAGCGAAAAAGTTCACTCACACGTTGAAAAACATTCCTTGCGAAAATCTACAAAAAATGTTTTCTGCGAGCAAGTTGAAGACCTTTGAAAAATTTCACCGATCGGATCAGGGTTTTTAAAAAAAGAAAAAAAATAATACGCTAAGAACAATTGACAACTTGGGAATCGTCAACTAGCCAATTTGAAAATTTTTTCGCCATTTTTTTATTTGTCCTCTAAAATGGCTGCTGACTGCCAATCATCGAATAATTTCAAGTTTTTCTATCAGATCAGGTTTTTTCAGGTTTCATGTTCATTTCACATTCACAATTAAAATCGTGTCGACTAAGCACGAAATTATAGGAACATTTGAAATTTTTAATGTTGTATTCAGTGCTGAAAGCTCCATAAAACTAACTAGTTTTCATGATCGAAAATTTTTTGTTATTCTCTGTTTATGAAGAACCGGAAGGCCGTTCTCTCTATTCACCTCCCCCAATGGCCACAACTGAGTCAGCCATTCAAAGCGACCGCAAAAACGGCTCTCTTTTGCGATTACTCATCGAATGTATTATTGGAATGTACTCGCTGCCATTCTTTTTGTTGGCATTGAACCCAGGGCAAAGTTTGTTCAGTCTGGGCCAAAAATACATTGGCAGCGGTGCAAAATGTTGAACAATTGCACTACGACCGGTGTTCAAGAGACGGCGAACACGGCATTTGCCGCCCGAGTTAAATCAGGAACAAGTCTGCTCCGTCGCGACGCATCCAATCCAACAAATATGCGTGGCAGTAGACGCAGTTTGAGCAAACATGCCCCGCTGCAACTCTTGAATTTCTGCACTTTTTTTGCTTTTTTGTGCACGAGAGAGATTACATTGTAGTATTCAGGAAGTTGGAACTAGGGACTCGTAACATTTTGAACTCATATGACAAGGAAAAATCTTCAGTGGTTTAGGAATTTTGAAAAAAAAAAGGAAAATTAATAGCTTTTTTTCAAATTTTTGAACGAGGGACAAACATAAGTTGGCAAAAAAGGATACTTATTCGCCCTCCAGAATTAGGAACATCTCTCGAATTTTTCTTGAAGTACTTACTTAGATACTTAGATGGTCCATCTTCGCTTTCGACCTTTTATTGCCTTTTAGTGCCTTTTATTGATCGAAGCGTGGACCACACGTTTTTCCAGGAGGTCTTATGCAATCGGTCATCCAGTGTTGTCGTCCTGGTTGACTGGTATTCTTGCGAAAAAAAGTTCCATCCGTGGTGTTGAACGTGTTATAGCATAATTGTGGTCTTATTATCCTTTTTGCCTTGCCAGGGCTAAAAAAGACCGCCCATTCTGTTAGCAGAAGCAAGCCGAATTGCGTGACCGGTGTACCGTTAGCCGCCATAAATGGCGTTGCCTCCCCATCACCGCGTAGAGGTGGTACTTGAAGGGGTTTCTTGAAGTCTTAGATGAATATTCTGAAAATCGCAACCTTGCGAAATTTTCTACTTTTGAAAAAGGCCCGATATAAGGACGTTTTGAAAGAGCGATTTCCCGTATCTTCATTTAACAATCAAAGAGCGATTTAGCAGATTTTCAGTGATTCTTATAATAAAAACGTACTTTTTCTACTGAAAAAAAAGTTTCCTACTTCTTTCCAAAAGCAAATACTGCCCAGACAAATCCTTGAAAAAATATGGATTCATTGGAAATTAAAGAAAAAAAATATAAAAACTTTTCTTATGTCAGAGATTTTTTAGAATCTTTTTTTCTGAAGCATTCTGCAACATCAAAAAAAAAAACAGCTCAAAAAAATAATTCCAAGCGGCGGTATACTAGAAAAAGTTTCAAGCTGTTGATCCCTTTTTACTTTTTTTATACTACCTAATGTTTTTTTGTATGGCAGTGGATAAACTAATATTATTAAAAAAAAATTTTTTTAAAGTTCACAAACACTGGAAAACCCAATAAAAAAATCTTTATCAAGCAATTTATCACAACAGAAGACACGAGAAAGGCAAGCGAAGGCACGATTTAATGTAAGTGAACTCATCTTTCAAGACAAGATTTCTATGGAATGTAGATGCCTATTTGAGCTTTTCGATGTGGGAGGTACAATGAAGACAAGTTCGGGAGAGATTCAAAAACTGGCAATTATAGTGACAAAGTCCTATTGGCAAGCGTAAGTTGGAAGTAAAATGTGAAAAAATAACCCCTAATAGAATCTCAAAAATTGATCTAAATGACTACAAATTGAATAATTAACAACTACATTGAATGAAAATGTTAGTATTTTCGCGGATTTGTTTCAATGCTGAACGACGACAAACTTGTAGAGATTTCATCACTCTTCAATGTGCTCCGTAAGTCTGAAATTTGAAAGTTCATTGGAGTTCCTTTTTCGATTGTGCTGTTTTTAATGCAAATATTTATTGTTGCACATCGTCATGCAAAGGTAAGTACACGTACAGGACAAGACAAAAATACGACACAAATGTGAAAAAACACATAAATTTTTCAGAGAAAAAATTTTTATTAAATTCCAATAATGAACTAAAATGCGCTGCAACACTGAGTGAGGCAGGACCTTTTCTGTTCCGGCGACATCTCTTTCATTTCTTCAGAAGCCGAAGCCTTGGTGAAATCGGCCGGCTTGTCGGTCGCGTAGTAGCAGAAGATCAAGTTTCCGCCTGGAAAAAGAGATTTTTCAAAATTTCGAGTCAACATGAATAGTTCTAACCAATCAGAAGAACTCCATGGATGAGGAAGACGATACGCCATTCTCCCAGAGTGTTGTGCTTGCAGATGAGGAACACCAGAAGAGGTTCGATGAACAGAGAAACGCATTTGATAAACTGGATTTGGGAAAGAACGAAATGGGAGTGTTGTCTGAAAAATAATCATTGAGCCTTTTATTGTTGCAATGCTAAAATAAGCAAAAAATGAGCTCATTTTTAATTAAAAGTGTCTTTTTTTTTCAGCAGGATTTGTAGCTAGATTATAGAAAAAAAAATCATCCACTTCAAAAATCTTTGACGCCGCCTAATTGGAAACGTTACTTTGGATACCAAAATCAAGATTTATTTATTCATTTGAATGTAAGTTCAATTTTTTTTTTAAATAATGCACTTCAAAAGTTAAAATTGTTTTTTTCTTTTCCGAGAAGGCATATTGGCAACGACTTCTATATTTGAACTCAGATTTGTCAATTTTAATGGCTTGAATCTCCTTCATTCCTACCTGGCCACCAAGGTAGCGCATTTGTAGAATCCTCCACAAATAAAACCAGTCGAGCACTCAATGATCAGTAGAGCAACCAAAGAATATTGCGCGTGTTCTTTGGGCAAGAACCCGAGGATGCAGAAAAAGACTCCAGAAACCTGAACAACGCTTCTGAATTTGTTTGAAAATTATGAAACTGACCTTCAAGGCAATTGTGTTGAATATCCGCATTTTGGTCTTTTCTGTGAGGAACCTATAAAGCTCCGATTTCTAATGATAACCGTGTTATGATAACTTACGAAATTCGGTCACTGGCGATTCCACTAATGATTTTGAAAGCCAAGTGGAGAGCACGGGGAATGGCAACAAAGTATCCAGTGTGGGCGACGGCAAACCCAAGAACCTGAAAAGAGTTCCAATTTCAAGAATGAAACTGTTGTTATTTTACAAGTCTTCTGAGATAATTCAGATTTTCGATCATTGATAAGTTAATCTGAGCTTTCTTTTGCGGAAATCCAGAACATCATCACCGTTACAGAACGAAGATTCATGGTTTAAATTCGTTGTCAAGTGAGGAACAAACTTTATTAATAATCTCGCAGTTCTTTAAAGTACTTTTGATTTTTCGGCTTTAGTCAAACCTATTTGCCTTGGTTAAAGATGTATTTAGAGGAAACAACTAATAGCTGGTAAAAAACGAAATTTCAAATTTACAATTTGAAGCTTTCATATTTCGTTGAAGTTAATTCTTATGTTTCATATCCGAACCAACCTCTTTCAAGAAAGTTGGGCCATACATGACAATGAATTGAGACATCATGAGTTCTCCAAAAGCTGACATCCAAACAGCCCACATCACTGGATTGGTCAAGATAGCCTGAAAAGTTCATACAGATATCCCTTATTGAATCTTCTTAAAAACCTTGACTGGCACAGGCTCATGCTCCTTAACTTCTCCCTTTCCTCTGTGAATTTTCTCCAATTCGATTTCCGTCATAGAAGGATGGTTCGTCGGGTTGTCTCTGAAAAACACACAAATAAAAAACCGCTCCTGTGATATTTTTTGCACCTGTAGTAAACAAACCAGGCGATGAACAACAGGCCACTGATAATCGCATGAACATAGTAGACAGAGCGCCATCCCAGAGCAGATTCGCACAACTGAAAAATGTGTTTGAGAGTTGCGGAGATGAGAGAACAGTTCCAAAGTTGAGTTCATAGAACAGTAGGAAAAGTGATCTTTGTTGGAAACGCTGGTGAAATAAGTTACATATTTTTCCAATCTTGGCCAAGATTAGCCGAAAAGTACAGATAAATCAATACATTTCAGCTTACATCATTGTTCTATGTCTTTTAAAACTTGATTCGCCTGATTATTTTGTTCAAACCTTACTTTATTCATAATCTTGCAAAGAAAGCCCGTAGGAAAAAATTTCGAAGTTGAGTTCAAAAAAAAATCTTCTATCTTTAATCAGAGTCTCCTTCAGGCGAAAATTTAAATCCTTTTGCTTTATTTTAATTCGTTCCAGTTCGGTCAACTTTCCTATGCCTTCTTTTTCGAATTCAATCATATCTTTTATCATCAAGACTCTGTTTTCTCCTATCCTCCTTACAAATTTCAAAGTCTCACCTCTCCAGCCACAGGCATGGTAAACATGACAGAAATCTGGGAGAACGAAGACAAGAGAGAGATGAAAAATCCGTGCTGTTTCAGAGAGGCCCAGTTGACTACGATAAGGCCGATGGCTGCAAAGTCCGCTCCAAAGGAGACGCCCTGGAAAATTTTTAAAAATTTCTAATATTTTTGCAATTTTTTTCGAAACCTGGAAGAAACGAGCGACAATTAGCAGGTTGAAGCTGATGTCTGCAGCAATTGGAATGACGGCGGTAGCGATTGTAGAAATCAATCCGGCGATGAAGAATACTAGTCGGGCTCCGAACTTTTGGTAGAACCTTTAAATTTAATCTTCATTTTTGTACTCACATGGTTTTCGATGAGAAAACCAAGAAAAAAGGAATCGAGAGGTCAAAAAGACTCTTTAGGAAGGTCTATGAACGAAGACTTTTTCATTTTACTGGCAATTGGTCGAAATTTTCCGTTTGTGCTCTGGACCACTTTTCAAGCTTATTTCGAAGTAAAAACTATTGCGAGATAGCGAGAAATCTACTAGAGCATGAAAAGTTTCAAAGAAAAACATTTCAAACATTTCCGGAGCCCTTCAGTTCAATACGGAATCTTGAATCCCTATTTTTCGAGGCTTTCTTCCGAAACCCATAATCATTTTTCATTTTTCAAATTAGTTATTCCTGGGTAAAAACTGATTCTCTAACCAATGGAACGGCCACGCAGCAAGCAAAGTTCCAACCGCAACTGCCCACATCAAAAAGGATTTTTCAGTGTTGTTATAATCATAAGGCCCTCGTTCTGCTTCAGTGATCGGGGCCTCCTGAAAACAAAGTTCTTGATCGGATTTCGATTTGAAATCCTACGGAATCATTTCTGTGGGTTCCCATGCAGATCAAAGTGAAATTCAATACGATCATATTGGACGCGATTGCGGAAATACATGCCGAGCCTGAAAAATGACTATTTTTTACGGTTTTGAAATTTTAGAAAATTCCGAGGAAATATCACAATAAGTATATACTTTTTGCATTTATTCTATCACGAACCATAAAAATCTTTCAAATGTATTTTTAAACCATAAAAAACATGTGTTCCTTTCCTTTTGTTATGACAAAAAACCACGTTTGCAACAACAGAAAGCATGTTTATCCCGGAAAAAGTAGTCTTGTTCAGGATTAGGGTGTTACCTGCCTTCAAGTGAATAATAGTTTGACTAAGGTGACAGGTAAACAGAAGTACTGTAGCGTTGACGTTTTTACTTGCTGATTTTACAAAAAAAAGTTTTTCAGAAACTTTTTTTCATTGTTTTAGAAATGGTTGACTTATTCTGTCATAATTCACAAAGATTCAAAAATTTTTGAACTCGGTGTTTTCATTAACTCTTGCTGTAAAGTCGCAACATCACTATTGTTTGTTCATTCACTGATCAACGATACCGAGAGGGAAAAAAAATCAAAAGTTCAACTTTATTTGGAGAAAAAAGCAAACAACAACGTGGTGGGTAAACTGAATTGATCTTCGAAATACATAGTAGTAAAAAAAAAAAGAGCCTGATTTGACCTTTTGAACTCAAATGCTTCTTAAGCGTAAGCTCAAAACATGAAAAGAAGCTTTTAGGAAGCTTCGGTATTCGTTTTTCAAAGATTCTTGGAGTTCATCATGATTTTTTTGTTGCGAACTGTAAAAACTGAATCCACCTGGCCAACGGCTCGAGGCTGCTTTTTGACTAAAAATTTGAAGCTGAAACAGGGAACTCACCTAAAATCAAGACGATATATCTTGTACGCGTGGTCAGAAGGCCAACATTCTCGGGGTCAACCTGCTTCTTGCGCATCTTTCAGAAGAATTTGAAGGTTTCCTGCAAATGTCACAGATCTATGAACCACCAAAAATAGAGCGGAAAAATGATAGGAAAACCGTGTTAGGAAATGACGTGGGTGTCTTTTCGTCAAACGGCCGACAAAAGGGAACGCACAAGGGATAATCGCAAGTTTTTTGGGTTGAACTGGATTTAGTGTGACTATGTCCATTTCAACATGACGAGATATGATTTTTTAAAATTGGCCTCTCACTGAGAACTAAACATCCGGTCCAGAATTGTCTCAAAACAATAATTCTCGGTTTTTTGAAAATTCGTAAAGTGTTTCAAAGTTGCAAATTAAAAAAAAAAACATCTATCAAAAAGCAATAAAAATGCCGAAAAAAATGGTATTCAAAAACACTGAATCGTTTCAAAAACAACGGAAAACAGTCAGTGATGTCGGCCGCGTTGGGACAACTTTGCAGGGGAAAGTTGAATCGAAGTCATCGACGGCCTTTTATATCGAAAAAAAAATAGTTCATGGAAAACATAGTGGCATAGAGAATAGGTGGTATGCGTCATCAAATTCGATATTCACTATTTTAATACCTCTGCATTGAATTTGATGAGAAATTAATGTTATAATTGGTCATCTCAAAACAAAAGCTGGAAACCCGAATTTCACATAATTTCTAAATGAGGAATTCATGATTGATTTCCCAGGTTTAAAAAAAAGCAAGAGTTCAAATTTTAAGTCTCCTTTAAAATTTCAAGAAACGGTTTCATAGTCAAAACAAAATGATTCTAGAATTTATATTCAACTTGCGTATGAAAATAAGAGCGCAAAAAATTTAGAAACAAACTTTTATTTTTCGAATAAGTCAAGCAAAATTGTCTCTTTGAGTCCTTTCAAATGCGACAAGAGAGCTTTTGATCGTAATAAATGGATGATTCCTATTCTACTAATCAGTAGTTTTCAGCTCGCACAAATTTGAAGCAAAATTTCAAAAAAATCTGCCGGGAGGCACAAGAAAAAAGTTTTTCTTTTTCAAAAAAATATTTTCAGAAAGGTTTGGGATTTCTATTCATAAGTTATGTTCTTTCTTGTTAATTTAAGCAATCCTGTTCATAAATGAACTTAGGAAAGAGTTTGAAGTACTGTAAAGCAGACGAAGACGAATCAAATCAAAGATCTCACAGGAGACAAGATGGCGGAAGTGAAACCTCTAATTTGCCTCACTCGAAAAACAATGTCGTGCAAACGGAGTTTTGTGTATTTATATAGTTCTTTGCGGGAGAGGAGGTGGAAATCTGCTTAATCGCATTTTATTTGTTCCTTTTCCCGAAAATAAATGTCCGACCCATCAAAGTACCCATGAATGGTCGCACGTTGGTCCCGTGACGAACCGTCACAGTAACGCAATATGCAATTAGTTTTTGATTGAACTCTCAATCAACATATTTATCGTAACATGGAATTAGACAGAGCATGACTAAGGTTTTTTCTACGGGAAATGACGGCGGAAAGTTTGTTCAGAGTGTCGAACTTTTGATTTTGATTTTTTTCGAACGTTGGCATGGCACGGTTTTTTTGAAGCGAGTGTGAAAAAATGAGCTCCAGATGTTTTTTCCTAGTCCGAAAATGAAAAAATATTTGAAAAATTAAAGCCCATTTGAGTTGTTCAGGTTAGCTCCTAGTGACCTTGAGATGGGTGGCCCATTTGAAGTTAAATTTTATTGGCAGTCTACATAAGAGCTCAATATAAAAAGGAAAACTTTAATTTGTGTCGAAATCTTTTGAAGAGTTGCTTGCTAACTATTTTAAGAAAGTCCCGGAAAAAAATTCAAGAATTAAAGTAAAGATCCGCTGATAAACCCAAGTTTTTTTCGTATATCTAATTGTTAAATAAAAAAGCAGTTCAAAGTTTGCGTAGAAAAGTAAGTGAGAAATCAAAAATCGACTCCCCACGATTTCGTTTTCTTGACCCTTCAAAAAAAAGCTTTCAAACTGAGAAACAGGAAAATAGGTTTCTTTTTAGATAAAACAGAAACTGATTTCCTGTAACATGAATGGTTGTTTTCTAAAATAAGAACGATCGGAAAAAAACATTAAGAAGGTTCTGCGAACATGGATCTTTTTCAGAAACAGAATTTTTAAGAGCTGAATTATTATATTTTTCATTTTGTGTTCATATTTGTAAACCCTGGATTCTAATGAATAAAAAGATTAATAAATTGCGAAATAAAATGGATTTACAAGGGAATGAAAAAGAAAGAATTTAGAAATTTTTTTAAATATTTTTTTAGGCTTCTCGAAGACTTTGGTTCGTCCTTTTCAAGGCTCATTTCGGTACGTTCCGCCCAAAAAAACGGACACGAAATTTTTGGATGACAAGAAGTATTAAAGAAAAGAAAAAAACACCTTCGAGTCACAAAAAAATATCCCTGGTGAGATATAAGTTTGCCAAAGAAATTGAGACAATCGGACAAAAGTCGAAGAATTTTTTTGAAAAGTCAAAAAATGAAATAAGGAACTTAGATATCAGAAAACTAGAAAAAAATGTGGGGAAGAGTCACAAATGTGACGGATAGACATAATTGGTCAATTAAATCAGATGAAAAGGTCAAACTTCAATTCAAATCAAGGGAGACCAAAAATAAATAAATAACAAGAAAAATTGGGGGAAAAGTTCAGGTAAGATGATTTCATCAGAAAAAAATGAGAATACGAGAGAAAACGTAAATTTGAATTTTTTGAGCTTCTTTTTAACTTCTTAATAGGCCATGAAACCTAAATTTTGCGAAATTCTGAAAAATTTTTCTAAAAAGCTTCTATTTTATTTTTTTCACCTTTTTGGGATCAACGGTATGCCCGTGTAATGAGAAATAGGGATTTATGGCGAATAGTTTTGTAATAAAAATTTTTTTATTTCTAAAAAGGGAGTGAACTTCAATGTTTGAGCGAAAGTCTCAGATGTAGAACTATCAAGACTTAAGATTATGAAGGCACCTTTTTTTGCATTTTCTCGATTAAAATTATGAATTTTATGAAGTCTCAAGTTTAAAAAGTTCGGAAGGAAGCGACTTTTTCTTATCATTGCACATACCGTGAAATACCATTTTCAAATTTTCCTCCCTTTTAAGAGTTCTCAAGTTATCAAAAGCCGAACCAGGAAATGAAAAAGGATATCAAGGTACGAAAAATGACGTGGATTCATAGAAAAAGACGAGAAAAAGCAAATAAGTAGTGACGTGGTTATGAATACTCATCTTTTAGGTTAGATGGTACCCCTAAACCATTACTCAAGATTATAAAAAAATAGCAAAAAAAGAAATGGAGGATCAAAAAAATGAAAAAAATGACGTTTATCCATAGAAAACGATCAAAAAAGCGATAAATAGAGCCAAATCGGGAAAAATGACGTGATGTAACATGGAGTACCAGAAAAGTAGTGGAACGAAATGTTTGAGATCGAAAAATTCATGCCTGATTTAACCTGTTGTAAATATAACATGATACGATTGTTGATCAAGAACGGAGTTTTCACTTTTTGATCACATTACCTCATGAGGATCGCAAAATGTGCGAAATTTCCATTCAAATAAAGGTGGCATCGGTTTTGATTGACAAGTTCCCGAGCTCTGTTGAGAAGACCAATTACCGTTCTGAGGGTTGGTCTACTGAAAATAGTTCAAAAGAAGGTAATGGGTTTTTTTTCGCGAAAAAAAAGCTTTTATTTGAAGAAAATTCGTATTTTTCCCTTTTTCTATTTGAAACAGTTCGCTTTTAGGTTTTTTTTCCATGAGTTTCGCTGGATTTTTGAAGAGAGCTGTTTTCTGAAAAACTAAAGAAATCATCAAGTTTCCTTTCAAAATTGTCCGACGGAAATTCAAAGATCTTGAAAAGCTTGTTAAGTTGAGAAGCTGGAAAAATGGTCAGAGCTTTGATCTTGGTCAATATTTACCATGATACCGGTGCAAAAACAAACAGTAGTAACTACTGTCGAAAAGGGATGATATGGAAAAAACAGAAGCTTGAAAAAAACGAGGAAGAAAAATATTCCGTGTTTTAGATTGTGAATAAATTGAAAAACGAAGTTGAGAGAGAAATTAGCGGTAAGTAAAAACCGAGGAAAAAAAAATGTAGAATTTAAAGATTTTCTGAAAAGTGCCAAAATCTCAGAATAATTATTAACTTCTGAAAAGCCAAAAAAAAAATTAGGGACTGTCGGAAAGAAGGAATGATTGCCGGAAAGAAAAAATCGAAGAAAGAAACAGAAAAACCATGAGCTGATTTTAACAAAAATGAGAATGAGAGCTCTTTGGAAGTATTAAAAAAGACAGGAAAGATTTATTGGAAACAATAAGGAAAACTTCGATTTGATGATAGCGTATTCAACACGGAATGACAGAGAAAAGTTGAAAGTAGAGCTGCTGAATTTGAGGTTTGACCTTTTTTTTTCGAATGCTTTTACTTTTTAAAAACTTTTTTTCGAACTGAACCTAAAAAAGGAGTTTCGCATGAACCTGCGACAGTCAATAGGAACAAGATTTTGCATTTTTTCGAATGCAATTGTTGTTGATTTTCAAGAAATGACTGATTTGGCAAGTCTCAAGTCATGCGAAAGGAAAAGAAAATTGTAATTTGACCATTGTTTTCAATCCAAAATGAAGTTTTTGCTAAGGTCACTCAAGATTTTGAAAAGTTGGATCAAAATGTGAGTGACCGACGGGGGGTCTGGGTCTGAGACTTCCAACCGGCTTGACATAATTACAATAAATTTCAAAAAATCAGCAAAAGAGTGGGGAACATAAAGAGATCTCTTGAGTCATTTTGTTTTGAATGGTCATGAATATAATTTTTTTTAACCTAAAATCATTCTTTTTCCAGATAGCGAAAATTCATAGAAAGACAAAATTAAAACCAAAAAAAGGACCAAACGAGACAATTATATTTCGAAAACTAAAAAAAACCCACTTGGTTCTTGTTCAATGAGACCGGTATTTACTCAAAAATGGATTTGTTTTTTTTT